TTGCGGAGACGAAACCTTTTTTACTACACCTTGCGGCCAATAGGGGCGTGATCGACCAACGCGTGTACTTGGTCTTGCGGGGGATTTTCGATACGATCTTGGAGCGGGAGGCAAGCGGGAAGACGGTGCGTGACGAGTGGGAGGCTACAAACAAAGCCGCTGCAGCGGCGGCGGACGAGTCTTCTTTTCAACAGCACGATACTGCGCCCGGCGTCCTGGTCTGAAAAAAGAAATGATCGATGTTGAAAAACCACCACGCAGACCAGGCCGCTGCACCATGCCGGCGCAGTTTGTTCGGTGGCTTGCAATTTTACTGGCGCCCGCGGGGCGCATACGGTCCTGCGGCTGGTGAATTTACTGGCGCCGCCTGGCGTTTGCAGGTGCTGGCATCACGGCCAGTGTTGCGCAAGAGGTGTTTTGCCTGCAGTTGAGGCGCTTAGAGACTGCAGCCCTGGCAGCGGTTGCTGCCAGGCCACGTTTGTGTTTGAACGATACAGAGACAGAGGATTTTGGACACTTGTTCTGCTTTTCCGCTTCTGCGAATGTGAAGCGCGAGCGAAAGACGTCTTGTGAGCGACGTCAGAACGAACGCTCTTGAACCGGACCGATTTTCCTGCTTTCTGTAGTTTTGAGGCTAGATACACACTAAAACCGCCACCCCTGAGGTGTCGTTCGTTCAGTCTGTTCGCAAAACCACAGGCGAGACCTGTTCGCACAAGATCGATCAGTCCGCGTTCTCGGTTTTCGATCGTTTCCGCCTCCCGGGCTGGCAGGCCGTCTACGGATCGTAGACGCTCTAGCCGCGGGCGGCTTTCCGCGTTTTTGCTACTTGGTTTTGGACACGCTCCCACGACAGCAACCACAGGCAGAGAACCCTGGCCGATTCGCTCGACCAAACTTGTAGCACCAACCTACCAAAGGAAAGCATTCCAGAATTGTCCAAGTTCAGCAAACCCAGCAAATTCCTTCGATTCCTCCGATCGACTACCATCGACCCTCTGACTTTTCTCAGGTAGTTCCTCTCTTCCTCTCTCCTCCTGGCGCCCTCTGTTTCTACTTTCTAACGCTAGCACGCTACAGAGCCCGCAACAACGATGCGTCGGAAGAATTCGCCACAGAATGTGGCGCATGCTTCTGACCACCATTGTTGCACCCCAATGTGGCGAATTCTTCCGACCACCATTGTTAATCGAATATCAGTTGCCTTCTGAGACATTTTGAAAAAAATCAAAATTTGACAAAATTTCGCAGTTGCCAAGTGGAAGACTAGAATCTGTGTAAATTTTTAATGACACGCATGGAATCTGCATACTGACAGCATCTACTCGCTTTAGATGGTAGCTCTGGCATTTTTCAATGATTTTTTACGAATTATCCAAAACTAGAAAGCGTTACTTTGTGAGGTAGTGCGTTGCCGTGAGATGCTGAGAGGAGAACAGAACAAGTGAGGAATTTGGTGCGTGGGCTTTTTGAAATTTAGAGCGCTTGGCACGAGAGTGCTTGTCTTGAAAGAATCGCACGAGAAACAATTCTCATGGACAAATCAACTCTTGAGCCAAAGCCTGTAGCTGCGCTGCTTGTTTTTTTGGGGAACGTGAAAAAGAATCTACCTGCACAGGGCCCCCTGGTGCGTTTCTGCATGAGAATCCACTTATTAGTACCGCTGTGGTGTTCCGACTTCGATATTTACACTTTGAGTGCACAGCTTTCCTATTCTAAGATCGACCGACCATGCCTTCTAGGTCCGCGCACGCCGCGTCCGATAGCGATCATTTCTGTTACGAAAGCGTCTGCCATTCTAGTTACCCTTCTGTCTACGAAATTTGCACCGATCTCGACGACCGCACTGATTTTCTCTGGGATCGTACTTACAAGATAGGAACAGAACAACAGGAGCTGTTAGCCCGTGTTGACTGCCTTGAGAGAGAAGTATCAGACTTGAAGCGCGACACTCCAGTAAGATCGGTTGCGAAAGTTTTACAGCGCCTGTTTTCCCGTGTTCTGCCATGCAAATAAATCGGATTCTAAGTACAAACACGACGAGAAATCTAGTACAAGCCTAAGAGTTCTACTTTTTTTCTACCTAGCAAGTCCGCCTGTCACGATGAAGAGCGCGCGAGAGAAGCGAGTAGTTGTTCCTACCGCAGCACCCTTTTTCTTCATCTTGATTTGTTACGCTTTGACGTCTGCTTTTGTGTCCATTGTCTCCGGAATCTGCTTCCATGCAAAGACGAAAAATCAAAGTACACACACGGGGATCCTACTAGAGCTAAAACTAGAACCAGAAGCGTCGGGTCGTCATGTCTTCCTATTTCCGAGCTCGCGACGTCCTATCTTAGATCCGTACTCTGCTAGAGGCGATGACGGAGGGGCTACAGGCATATTTTACTTTAACGGAAAAATTGAAAAAAACAATGTGAAGAGATATACTGTGGATTTTGATCAGTTATAAGCGTGCATAGGAGTATAACTCACCAATTTTGCATCATATCAATCAACTGAGCCTTCAACTAGTGGCATTAAGGTGGTGCTTTAAATTTTGGAAAAGTTGACAAACTCACTACGTGCCCGCCCCTGGTGGGAAGGGAAGTCGTGAGAGGGGCCTTGTGCCCAGATGCGCTACTAGAGGTAGACGCATCAAATCGCGCAAACTAAGCGGCAACACGCCGCTGCTCCTGGCGAGTGAAGAAGGGCGGCGCCCGCAATCCTGCGCGCGATCCCCCTACCCCTGGTGGCTGTTCTCTTGTTCTTGAAGAAGAGCCCCGCTCTGGAAGCGGGCGAGCCTTGCAGGCTCCTGGTGAGCAGGCGAGGCGCCTCGCCGTCTCTGTTGGGTGAGATGGTGGTGGGGTTTCGGCCGGCTTAACCTGAACAGCCCAGCGCCACACCCTGCCCGACCAGCCACTCCGAGGAAGGCCCTCGGGCGTGTTGCCGCGTCGTGTGCGAAGAGGCCCGGCATGGCGTGCCTCTCTCGGCCTTCGGCCGTATCAGTGGGCACGCTCGCACCGCCGTAAGCCCTAGCGCCCCACGCCGCGCGCAGCAGCTGGCGGCACTTCCCGGGGATGGACGGAAGCGGTGGGGCCTGCGCTATTCGGGAAAGCCTTGGCGGGCACCCCCAGCCCCCTGGCGGGGCCGGCGCCGCTCTTCTTGACGAAGGGCGCACAGCAGGGCTCTGCGCCCCTTGCACCGCTGGCGGGCAAACTGCACCCGCGCGCCGCACAGATAGCGTCCGGCCTAAAGTCAGACGACAACTAAGGGACGCGCCCAGGTAGCGCGAATCGGGTTCCTTTCGCCGTAGTATAATCAATCTGTGTTGCCCACCTGGTGTGCGCCCTCTGATTGGTGCTACTATACGGAACGAGTGCAAGAGCCGGTCTGCCAAGGCCACAAACCTCCAGCACGCTGTTCTCCTCCAGCTCTCGCCACTTGATGTTGCGACTGCGTAGGAGGGTTACGTTTCGCCGGGCCTCCACAGCCTCGCTGTCCGGCGGGTTGCTGCAAGTATAGCAGGGCTAAAGAGCGGGCGCCGTGTCTGTTTGAAACAAGAGCGGATCAAATACAATACAATACAATACAAACTCACTACGTTCCTCATTGGGCTCAATTATTTGATCAAAGCCACTACCTAGAAGGATATACGAGCTACTTATTTCTGCCCATGCGGCTTATAGATCTCAATTAGACCGACCATTGTAATATTTCTGTTGTTTTTCCAGATTTACAAAATCGCAAAAATCACCCAACTAGTGGATGTGCTCCAGAATCTGGAGGAGGGCGTCCGCCTTGGGCACTCTGCATATCCTATTCTGCACTGGATCCAAGGCCGCAACCCGAGAAGGGCCCTAGCAGGCACCGGCAGGCAGATCGGGGCACCTGCATGCGGAACGCGAGGGGCGGCGCCCTCCGGACGCCTTCCGCGGACCTCTTTAGTGGAGCCCATCCGCCCCGGGCAGGGGTGCCCGCCCCTGCGCACCCGCAGCCCCACCCCGCACACCAGACCACCACGACCTTTGTCGCCTGGGCCAATCAAACCCCGCATATTCGGCAGGCTCACGCGCGTGCCTCAGATCCGCTTCCAGAGGGTCGAGGTTATATCGGAAAGACCAAGAAAAATCGGCCAAGGTAGCTCATGCGAGCCCGGATGGTCAGACTCCGGAATCCCACCAAAAGTGCCAGGATGCCGTGGCCCTTTCATCGCCCCCGCCAACGGCCGCGGCCTTGTACCGGCGCGGTTTCGCTGCCGCGGCGGGTCAGATTCCTGCTTTTGTGGGGAGCGGATTCGAATTCTCGCTCCTCGCGGGTGCCCCATGCGGGTCATATTGCCGGCCCGGTAAGGGGCTCCACAAGGATCAAATGTTGGCGCAGCGCGATATGCATATACACAACGCAAGCGGCGGAGAAAGATATTGATGAGAAAGCTCGGCTGTCATTCTTCGCAAAAGTATCAGGAATGCCCTTGCGACGAGTCAATGATGATCAAAATTATGAGGACGGCAGCGGTCCGTCCAAACGGGTACCACTTTTTCGTGAGAGAGAATCATCTGCCAATGGCACACGCGAAATTGCTGAAGATGAAGAAATAATCCCTGTCCCAAGTTGCGCGTGATCAGCACGACTAAGCAAAGACGCGTGCTACGACCTGCGTGCAAGCCCATTGTTGCGAACAAGTCCAAATTCCAGTCCGTCTACCAGACTGAATGCAATTCACGATTTCGTTTCAATGTTTCTATTCTGCCTGACGAGGTCCTCTATGAAATTTTTCGATGCCCAAGCGCATCTAGCGACTGTTGTCCTCGCGTAGACAAGCGGACCCGCGCTTGCGTTTTATCACTCAGATAGAAAATATTTCGCTCTCGCACAATGAGCAGCCGGGGACGCCGGGATCGGCACACCGCCTCCGATCGTCGCGAGGATTCGAACAGCCGCGACGACGGAAGCAAGGCTAGCGAAGCGCATGAGCGACTGGAGGAAAACGTTCCCTCCCGGATTTTTGACACGTCGTGCAGGAATAAGACGATATGCCTCGCCGATGTCAAGCCGAATCGTTTGAAGAGGATGGTGGCGCAGTGCTTTTCTGCTATCTCGCCTGCCGCAGTAAGAAACGGCGAGGACAACCCCGGGCCTCGCGATAGCGGCGCCAGTCGGCTGAATTTGGCGCAGGAAGCAAAGCCAAAAAGAAATTCGGACAGCTTTCCCTCCTCGAGCATTGCATGTTCGGGCAGCGCCGCTAAGCTTCCGAATCCGGGCGTGTACATCTCAAACTACGGTATGCTGCCACTGCCAATCAGAGGGAAGCACCTAACGACACCGAGCCCAAAGGACTACCCCGCGCATTTAGCCGAACTCGTCGAGCACTTCGAAGTAGCCCCGTACGGGCACGGAGCTACTACCGTCGTCGATACGAGCTTTCGACTGACCTACCAACTCTCGCCAGTGCCACCCAGTAAGGAAAGGAAAACTTCGGCGGCGGACACTGGGCGGCCTCAAGACACTTCGCAGAAGGGATTTTTTCTCGTAAACGAAGAGGCGTTTGCAGAGGGGGTATCGCAGTTAGTGAAGCACCAGATCGCCCCGGCACTCGGGTGCTGCTCCTTCGGCGAGAAGGTCGAGGCCAAACTCTACAAGCTGCTCCTCTATCCCCCGGGAGGCCACTTCAAGAAGCACCGCGATACACAAAAGTTTCCTGGGATGTTCGCGACCCTGATAATTCAGCTTCCGTCGGAGTTTACCGGGGGCGGTGTCACCTGCCAAAGCAGCAACGGCAACCAGGAGGTTACGATAGACCTCGGCTCTTCTGAACGCAGTGCAAGCTTGGATGCAAGGCCGGTTCCCGTGGTGGACTGTGGTGCGATTCCGAAGTTTTACAGCTTCTACTGCGACGTAGAGCACGAGGTTTCGCCGATTACTGCAGGATGCCGATGCGTCCTAGTGTATGGACTGTGTTGGTCGGGAGAAGAGAGCGTCCACCTCCGAGCGACGTCGCCCTTTGCTGCCTCGGCAGAAGAAAAGATGGTCGCTCTGCTCAGACGGTGTGCTGGTTTAGATTGTGAAGAGACGGGCACCTCCGACGTGCGCGTTTTGAAAGACTCCGAGTCTCCTCTCCCGAAGTTTTGCTGGGCACTTTCGGGTAGGTATTCTTTGATGGACCTCCATCCGCGCGGCATGCGCGGAAAGGACAGAGTGCTGATCAGACTTCTACAGGCGGCTAACGCGCGTCTTCCGGGGTATGCGAGGTTCAGATTCCAGCTTGCCCAGGTCAAAATCGGCACGGAGCACTTGAGTGGCGAATCGTACTGCCGAATCGAGGAAGTCAACACGTTGGCCGATCCGTCTTCTTCAAGCTACAACCAGGATGCCGGCAGCACTCCTGAGGAATCGAATACGCCTGGAACGGCCGACTGCGACGTCTACGACAATGCCCAATATTCGTTCCCGCCGTCCGAAGAATCCAGAGATGAGACTGACTACGATCCGGCGAACTACGCCGAATATTCGTTCCCGCCATCCGAAAAGTCCGGCGATGAGACTGACTGCGATCCGGCGAACCACCGGTTTTTTCACCCGAAGCTGCTTCCAAATTCTGATCTGTTGGAAACCCTCTGCCCCTTGTCCCCAAGCAACCGCCACAGTGGAAGCTTCGAATTCAGTTACCGAAGAAGCTTGGCGTCGCGCGACGAAGACGACCGCGAGCCCGACGTGGTAAACTACTGGCAGGAGGGTGCCACGATGCAGGACGTGTGGGGGAAAATGAGCAAAAATGTCCAAGAAGATTATGGAAACGAGGGCGCGCACGAGAAGTATTGGTACCGTACCACAATTTTGCTCGCGCGACTGCACAACTTGGACAACGCCTTCCACAGAAGGAAGGACCTCACGCCATTCGTCTGCGAGGAGCCGGCGGTCGCGGGAGGGCCCATTTCCGCAGATCATGGACAGACTCGGGCCGAGGATTCTCGAGGGACTGAGGAACAACGTCCTGTCACCGCTGCGAAGAAAGGCCCATCTGGTGACACGGAAGCACTGCGGCGCTTGGTTCGACTGGCCCAAAAGGATCTACCGAAAGTCAATCACACCGCGCCGGAGCTCGTGGTCGATCGCTTTTTCGGAAGCGCGAAAAGCCACGACGCGAAAGTTGAGTTGTCAGAGGAACCCGAGGACAATTCCGACGCTGAGGCACCTCCCTCGAAGCGGCGCAGAGTGGACGCAGACGGGCATGGCAACCCAACGCTGCTTGGAATGGTTCCAGAGCCTAGTCATGATTATCCCGGGCGGGCGGCGAGGATATGTGGCAGCATCTTCCGTCGCGGAGTTATCGAAGCTTTTCTCAATCACGAAAGGGCACTAGAATTCTTTCCGAAGATTTTGCCTTACTTGAATTTCGGGAGTGGGTTCGTGCAGCGTCTCATTTGTGGGTCGAACAGGATCCAGTTAATATCGCGGGCCCTTCCGTTTTTACTCCAAGAGTTTAGTTACGAAGATTACAACGACGAGGACGAGTCCGTCGCCGCCCCCGGGGAGTCACCAGCAGACGAAGACACCGCAGACGCGCTGCACCTGCCACAGCTATCTTTGCACAGGGCGTTGCAGATGCTGTTTCAAGCAACCCCGGCGCGAATGCAGCAACTGGGGAATTCCGAAGGCGACGCAAGTGGTCCCAGCCAGGCGAAGGCAGCGACTGCTTCTGATAGTTGGCAAACCAGAATGAAGCATGCGCTCTTCGAAACCATTCCCATGCCCGGGTTCGCGTCGTCTGCAGTGAAGTTTTTCATTTGGCAGGCCGACAACGACATGACTCCAATGCTGCCGCAGATGTTGCCGTATATGGATCTGGACAGCGAGCCTGTCTTCAGAGCAATATGCAAAGTGGGGGATCCGGAGCTACTGCGAAGTACTTTACTTCGAATCTTGGAAATTCCGGACGAGGCACAAAACCGGGACGTTCGACAGTTCAAGTTAAGCTATGCCGCGTTTGGAATTATTGTCGAGACGAACGCCACACGCCATCTGAGTCTGGAGACTTTGCTTCAGTGTCAATCTGAAGCTGGCCTTGGCGAGTTCGATGCAGAGGGCTTCGGGCAGGCCTTGGTTGAAGTGGTGCTTGGGTCCAGCGTTGACGTGCAGTTTGCATCGTTGCAGAAACTCTGCTCCGTGGTGGCCTTGGTCGTTGGAGACAGTAATGCTTTTCCCGAGGGTCCGGAACCGATTCGAAAATCGAGCGATCTCATCACCTCGGGAAATGTAGCGAGGTGCGATGCTAGAGCTGGTGACGTCTTCGATTTTGTGAAAGCAGTGGCAAACGCGCTGGAGAGTCGCAATGTCTCCGAAGAGGAGCTGCGTAAAGTGATGCGCGTTAATATGGGCACTGAAAATGGGAAGACCACGACTCCTACGGGCACACAGCACGCCGCAGTGGTCCAGCATTTTGTAATCTGCTACTGTGAAGAATACACGTCGAATTTTCTTGAGCGTGTCAAAAACACGCAGAGTCCCACGGCTTCCGATGGTTCTTTTCCGACGCAAAACATGGACGTGCAGTTGCGCGCGCAGGCTGCGTCTGAGCGTGAAGGGACGCTAAACTCGTCTCTGCGTGATCAGTGGGCTGTTCCGAGGTTCATGATGGAACTGCCTGCACTCCTGCGGGCCTGTCTCCCTGCGCCGACTGAGCTAACGGAAAACAGCACGACGGGCGACGTTCGGGACTCTGCCACGGAAACTGGTACAGTGTGTCGTCTTCTAAACGAAGAGCGGCACGACGCCTTCGCTCGAGCATTCGTTCAGCGTGATTTGCTTGTTGCACTGCGGAGTACCAAAAGTGAAACGGAGAGGAAGGCGATATTATCAAACGACATCACGCAGCTCGGCATACTGGCGGTTATCCGTACTTTACGTGCCGACATTCCGGATGCTAGCCTCCGCCGTGCTACAATCGCGAATTTGTGGCTCGTCGCGGTAGAGAGTGGAAGCCCTGAGGTTCTGCAAAGATTTCAAGGGTTGTTCTTCTCTGGACGCACAGAGACTGGTACTACGGATACGAAACTCACACTGATCCGAGCGGTTGGGCAACTTGCGCAGGTTTTCAAGGCTGTTCCTGCGAATTCACAGCAGTGCGTCGCCCACGTCTTGAGTCTGGCGGCACGGACATTTTGGTCTGATCCTGGAAGCGAGCCGGCGGCGCTGCCGGATCCGACGTCTGGGTTTCGCGAAAGAATCGTGGCTGCTGCGACCTTGTCCCAGGACGAAAAGGATTACTTCTGCCGATTCATCAAGAAAGTACTTTCTCCCGGAAGCGGTTCCGTAAGCGGGAAAGCAACGTTTCAGTTTAACAATTTGGACCAATGCAGAAAACAGCTGCGCCAGAAATATGAGAAGTTGCTTGCTCCGGAAGTGAGTGGGGAGGCCACGGGTCGTGGGAAAAATGCTAGTATACTTTTTTCTGTTTCGCCGAATGTGGTAGCTGAAGCTGCGTCATATTTGGCGCGGCTTTCTGCTATAAAGGCGCACCAGAAGCGACGATCTCTGCACGAGGAAGCAAGGATAGGGGCCGCAGCGTTCGAGAGTCGCAAATGCGACGAGGCGGAAAGTCACGTTCCTCTACCGTCGCAGAGTCGACCTCTAATTTTTACCGATTTCAAAGACGTCGCGGAGCTTCGGGCAGAGGTGAAGATTCTGAACGACACCTCGTGCGGAACCACACACACAAGCGGCCGCAGGTTGCAGCCGCCGTGTGGATGGTGAAATCGCCAGTTGATTGCCTCGGGTCCAGACGCGCCACCGTCGAGGAAGTTTTTTGCTGGCCTTGCGTCCGTGCCAATTCTGAAAACACACGAATTATTTTCGATGCCCGAAAATGAAAGAACGCAAGTACGATTCTTGTTCGAAATGTTGTAGCACTGGTACATAAAGCGAAGAGACTACGATGGCGGGATTTTTGTCGAAGTTGTTTCCAACGCAAAAGTTTTGCATTTATCACATGAAGCTCTTTCAATTTGGTGCTGCTCATGCTAGGACTACAAGAGAGCAGAAAACTTTTTTTGTTTTTGCTGCTGCCGTGTGTTGGTTCTTTCAGGTTGTTGAACATCGTGAGAGAGAAAATGCGAGACGGTGGCATTACTCGCGAAACTATTAGAGAGCTTTTCTTTTGAGCGCGGGAGCGGGCGAGAAGTGGACATTTTTTTTTAGCGAGACGGAGCAAGGTGTTCATGCAGAATAGATGATAAGAAACTTGCTGAGCAGTTTTAAATAGCAAATGGCCGAGGAAGATCCCGTCGAGAAAGCAGACCCCGAGGCGGATGCGCCGCAAACGCGGCGTGGATCGACGGAATCTGTAGACGCAGGGTCGGTCACATCGGCAGCCGTCCGAAGAGTATTGGATTTTCGTAGAAATAGTGATTGCATGATTAATTTTTCTGAAGATCGCATAGCGATTCATTCCATTGCAGCTTCCGTCAAAAAAAGCAGATCCGCTTTCGACGCTCTCTTTTCAGGTGATCGACATCATTCTTCGAGACGCCGTTGCGCAGGGAGAGCAGGTAGAAGAAGAGGCTGGCAACAATGCGGACCCGAAGGCGAGCAGTGAGAATGCGAGTGTGCTGGGAGCAGACGGAGAGCGCGCGGATGTTGGCGACACAGCCACGGACGCAACCCCCAAGAAAATCAATGGATTATCGCCGGCAGATATCGAAGCAGAGTTTCTTGCGTTCTGGCGCGCACGAGAAGCGGGCACGCTGGGGAGCAGCCCGCAGGCGAAGTATTCGCATATAAAGATATGATTTTTACCACCAGGAGAGATTTTTTCGTACATGAGATAAAGCTAGCTGGCAAGCTTTATCACAAATTATCTCCCCACCCGAAACCGAAACAGGCAGCCCGACGCCGGGTCAAGCACCGGGAAGAAAACGCCGGTCGAACAACAGCAGACGGCTCTCCCGATGTCCTCGCTGCAAATCGACCATCCGGACCTCCTCGGAATAGAGATCGCCCCGCCCGCCGTGACGAGCCCGAGTCTACGCTACGGCCCCGCACGCTACCCCTCCAACGCGCCCGCGACCCACGCGGCGCCGGACCGGTATGTGCGCAACCCGGCTTATCTCTCCGCGCAGGGCTTCCTCGACGGCCTGATCAAGATCTGCAAGGAGTGGCAGCAGATCCACGCCCCGGACACGACGACCACCAGCACGGCTTCCACGTCGACAAAAGCGACGCTGAACAGTGCCTTCAGCGCCGCCGCCGCGGACCGCGACGGGGTGTCCCAGACAGACCTGACGGCGGTCCAGCAGATTCAGCAGACGCTGTCCCGCAGGCTGCTGCAGCTGACGTTTGCCAGCGTGGACAAGGAGAGCTGCATCAGTCCGCGAGCCGCCACCGCAAGCCGGGAGTACAAAGTCGTTCCGGCCTCGGTGTCGCGGACAATGCCCCCACTGCCCGTGGACAAGGACATCGTTTTTCCGACGCCGGAATTCGCAACTGCGGTGGTGCGCCGCGCGATCAAAAAAGTGGATGCCAGAGCCAGTCACGCGGTGCGCCGGGCGTTGCAGGAAATTTTTCAGTAAACAGTTAGTTTTACATGAGCGCCGCAGCTTTTTGATCTGTTTCCAACTTTACCTTTTTCAGAATGCGCTTGTTAGGAAAGGTAGTTAGTAAATGGTGTTTGCTGTTGCTCTTTTACTTTCTAGGTTCTCGTCATTTTAAATGCGAACAAAAAACCTAGCTATTTCGCGCGCGCGGACGCAGAGAGCACGACGAGTACTAGTGGGAAAATACAGTGGGTTTCCGTGTACCAGTGGCATCTGTTCGTGCAGAGTTTTGGTTTGCTCGAGGTCACTCAGGAGCCCGCGGATAATTTCCACGAAAAGTTTGGGCCGAGAAAGGAGCCCATTGACTTCCTCTACTTCACGGAGCTCCTGTCCGAGGTGGCTATCGCGTTTCTCGAAAAGGTGAACTACCCCCTCACCATCGCGCAGCTCAACATTGGCCAAGACCACGCGGATCGGGTGGCGGCACTGTACCGGTTCTGCGAAGTCTGGGGTCTGCAGAAGGACGGGGACCTCGACTGGAGAAAATTTCTCCGTGGGCGGGAGCGGATTCGCCTCCGCAGCCCCACCGGCGCCCGGTCGCCAACGATGGTGGTCGTGTCACCAACGCAAGCAAGGCTCCAATCCCAAGCGCTGTCCCCAAGCAGGTACGAATTGATGTGGATTTTATTTCGCAGGAGGTTGTGCTCACGATGCACGATGGACAGGACAGGTTTCTGTTTGCGAAACACATCCTAGACGTCGATCTTGATTTTCATCATACACGCAACTTTTCTAGGGTCCGACTGCTGAGCGGGAAGCAACCCACCCGGCCCGCGGCGCAGCGGTCCGCGCGCAGCATGCTGAGTCCGAACGCGAGGAGCGTGCAGTCGCAGCCCATGTTTCACCCTTTGATGGAAAACAAGTTTGTCGCGGAGCAGGATGTGCCTCAAGCCACCTTCGACCATTCCACTGTGATCAAAACACTGCTGCAAGAACGGGAGGACGCGTTTAAGCGCGAGGCGAGTTTGCTGAAAGATCACCAGTACTACCAGCAGCTGCTGCAGGCCAATCCACCAGTACTCGGTGCGTCTGCTTTGCAGGAGGCGCAATCTGGGGCGCAGGTGCCGACCGGCAGTCTGTCGCTGAAGCAGCAGAAACCGGCAATCACCGGCGCTTTCGAGCAAGCACAATCGCAGCGCGGCTCCTTCGCGACGTCAAAGCTGCCATCCTTGCGGAAGCAAAGCGCGACGGCCAGACCTGCGGTTGTGATTAGCCCGAGAAGTAGTGCTGCTGCAGTTACAAGACAAAGTCGCAGTGCGGCCACAGCAAGCACCGGTCTGGGAAATGTGCGGCCCGGAGCGGCTGCGGCTAGCAAGGCGGATCTTCCGACGCGCAGCGCAACAACGGCGGGAGCTGTCCACCCCGAGGGATACAGCAGTAGAAAAAGCAAAACCGCGAGCGCCCCCGACACGGCGTTGGTAGAAGGCGAAGGTGGAACCACTGCAGGAGCTCTCGCGGAAGAGGTGGAGTACACCGCCGAAGAGTGGGCTGCGTGGGAGTGGGAGCAGTACGGAGCGGTAGCCGCGGCGGCGGGCGGACAAGAATGGGACGCTACGGAGCACTGGGACGAAGAAAACGCGGAGGGTAACTGGGAGGGAGCAGGTGCGGAGGACTGGAACGCGGAGTGGGGTGGTGCGGCCGAAACAAACTGGGACGAAAACGCCGCCGAGTACTGGCAAGAGGGTGCTGCGGAAACCGCCTGGGGCGCGGAAGGCGTGTGGGGTGAAGAGTGGGCGGGTGAGGAAGCGGAGTGGGCGGAGGGCGGTCAAGCGGAGGACGCGGCGGGTGAACAAGAGTGGTGGGCCGAAGAGCAGTGATATTCTTCGAAATGCGTTCGAAAAAAGATGAAGTCATAAACGCTATTTACCTGGGTGACATGGAGTGAAAAAAAAAATTCTGCAACTTATTTTCTTGTCAGATGAATTTGCAAAAAGGAAAAGCGCGGTATTATGAAACAACGCGGCTTCGACCCAATTTCTACTTTCTAAAGTGAGATATCTACAATAACAGGTGAGGGAGTTCCCTGAAAATAAGGACCTATCATCGCAGGAAACACATGATCGAAGTACTTACTGCAAAAGTATGTTGGATAAAAGACCCACCTTGGATGAAGAACCAAGGAAAATTCAGTACGGTGTAGCACCGATCTTCCTGAACCGACCACAAGTGTAGTATAGAAAATCATTTTGGATTGTTGCGCAAGGTGGTAATACCTATGTTGTAGTATGAGCTCGAACGCATACGCAAGTCCATCCTGGTTGCAATCATGATATGGCTATCCACAATCGATCTGTTGTATTCACGGGCACAATAAATGTAATGCGAATTTTGAAAAGGCTGAAACAAGCCACGTGTTCGAGAAGAAGATTTGGTGAAGTGTGTCCCGCTGGCAGCTGCAGGCATGAGAGGTCCGCGCCCGAGGATGCATGGACATTCGTTTCCAACGCCAGAGAGAGACTAGCCTGAGCTTGCGGCCCGTGTAATCACAAAATTTATCTGAGAGAAGTTCACCCCGACCAGAATTTGAATTTGTGAGGGTAATCTTGTTTTTGTGACATCTTCCAGCGGATAATTTCGCTCGAACTAATCATCATCATCATCAGCGGATAATTTCGTTCTATAGGAGCTCGTCGTTCAGGGGGGCGATTCGTTGCAGGCTTGATTGCACCGAAAATTTCGGGCGCGCAGCTGATAGCCAAAGATGGTCGTCTTCACACCGACCAGGGGGGAAAAGATCCAGTTGTACTGGAACGAAAGAACGAAGTACGGCGTGACTTACTCGGTTCTTGATGTGATACGCTGCGTTCATGGCGACGGACGGGGCGAGGACACGCGTGTTCTCCTAGAGAAGTGCGGCAAGAATGACTACGTCGCCAATCTGATCATCGATGGTGGCCGCATGGTCCTTGTGCGACCCGAAAAAGGCGGCGCCGTTTACTCCCGAGACCCCGTCCACGACATCCGCCGAGAAGTCGGAAGCGATCGCAGGGCGGAGGAGAATGAACGGGCACTCCGGCGCGTAGAGGTCAGGCGCCTCAAAGACAAGATGCGCGGAGGCCGCAACGCGAGCGACGTCGAACAGGAGCTGCCGCAGTTTGAGGGTTTCATCACCGGCAAGTCCAAGCTGATTGTCGACGTGCATGTTTTCAACGAGAACAGCTTACACTTTCCGAATGCGGCTGCAGCGAGTACCCCAGTAGCAGATTTGAAGCAGCTCGAAGCCGTGTTGTCGCTCATCCCACAGCATGAATTCGACGGCCGCGATATGCCCGAAATGCACATCAAGCACAAGCTGGCGATCTCGAAGCTCTTCGGAAAGGGCCTGCAGAACAAGGAAGTGAAGAATCTGTTGGACTCGCAACGCTCCTCGACCGAGGAGGCCGGTGGTTCCGCCGGCGGTAGCGGACAGCGGCGGTTTTCTCCGGTAGACGGTGTTGCTTGCGCCGGCATTCCAGCAGATTTGCTGGCACGATTGACCAAACCGGCGAAACTCCGGGAGCTTGTCAACTTTGAGGAATACCAGTTGTACGCCCAGTTTTCTTGCGATTGCGGCCTGCGGGATCGCGAATCGCAAAGAGACGACCCGCAACCCTTTGAACGAATGCGGAAAAAAAACTGGAGTTCCATCAAGGCTTGGGGTATTTACCTCGACCAGCCCCCGGATCAGGACCCAAGGGCGCAGAGTGCAAGAACGGGTCTCGCAACCAACTACCGCGAGGATGACGCGGACCGAGCTCTCTTCGAGCGCTTCGCGAGTTTGCGTCTTGATGACGGCGAGCGTAGTCGCGGTTTGCAGGTGACGCGCCGCGATTCGACTGCCACCTTGAACAGCGATGACACGACCTGCTTCGGCTGCGGTGTCGATCTGGAGCGCAAAGCCATGGTCGGTTGCACCTGCGTGTTTTGGGACTACGAGGAGAACCGCGACGCGCGATTCAACCAGTGGCGCAATGCCAAGAACGAGAAGCCGAAACAAGCCTGTACCGGTTGCGGAGCATTCGTCGAAGCGCATTTTCTCGAGATGCTGTGGGACCACCATCCGCACGGTCGGCACAAACCGGAAGGCTGCCCGAAGTGCATTCGCCTGAAACAGTTTTGTTCCGCCGATAAGAGGTCGGTTTGCGACATCTACAAACTGATTCTGAAGGCGATTCACCCCGAACTATCGTGGCGCGAAACCGACTCGGGTGTGATGAGTGAATTTTACGTTGATGCTTCCAAGAAGGACAGCGTGGGTAGGACTTGCGGCGGCGGGGAAGGGTCCGGTGCGGTGTCTGCTTCCCCCCCTGAAAGACTGCGTGTGATGCTAAAAATCGAGCCGCAGTTGTTTTTCATCAGTCAGGCGCAGGCTAAGCAAACGCTGCTCGAAGAAAAGAAGTACCGCAAGTGGTGATTGACTTTTTGGATAGGTCAGAAATGAGTTTTTTTTTCAAAAACACGTCGTGAGCTTTGTTTTTCTTTTTGTACTACTTTACTTTTAGTTCTTCTTCTTGCAGTTTACTTCATTCCGATTCCATGTTCTTAGACAGAGAATGAGACTACACTAACTCCTCGGTTCAGTTGTACTGGAAAAAGCGTAGTCGGCACCTTCGCGGTCGTCAATTCCAGAGGACATCGAAATTGCAAACAAATTTTGACGGATGGCGAAAAAGATGATACTATCGAAAGAATTACTTTCCAAAGACTAGGAATGGACCTTAACCGATCAATCTCTGTCGCTCTCCGCCCCTTCGGCCCTTACGCAGTAGCAATACTCTTCGTCTTCGCCGATCGGTTTCATGATCAACAGGTGCTCGGTTACAGTGTGGGCGCTCATTGCAACAACGGGCACTTTTATGCGACTCGAAGCTTCTGCTCGGTCTGTCTCTTCGCTGGTCGTCGGTGACGTTGCAAAGTCGTCAAAGAATAAATCAGCATCCTTTCGGTCTCGACGTAGAGAAAAAAATACTACTCGTGCGATTCATTCGGTCACTGTAGTTGTCTCGTGGACGCCATTCGAAGAATCGGGCTTCGTTCTGCACAGCCATATCAAAAAGTCGGTTTCGTGCACAAACAATTGTGGAAAAAACCTCGTTGGGCACCAGATTCGTCCGTGTCGGTGCGTCCGCTCGGGATTCAGATTCAAAACTTTTCGTTCTTTGTCACGATTGCATTACGTCGAAACTGCTCAATTTTATCAACTTCAAATTCATCGACTGCAGGCTCTTTGACGGTACCCCCGTTTCGGAGGCAAAGGGCAATGATCTGCGATTCAATTTAACATTTGCTATAGCACCGTTTTATTTTTATTTGTTATTTGATTTCCCCCCTTACCGCATCTTTTTTGTAGAGCCCGGCGTTTGGTGGTGACGTCGGGCGATCTGATTTTGTGTTGAAAAGCCACCACAGCGAGAATATCAAACCTACAGTTTAATAAAAACAATTCTTCCACCTTCTGCACTTTGGCTTCTCACGACCGCGCTTGCCAGCAGCAGCGGTGGCAGCAGCTACTATGGGGAAGAAGGACGACAGGATGCTGGAGAGCGGCATGGGCTCCACGGCGCCGATGGATGGCCTCAGCCGCCAATCCTACGCGAAACTCGGCCGGCCGGTGGCGGACAAAACGCTGTTGCAGCACAAAAGCCCGGAGGACACGGGCCCGCCCCCGGGCACGACGGCGCGCGACTTCCCGGCTATCACCGCGATGTGCCTCGGATTGATCACCTACCTTTGGTTTCTGACCATTACCACGAACAAGCTGGGTGACGACGACTACCAGAAGCTGGGGCCAGGGATCCTCGGCAAGTACGGCGGAGGCTGTCGCGAGCTCTCCTTCACGCTCTACTCGCAGGAGCTGGCGTACGGATAATTTTTTTTCTTCACATTTTTGCTTTTTCTTTTCATTCGCACATCGTTGCAACTGCAGTCTACTTCCCGTAGTTCTTGCCATATTTATCATCAAGATAGAGCGCGTGGTCTCAACAAATAGCATGATATCAAAAAGGAAAAAACTACGTTTTACATCACAGACACGCACTGGTGGTCCCAAACACGGTGTGCTACCTGATTGGTGGGATGCTGTGTATCTTTTTTGGGTTGTGGGTGGAGTTTCGGTACGAGGCGAAGGCGACGGGTATCCTGTTCGCGCTTTGGTACGTGATCACGATCCTGCAGGGTATTCTGATCCAGATGACCGGGGGGAGGGGCAGAAACCACCACCCCAGTTCCGGCCTGCCGTCGTTCCTGCTGCAGCTCATGATTTGGCTACCCTGGCAGCGATACGCCGAGATCCACTCCATCTTGTACCCAAACGAGGTCGACAAGAAGGACGAGGCCGCAAAAATAAGTGCCGAAGCAGCACAGATGGGGGTACTTGTTTTTTCCTTATTTCTTGACATAAAACATATCTACGTCTATCACAAGGGGGGATCATTTCTATTTTTCCTAATATGAACATTGCAACTGCATAAAAACCACCGCGAAAGTATACAACGTCTTCGCTGCTGCGCACTTGGTCCAGTTTCGTGACCTGGACCTCACTACGAAAATGAAAATCAGGTGACCCGTGACCTGTTGCACGAGATGGGCCTGCCGAACGAAAATGTGGTGACTCAGGAGATTTACGCGCGGCGAACGAAGATGGAGGAGTACCGACTGAAGTATCGCGACGAGTCTTTGACCGAGCGAGATCGCCTCCTTGCGACGTGCCCCTTCCCGGCTATATGGTTTTTGGGACTCACGATTGGCATCCCATCCCTCGCGATTGGAAGCGTGTTCCTGTTGCAGGACGGCATGCTCAAAGGCTTCAACTCCGTCATTGTCATCGTATAACTCGTCCTTTTCAACACACTTTTAAGTAGTTTCCCGCGTCACTGCCTTTGGTCTAAGTCATGGTTGTAGTTTTGGTAGTTGCGACTTGCTTTTGAGCACTCGTCTGGACGGACTGTCAAGCTGGTTCTCCTTATATTTTTTTGCTGCAACAGTATCAACAGCTAGATTTTGTTTTTCCGGGAAGCTGCATCCAATAAAATAAACATTTAACATCCTCAAATTTATTCGATCGAAAAATAATAGGTTCTCGGACTAATTGGCGCGGCGCTGGGTATGGTGATCATGATGATTCCCTGGATCCAGCAGAAAAACTTCCACCACAAGCCCTTGCGCGTGGTTCGCGCACAGGACGCACTGGATGACGAGGACGACGACGATTTGAATTTTGAGATGATGGACCAGGGCGACGCGGAGGAGAGCGCGGACATCGGTGGCGACTTATGCACTGCAAAAATGTCTGGGTCTGGAAGGTTGGAACTTGTAATGCTAGCTGTACACTCCTGGGAAATCTGTATTGCATAAGCAGCAAAAGTCGCAACCTCTTTTGTCATGCAAAAACGTAGTTTCTCATGCGGATTGCGTATGAGAAAGCGTTTTGGGAAGTTGTCACGCTGGGCTGCATTCGGAAGTGTTTTCATCGTGCACGTTTTAGCATCACAAGTTGAAGTTTCCAGACCCAGACATATTTGCATTTGATACGACTGGGCCGTGTCGGACACGATCTACCACCGGTACAACCACAACTTCATGACCAAAATCGTCTTCTGCACGATCACCATCGCCCTGGGAATCTACATCACCGTGATCTCCCGGGCGATGTTGTTTGACCGCTTCTCGCAGGCCTAGGGAGGAAGTGGTCCTGTCCCGCGACCGATAGGTCTCTACCGACGAAGCGGCTTTATTGCAGTGGTCGTTCTTGTGGCGAAATACAGTAGTGGAATTATCGGAGGAAGAGGAAAAGGAGGTGAAAGTGCGCGGCGCTTTCGCTTTTTTATTGTCCAGAGTGTTTGATAATGTTTGGCTTTGGGCTATCAAAAAAATCAAACCGGGACAACTAGCAACTGCACAACTTCCCCGATTCGCATCGCTATCGCCGATGGCCGTGTCTCAACAGCATGGCTTTTCGTCTCGCGTTTCCTATTTTTCCCGGTTTTCTCTTTATTTGTACCTAATTCATTGTATTATTCACAGTTTTCGTCATTTTGTACTTTCACACGGTTCTCCTGCATAGTTAACGAGCGCGCGTCAGCGTTTTTTTCCCAAGAAGATAGAACAGCAATTCATATTATCTCACAGTTGTTTTTGTGAAATTTTCAAATTAAAGTTCCTTACCTAGTACCTCCACTACCGAAATTAACACCTACGGCCCTGCGCCGGACTGACTGCAGTTCTTGTATCTGCTGCCTTGTCCAAAATATGGGGTACTGCGTGAGTTGTAAGAAATATTGTAAAGTGGATCAATCGCGGTACAGTTTCCGAAGCAAAAAATCATACGGGGCGCGTCTGTATGATTTCTGTGCCTGCTGTGTTGTACTACACAATAAGATAGCGTGGGACCTCCACCACCACCGCCCATCTCTACCAGGTGTGCGGCGTTTTGAATTGGGTTTGTGTGAAAAATGCATCGTGTTCGAGACAGACTCCGTCGTGATTTTTCTCAAGCTTGTCGCGCACAAACACGACATGAGTTTTTGTTTTTCCCGCTTCTTTCATCAAGAAGGGAGTGCGTGTGTCCGTTGTGTTTTTTCGAGAGAGAGAAAATGCCGCGGTTGGACGTCACGCTCACGTGCGGCTGCAGGAGTATGCGTGAGCAAGTACATCTCGTCTTTTCACGACCTGTTGAAGCCGCTCAAGCTTGACCTTGTTGTCTTTCTATCTCTCGTCCAACCAGGAGCTGCAAGACATGCAACTGCACGACCTGTCTTCACACCGTGAGCAGCCTCTCATGGTAACCAGACCGGGTAGTTTGGAGCTGGGTAGGACTCCTACCCTACCGCTAGTTAGACCACCACAAGGCGGACGCTGAAGTACTTATGAGGCGTTTGTCTTTTTTGAGAACAGCTTACTCCACGGACCTAGAAAAACAGGCAAGTTGTGACATCTTATAGATTTTTTGAGTTGATGCCCTTGCCGCGAGTCACATTTCTCACGGGGGAAAACGTGCTAAGTTATGATTTACGTCCAAAATAATCCTGCAAAAGGCGAGTTCTGCCGAATACAAACCGCCGATAAGCAAAACACTACATTTAAAAATAATAATTTTTCAGGCTTTCCGATCCTCAGAGGAAACAGTTAAACTTGCAGCGACCTCCAAGTTTTCAATTTTGCGATACGTGCTTAAAGTTCTCAAGTTTGTCGCTTTTCCTATTTTACAGCGATCTCCAGTTTTCTTGCTCTCGCAAATTTAGGCATGTGAGAACTGTACAAAAAAGACTTTAAGGCTCTTAATTAGTTTCATCAGATAGTCAATATTTCTGTTACAACTTCTTTTCCTTGTCTTACTCTTTGTCGTTTTGGTAGTTGTAGGCCAGTGCTATTTTTTTTCCTCCCTTCATTGTCACAATTGCGGTTTTCACTATTGCCATCGCTGAACTCGCGACCAGGCCGCTCCGACGGTGGATCCGCGCTCTGCAGCCGAAGCTAGTATTAAGCGTGGTCAAGAATTAGCTCATGATTAGCTCCAGCTGCACTCTTAAAGTTCTGGAACGCCGCCACGCAGCCGAGCCGAGCCGAAATCTGTAGGGTTTTGGCTCGTGCTGCGATTGACCAAGGGAGCAGGTCCTCCTTGAGTGCAGCAAGTGCTTGGAACCACGACACAGCAGGAATGAAGTGCGACTTCTTAACATCTGACGACGAGGTACCTTCTCCGCCGATCATGGAGGGCCTTAAAGATGATCTCCAACGCCGGGAAGTAGAGGAAGATTGTTCCGCCCAGGTCGTCGTGTCGTGCGAGCCGTGTGCTGCCATTGGTCCGGCCGCGGCGCGCCACAAGCGGAGCAAGAAGATGAACAAGAACGCGTGGCTCCTTCAGATGAAGATGGAGGCGATATCGTATTGAAAAATGTCCCCACGATCCCATAGTTGTAATGCGAATCTGCCTGCTGAAAATGTTTCTCGTGCGGAGCCCCATGAGAAGCATTTTCTAGTCGTGTTTTGCAATTTGTCATGCTGCAATCAGCATGATGCACTAGATCGCAAGACAGCCTGATACACAATGCCATTCCCGCAGTTGCACAGTCTGTGTATGTCATGCAAGACAGCCAAAGCTTGTGGATTTCGATTTGTCTAGCCGATTCCCCATCTTGACTATGGGGTGTGGGCCGCATTTTTACACAGGATAGGCGACTGGCCCTCGTCGACCACTTGGGCACTTTGATTCGTTGAACGAGAACGACGGAACAAATCCGCTCGGGGAGTTTTTCACCAGGAAGGACCAACCTCTGTGGACCACGTTTGAAGTGTTCGTCTACCTTGGGGGCCTGTTATCAAATGCAAATGAGGTCTGGAATGCAGGATCTAGCATAACAGATCCTGTGAGGTCTGTATCATGCCCACTCTGCATGAGAAACTCACTCCAAACTTGGTCAAAAATGGCCATCCTTTGGTAATCACGCAACACAGATTTTTGCATGATCCAGACTAAGCATGACAAGTTTGCATCCTTCTAGACCCAGACACTTTTGCATTTGATACCTGTTTCAGGTGTACAACGTCACCTGTGTTGGGATCGACAGCCTGCGAGTTCTGGCCGGTTTGGTCAGCACCATGATGGGCACAGACGTGCGGGCCCAGCGGCACTGTCTGGCCTTACTGGAGGCGTTCGCGAAGCTCTCCGTCGTGGCTCCCTATCAAATGTAAAAATGTCTGGGTCTGGGAGATTGCAACTTGTCATGCTGTTTTTGGACTCTAAAAAAATTTGTATTGCATGACCAGCAAGAGGGGTATGATTTGCGCTACACGGACAGGGCATTTCTCATGCGGAAGGTGCATCAGGAAGCCCTCTAAAAGTCTGCGATGCTAAGTCATGCATTACAGGCATCACGGGCCATGAGAAATATGCATGACAAATCTTGCATTCTTCCAGACCCAAACATTTTTGCATTTGATACTCCCGTGTTTCTCACAATGGACCCCGAGGGCGCGGCGGAGGGTCTCGAATACCTGCGGTTGCGGGCGATGTGCGAGAAGGCTGCGAGGGAGACGTCGCGGACTACACCGGAGTTAGAATGGGCGGGAGACATAAAGCGAGCGTGGACCAAAAAGCTGATCAACAAGAAACAACAACCTGCAGGAGTCAAGAACCGGCTTTGTTGCTTCGGGGAATCCTTCGCGAAAACGTGTGGGGTGAACCGAGACATCTTGCGTACGCGGGCCGAGAAGGAGGTCAAGAGGCGGGCGCAGCAGGAGCGTCGTTGTTCGAGGGCCACTCCTTCCGACCTGAGAGCGGCTGTCGAGCTGGAGACGAAACAGGGCTGCGACATCGCCTGGGCGTTGGTCCAAAAACCTGGAACCTTTACCATGCTGGACCGCCCGAGCGGGCAGGGGCGCGAGAAAATGTTGAACGAGCACTTGAGAAGTACTTCTAGGGACGAAGAACAAGAGCAGCAAAACGACCAAACGGCTCCGCCGGAAGAGCAGCAGTCGGCACAGCTGTGCGTCGATGTGAACAAATCCGATGAGAATTATCCATCGTTCTTCCCGGCTGGGGCAGTTTCGGTCGCGCCGTCTTCAGAAACTGTCATTGGCGCAGCTGCTCCTGCAATGCCAATGGCGCCTACTACTCCTCTACATGATGCAAGTGCTGCGGGTTATAATAATGCTCCGTGCAGCCCCCGTCGAGGCATTTTGAAAACCGGCGGCAGCAGTGCCCTTGCCAGCCTCCACGTGGACGGTAGCATGATTACCACTTCCCTTGGGCGGCGACCTGATGAACCGTCGTGCCGGTCTCGCGGTCTGTCCCTCCCCTCGCTAGCGGATTCCGAGGGGAGTGGGGCGTTGCAGAACCTCATGAACGCAGATCGGCTCAAGAAGCACCGGGTCAATTTTGCGGGGGACGAAGTAGTATCTTCAAGCGGAGGAGACATAGCTCCGCTGGGAGATGAGCAAGCATTTTTAGAGAACAAGAAGAGGAGCGCTACCACTAGCACGACCCGCACGAACAGCAACACGACCAACCCGATGAATATCTTCCAGTTGGGCGAACAAGATGCGAACAAGGACGAGCCACGGTGGAGTTCAAAGAACCTGTTCAATAGAAAACTGTCGACAGATGACGAGTTTGAGAAACAGGCCGAAGAAAATGGAAGCTACGACGGAAGGCGTCGCGTGTACGGGAACTACTACTTACAGCCGTCGACCGTCGTTCTTTCTGGGCAATAAAAAGACCACGTCTACAAAGGAACTCAACCTGCAGGAGGACAAGCAAGATGAAGCTGAGCCTGCGCTGCCTCTGCCTCCCTGTCCCCTCTCCGACAGCAGTGAGGACGATGACTTCGGTGACCTACGGCAGATGAAAATACGCAAGGACGTCGCGGGAGTTCAGCGGTGCGACTCAAACTTGGTGTGCCACTACGACCCCGACACGGCCTATGAGGAAGCGAAAAAAAACGAAGAGGCGCTGGACCTGCCTTGCTTCTCGATTGAGAGTTCTGGTGACGAAGTAGATCCTTCGTGCCGGGAGACGACGTTGAAGAAATCCCGTGCAGCATCTGCGAAGAGGTCGCGCCGGGAGACGACGTCGAAGAAAATCCATGCAGCATCTGCGAATACGAATCGGAGACTCATGGGCGACGAGCTCTTGACCCTGATAGAACCAGGAGAGCCAAATCCAAAACGATTGGAGAGCGTTGATATTTTTCCTGGTGGATTTGGCACCAGCTCCAAAGAAGAAGAACAGCTCCTGCGCAGCAACTACGTGCCCGTCTTGAGTGGAGCAAGTGCTTGGAACCACGACAGACCAGGAATAAAGTGCGACTTCTCAACATTTGAAGACGAGGATCATCAAGGGGGCCTTCCTCGTGCTTCCCGCATCAGCTACGCCACGCGGGGCGGTTGTGCTTCTGGGTCATTTCCCCCGGGCCTGGGCGGATGCGAGATCTATTCCGACAACGGCAGTGAAGAGGAAGCAAAGGGAATCAAAACCGAGCTGGTGCAGGACCAGCGGGCCTTCCACGAAGATGATAAGCGAGAGCAGCAGGAGCTGCTGCCTCGCTTGCCGTCCACCTTGCCGCGCAAGAAGAACCAGGAGCAAGATCCTCGCACCTCTCAGGGTTCACCTCTCGTAGAGGAATTTTATGCGAGCAGCAATAGCGTGCTGAATAGACGTAGAAGCGGAGATGAACTCTCCACCATGACAATGTCTGACCACGTGGTTGGCGCATTTGGGGCGGGCCGCGAAATGAAAAAGCAGGAGGACGACCACGAGATGGGGACTGCGAGCAGGAGCAAGGAAACTACTACCAAAAAGGCAAAGAATCGGCCGCCGATCATCGAGGACCTTGAAGATGATCTCCAACGCCAGGAAGTAGAGAAAGATTGTTCTTCCCAGGTCGACGTCATCTCGTGCGAGCCGTGTGCTGTCGTTGATGGTTCTAACACGACAAGTACGCCCAATTTGTCGACGTCTATTAGCCACGATGCCCCGAGCTGGACAACATCAACTACCGACAGCCAACACACCAAAATAAATCTTCGTCGCTCCTTTACTACTATCAAATGCAAATATGTCTGGGTCTGGAAACTTGTGATGCTAATACATGCATCACAAACTGATTCTGATACGCAGCCACGCATGAGAAATCGCGTTTTTGCATGAAAGAGTTTTGGCGCTATACCACAACATGCATCACAGAGTTCAGGGGTATGCCAGTTCAGTAATACAAATCTCGCAATCTTCCAGACCCAGACATATTAATTTGCAATTCATAAGAAAGTACACGCTGTCCCTGCGGGTCCGCACTGCCGCTCGTTCGCACGCCGTTGCAGCAGCGCGACAATAAGTGGGACGTGGAGAATTTGCAAGACCGCCTCCGGCTCTTTGGCACTTGCATCAACAGAATCGGCGACGTGGACATGCAAAATATCATCTCGGTGTGCGAAATCGCCACGCGCCCCTGTCCTCTCGGGTACGGCCATCACCCTTTGATTTCTCTTGGTCGCACGGACGCGTTTCTCCCGGGCAGTAACTAACGACCAGGGTTTATCAACAGATTGCAAATGCAATTGATGTCAAGAAGAACAGTAACGCCCCTAAGGCCGCCAGCTGTTGATGAGAATGGAAATCCCTAGATTATGCTCTACTGTTTCGTAGTGCGAAAAATAGAAACTTCACACTTGAGTTTCCATTTTGTGTCTGCAGAATTTTTATTTTTGTTTTCTGTCCGGGCCCGGGGAAATGGAAAATAAATGGAACTCGAGAAAGCTCCACGTCGTTGAGGATACAGAAAAGACTTTAAAAAAAGCCAGAGATATTCCAACTGCGGTGGAAGCAGCAATGGAGTTCGAAAATGATAGAAAAGTTATGAAAAAATGGATTACACCTTCTATGCACACTCTTGCAAGTGGTCTGCTTTAGCCTCTCAGAAGGAGGCGGATGAGCATCAATGTAAGAGTACATACATCTGTTGCTGGTTTATTTGTTGGAGATTCGCACGAATCATCCATGAATAGGAGCAAATAGCAGCTTTCGCTCTTATTTTGCTCACCAAGAAACACTCACGGCTTCCGTTGAAGTACGTAGACTCTCTTCGGCATCTTCACTAATTTTGCGACACTCTTCTTTAACAAATTTCAAAAACCAAAAAAGAATTTAAGAAAGGTAGAATTTTGCTGTGGTTGCTTTTAAAACTGATGCAGCAAAAATGAACTCATCTTCCTTGCTTAGGCTACTTGACACCTGCACGACGACGGAGCTCGCTTAAAGATCCGACAGAAAGTTTGGCTTATGTGAGCTACTGTTTATTTTATGCCGTAAGTGTGAAAGACAAGAGGCACGATATTCTTGCTCTCAGACCTTCGAGACAGAAGAAATGCGATGGAGTTGGAATATTTCTTTTTTTTGCGCGTAGAAGTTATCCAGAATGACCCCCATCACCCACCTAGTAAGTGCTTTATGTTGTGTGCTTGATCTTGATTGAGGCACTTCCCTCGGAGGTGCATTCTTTGAGGCTAGTACGAAAATTTTGATGGATATGATTTTCACATCGTATTCGTAAGCGAAAGCGTAACTGCAGGCACCAGCAGGGTTAAATCTTCTACCGCAAGGGTGGTGTGATCTTATGCGTTGATGGCCAGCAGTTCATGCTGCTACAAGTACTCAATTTTTAAGTACTTCCTTCAGTGATTTTACAAAGCAATTATTTTGCTGGCCCAGTTGTTGTTCAACATATTCATGCACTTTGACCACTTTTGCTAACTACAATTTTCATATTTTTTCAAATTATTGATTTAGTAAAAAGAAGAGAAACAAAGTAACCGCTTTAGACTTTGAAGCTTTTACAGTGAAGTAGAAAACGACAAAAGCTTAAAAGAATTAGATAGAAGCAAAACGATCAAAGAGTCGCGAGCTTCATCCTCCTCAAGATATTTTTTCGTCAGGCCTAATTTTAGGCTAGGACTGTAGTCAGCAGCGTCTTGTTTCGACATGTTTCGCAGCAGACGGCTTTGATTGAAGTAGCGCTAGAAAAAGATTCATGAGTAAACGCCTTCCCAGTTTTAAACGCATGAATACAAGCAAACAAACACGAGAACGATAGTGCCGCGCATCAATTTGCGGTTTTTAAGTGAGATATTTATATAAACATTGATAGTACGTAATACATAGTTGGAGGAAGGCTTCTGTAGCGAAGAAGCAAGTGCTTGTCGCTATCTGTTTTGTAGATCCTTCTCGCAACACCAACACTGCTTTTCTGAAAGGCATAGGCTTCTAGCGCGACAAGAAACTGCAACAAGAAACGTGAGTATGAGGTTGACGTCTTGGTATGTGGTTGTACCACTCGGAAAGCTAAGAATTCTACAGAGAAAGAAAAAGGAACGTGCGTATTTGTATCATCAGCGTAGCGTCTAGAAGCTCCAGCGTACTGACACGTAATTTCTGCTTTTGGCAAACGTGAAGATTGCATCTTCATCTATTCGTATTGCAAACGTGGCTGATATACAACTTTTGCATCGTGATGAGCGTTCAAACCGTACTGCGAGTTTTGCATCCTCGTTCCACATCACGCTCGCAAGAAGGACGAAAAACGGCAGAATCGTTCCAACACGTACAGTCGCAGAGCATTGACTCCCTCGTACCATGCTGACGACTTAGTAAAACTAGAAGAAAATAATTATACGTGGTAACGTCCTTAGCATATTTCGTACGTACATAGCATCCGTGAGCACGTAGGCCGTAGTAGCTGGGCAAGGATTCTTCAGTGAAGGATTTTTTCCGTCAAGAAAAATGTCGGTTTTTTTTGTGTGTTCCGTGAGACTCGCAGCATGAGCAATTCAGATAAGAAGAGCAAAGACCAAAACAATCTGTTTCCTAGTTTTTTAGACGATTCAAGCTGGTACAACAATTCGGCTTCTTTCCATTTGTCTGCAGGAAGAGGAAGAGCAGCTTCAGTTCTGTTTCAAGACGAGCATTTTTTCTGGCCAAAAGTGCATCTTATGATTGTTGCGTGAGAGAGAAAGTGATAGGTACTAAGACTGCAATGAACGGTTATCTCAAAAATCAGCGTCTTCTTGACCGAAACGGCATTGAGTTTCATGTGTGTGCTTCCAATCTTCATTCTTGCAAATTTTTCCAAAAAATCCATGACCCCACCCCGTGTGACGACCCCAAACTCTTGCCACCCAAAAAACTTTAGCTCTGTTTTTTCGAAGAGAGAGAGTTGTTTTCGGGTATGATTATTAATAGGTACCATACAGTTTGGATATCTCGAAAATAATTTATCACTATTTACGCACTTAGGTTACTGCTATTTTTTCCTATTTTTTCACTATTTTCTTTTATTTACATTTTTCGCAATTTGATACGAGGTTTAGGATAATTTATTATTCTAATATCACAATTTACTTATATTCGCTTTTATTCTAACTAGGTTGATATCACACTCTTTGATCATTTGAAACTTATCACGATTTACTTGTTGTTTAACTCTTATATTCAATAGTTTACTTCCTTAAGATTATCACTATTCTATTCACTTTTATTATTAGTCTGCTATATTCAACAACAGTTTTTTCTTCTTACTATTGTTCCAAGTTGATTCTTTTGGATCTTTTTTACTTTTCCGAGTTTTGAGGATTCAAGAGATTCGATTCAGAACATGTAATTTGCATGCTATTTCTTTCTTCTCGTTCCAAAAAATTTCTAATTATTTCGGAATTTTTACCAAACTTGTTACCCGCGCAGATTTCGGTCGTCATGATGAAGCAAGCACAAAGAACCTCGTCGTTGGAGCACCAGAACTACGTTTTCGCGATGGCGGTGCGGAAAAATTTGGTTTGGAACAAACACGGGGTGCAGCAGGCGTTCTAGATGGAAACGGAACCTGGGAGAATAGCCGGCGCGGGCGTCAGCCTGGCTGGCGGCAGCTCCTCGTCTTCTTTTTCCATTCGGAGGAACAGAATAAACCAGCAGTCTTCTTCAGAAGTTGTGCCGGATCATCTGCAGGAGCATGATGATTCCGTGCAAAAAATATATCGGAAAAGGCATCTCGTTCAACACGGGAGCGTCGGGTCGTGCACTTTTTCCGCGACAACATCAACGGTAAAAACAAACCAGAGCCTCTGGAGGAGAAAATCGTCTTCGTCTTGCACCAGCGGGAATGGCAGTTTCGGCTGTTGCGGGGACGAATTGATATCTACTGCGACGGCGACGTCAACGACGAGTTGTAGCAGAAGAAATTATAAACCAGAGGAGAGCAGCATCAACAACCAATTTATTGACGAGGAAGCCGATGCGTTTTCAACAGCGGCCGCGTCTCTTCCAGCAGCATCCCCGTCCGTGTGGCAGCACGAGGGATGCTGGGTTAGAAAGGAAAACCATCGCCCTCGTCTTCGTTTCGACAAGAAGACCCGGAGAAGAAGGTCCAGATCTTCGTCCGAAAATAGTCATAGAAAAACCAAGACTAGCAGATCTACTACGGAACATCAACAACAACCTTTGCAGCCGGCACTTTGCGGGCCCAGAGCTGTTGACCGTGAAAATCTAGACAGAAAACTCCAAGGTTGTGCGCCGTCGTCTCCTTATTCTCTCACGAGTATAGAACGATGTTGCGACATCACGACGACGTCGAATAGGTGGCGGATTCCGCGGACCAGCATGGCGCGAAGTGCCCAGAAGGGCAGCAGCAGCGGTGGTTCTTTCTTTGCGAACCTGTTGCAGGTCTTGCTGTTTTTCTTTTTTAGCACCTTCCTCCTACAAACGGAGGCCTTCGTGCTGATTTCGCGGGTCGGTGAGATCTCGCTGTTGGGTCCCATCGATATCGATCCGCGAAACAACGAGAATCCACAAATTGCCTTCCGTTACAACGGTGTGCGAAAATGGAGCATATACCGCAACCCAGGCGTCTCAGAGGACGATCAGGTCCGAGGGGCGTTGGTCATTGCGAAGGAGGAAGAGGTATACAAAAAAAAACTACAATTTTTTGCAAATATATCATAGGTATCGTCATGCACTAAATTCAGAATATTTTTTTTCAGAGCTTCGCAGCGCTTACAGCACGACCTTTTGTTTTGCGTTAAGAACAATTGAATGCAAAATCCGAACTCAACCGACAACCACAACAGGCCACGGAAGTGGGCGGCGAGTCAACGAAGGTGGACTACATCACCCTTCGGCAGGACGAGGAGCTTTTGTTCCACACGAAATTGTCCGTCACCGACGCCGTGAACCTCGGGAAGACGCTTTCCGTGGTGTCCGACACGAGATTAGCGGGCCGCACGTCGATCGCGAGCGAGCAGCTGGCGTCCGACAGCAGTGCGGGTACCGTGGTCGCGAACAAGCTCTCCGTGGCGCAGGACACCACCTTCGGCGAGGCTTTGTCCGTGCGGCAGATGACCAAATTAGGCAGTTCCCTGTCCGTGTTCGGCGACGGGTTCTTCGGCGCGGGGATGAGCGTGCGACAGTTCGTGATGTTCGGGCACCGGTTATCCGTGTTCAACTTCGTGTCGTTCAGTTCCTCCTTTTCGCTGCGGTACTTCGCCCGCTGCGGGTCCAACTTGTCCGTGTTCCAGTGGACCCGGTTCGGCAGCAGCATGTCCGTGCTCGGGTTCACGCAGCTGGCGAGTTCGCTGTCCGTGACCGCGTTCACGCGCATGGGCGGGAACTTGAGTGTGTTCTGCAAGGCCATCATGGGCAGCTCGCACTCCGTGCTGGACTTCGTCTCTTTGGGTAGTTCCTTGTCCATCCGGCAGTACCAGCGGTGCGGGTCCAGTCTTTCCATGTACGGCATGAGCCGCATGGGGTCGATGCTGAGTATCCTGGACTACATCAGCTGCGGGTCCAGCATCTCCGTCCGGGGCTTCGCCCGGTACGGCAGCAGTCTGTCCGCGTACGGGTTACTGCGCATGGGAAGCGTGCTGTCTTTGTTGGACGTGTGCTACATCGGCAGCGTGCTCTCGTTGCGGTCCTTCGGGCGCGTGGGCAGCAGCTTCTCGGTGTACGGCGTGACGCGAATCGGGTCCTCCCTGTCCGTGCTCGACTTCGCCAGCATGGGCTCCGCACTCTCCCTCCGCGCCTACTGCCGGATCGGGTCCGGCGCCAGTTGCTACGGCATGGGGCGGTTGGGGTCCAACCTGTCGATTTTGGACTTTGTGCACATCGGGAGTGCCTTGAGCGTCCGGAGTTACGCGCGGATCGGCCTGACCATGTCCGTGTACGGACTGAGCCAGCTGGGCAGTACGCTGTCGATCCTGGACTTCGCGCACTTCTCATCCAGCATGTCGGTGCGGAACTTTCTGCGGCTCGGGTCCGCGATGAGTCTGTACGGCCTGGGCTTCCTCGGCAGCAGTTTGTCCGTCCTTGACTTCGTGTCCCTGGGGTCCAGCATCAGTTGCCGCGCGTTCGCGCGCCTCGGATCCACCTGCTCCGTGTACGGCTACAGCAAGATCGGGAGTTCGCTCTCCGTGCTGGACTTCTTCAACATTGGGAGCTCGTTGTCCAGTAGGAGTTTCGTCCGACTGTCGAGTTCTTGCTCCGTGTACGGGCTGTCCCGGATCGGGTCCTCGCTCTCCATGCTAGATTGCTCCTTGCTCGGGTCCTCCATGAGTCTGCGGTCGTTCCTGCGCGCGGGAAGCATCATATCCGTGTACGGGATGACCCGGATCGGGTCGCTGATGTCGGTGTTGGACTACGCGCATTTTGGGTCCTCCGTGTCCATCCGGAACTTCCTCCGGGTCGGCAGCACGGTGTCCGTGTTCGGGAACACCCGGATCGGGAGCTTTCTCTCCGTCGGGCAGCAGGCGTACTTTGGGTCGTCCGTCTCGACCACGAGCTTCGTCCGCCTGGGCAGCGCGCTGTCCACCTTCGGGGTGGCGCGGTTCGGCAGCTCCTGCTCCATCCTGGACTTCACCCACATCGGCAGTAGTCTGAGTCTGCGGTCCTTTGTCCGCTTAGGCAGCACCTTCTCCGTGTACGGACTGACAAGACTGGGGTCCAACATGTCGATCCTGGACTTCGTCAACATGGGCAGCTCCATGTCCCTGAAGAGCTACATCCGGATCGGGAGTTCCCTGTCCGTGTACGGGGTGGCCACGCTCGGGTCCGCGTTCTCCATCCTGGACTACGCGTCGATCGGCAGCACGATCTCGGTGCGGTCCTTCCACCGCATTGGAAGTGCAATGAGCGTGTACGGCATGACCTCCATCGGCAGTTCTTTGTCCCTCTTAGACTTCGGCCACTTTGGTAGTTCCATGAGCTTACGCGGGTTCGGGCGCGTGGGCAGCAGTCTGTCCGTCTACGGGTTCACGAGGCTGGGATCCTCGCTGTCCGTGCTGGACTGCGGACACTTTGGGAGTTGCACCTCGCTGCGGTCCTTTTTGCGGTTGGGGTCGTCGCTCTCCGTGTACGGCACCGCGCGGATCGGGAGTTCGCTTTCCGTACTGGATTTCGTGGGCTTCGGGAGCGGCGTGTCCGTGCGAACGTTTGCGCGGTTAGGGTCCTCCTGCAGTATCTACGGGTACGCGCGGCTCGGGTCCGCGGTGTCCCTGCTCGACTTCGCGCACTTCGGCAGTTCGCTCTCAATCCGCCGGTTTGGGCGCATCGGGCACGCCGTGTCGGTCTACGGGCTGTCGAGACTCGGGAGTTCGCTCTCCGTGCTGGATTTCCTGACCATGGGCAGCAGCATGTCGCTGCGCGCGCTGGTGCGGTACGGCAGTTCCATGTCCGTGTACGGGGCCGCGAGGTTAGGATCCAGCCTGTCCGTGCTGGACTTCATCCACTTCGGCTCCAGCATGAGTGTGCGCACCTTCAGCCGCGTGGGGTCCAGCATCTCCGTCTTCGGGGTGGCGAGACTTGGGTCGGCGATCTCGGTTTTAGACTTTGTCACCTTCGGCAGTTCGTGCTCCATGCGCTCCTACACGCGGCTGGGAAGCTCCTTGTCCGTCTACGGATTTGGCCGGCTCGGCAGTTCCATGTCCTGCTTGGACTTTCTGTCGTTCGGCAGCTCGCTGTCCGTGCGAAACTGCGTGCGCTTCGGGTCCAGTCTGTCCGCCTACGGCATCACCAAGCTTGGCAGCAACCTCTCCGTGCTGGACTTCGCGTGCATGGGCAGTTCGATGTCGCTCCGATCGTTCGCGCGCCTCGGCAGTTCCATGTCCGTGTACGGGTGCGGCTTGATCGGGTCCAGTCTGTCGGTGCTGGATTTCGCGCACCTGAGTTCCAGCTGCAGTGTGCGGTCGTTCGCGCGCTTCGGCATGTCGCTGTCGGTCTACGGAGTGGCGCAGATGGGGTCCAACCTGTCGCTGCTGGACGCCATGTCCGTCGGCAGCTCGCTCTCCTGCCGCACCTTCGCGCGATTAGGCTCCAGTTGCTCCGTGTACGGCTTGACCCGGTTCGGCAGTGGAATGAGCGTGTTGGATTGCGTATCCATCGGTTCGAGCTTTTCCCTGTCTAAGTTTATGCGGGTCGGCAGCACGCTTTCCGTCTTCGGTATCGCGCGCATGGGCAGTGCGTTGTCCGTGCTGGATTTCGTCTCGCTGTCCAGTGGCGTCTCCATCCGTGGCGTCGTGCGGCTCGGCAGTACCCTGAGTCTGTACGGGATGGGCCGGTTCGGCAGCGGGCTGTCCGTGTTGGATTTCTCCACGTGCGGGTCGAGCTTCAGTCTGCGGTCCCTGGCCCGACTCGGATCCACCATGAGTCTCTACGGGTGCGCCCGGTTGGGCGGCAGCATGAGTGTTCTCGACTTCGTGCACCTGGGGTCCGGGATGTCCATGCGGTCGTTCTTCCGACTGGGATCCTCCATGTCGCTGTTCGGCATTGCCAGGTTTGGTAGCGCGATGAGTGTGATCGACTTCGTGAACTTCGGTTCCGCGTTCTCGATCCGGAGCTACACGCGGCTCGGGTCGGCTTTTTCGTCCTTCTACCTGGCGCGAGTAGGCGCCGAGCTCTCCGTGTTGGACTCGAACCACTTGGGGAGCAGTCTGTCGCTCCGGTGCTACGCGCGCGTAGGTTCCGCGTTGTCGATTTTTGGGCAGGGGCGATGCGGATCGGCTTTATCCCTGCTGGACATGTTTTCGCTCGGAAGTGGCATGAGCTGCCGCGGGTTCGCGCGACTAGGATCGGCCATGAGCGTGTTCGGGCTCGCCAGACTAGGAAGCTCGCTCTCCATGCTGGACTTCATCAGTCTGGGCAGCACCCTGTCGGTGCGAACGCTGGGTCGCATGGGAAGCTCTCTGTCCGTGTACGGGTTTACCAAGTGCGGGTCCAGCGTGTCCGTGCTGGACTACATCAGCTTTGGCTCCTCGCTCTCCGTGCGGAACTGCGGCCGGTTGGGCAGCTCCCTGTCTGTGTACGGCGCTTCAAGATTAGGATCCGCCATGTCGGTGCTGGACTACGTGATCCTCTCGAGCACGTTCTCGTGCCGCAGTTTCCTCCGGCTGGGGTCCTCGCTCTCGACCTTCGGCGTGCACCGGTTAGGGAGTAGTTTGAGTACCCTGGACTACATCGCCTTCGGGTCCGCCTTATCGCTGCGCAGCTACGGGCGGCTCGGCAGCAGCTTGTCGCTGTACGGGCTGAGTAGGCTGGGAAGTTCCTTCAGTCTGACGGACTTCGCCTCCGTCGGGAGTTCGTTCTCCCTCCGGAGTTTTGCGCGTTTCGGCTCGACCTGCTCGCTGTACTCGTTCGGCATGCTGGGGAGTTCGTTGTCGCTGCTCGACTACGCGTCCTTCGGGTCCAGCATCAGTATCCGCAACTTTGTGCGGGCGGGGTCCGCGCTGAGTCTGTACGGAATCGGGCTGCTCGGGTCCGCCATGTCCGTGCTGGACTACGTGAGCATCGGCAGTTCCATCTCGTTCCGGTCCTTCGCGCGGATGGGAAGCGCCTTTTCCGTTTACGGGATCACGCGGTGCGGGTCCAGCGTCTCCGTTTTGGATTACATCGAGCTGGGCAGTGCGATGTCCATCCGGTCCTTCACCCGCGTCGGGTCCAGTATCTCCGTGTTCGGGATCGTGCGCTTGGGCTCCGCCTTCTCCATCGTCGACTGGTGCATGTTTGGGAGTTCGCTGTCGCTGAAGAGCTTCGGGCGGTTCGGCCACAAGCTGTCCGTGTACGGGGTGAGTCGCCTCGGGTCCGCGGTCTCGATCCTGGCCTTCTACACGCTCGGGTCCTCGATGTCCGTCCGTAGTTTCTGCCGGTACGGATCCGCGCTCTCCGTCTACGGCATGAGCCGGCTGGGGTCCGCGCTCTCCGTGCTCGACTTCGCGCACATGGGGTCCACGGTCTCCCTGACCTCCTTCGGGCGCCTCGGGTCCGGGTTGTCCATCTACGGGCTGGCCAGGTTCGGGTCCTCGCTGTCCGTCCTCGACTACACCAGCATCGGCTCCGCGCTGTCAATGCGCACGTTCACGCGGTTCGGAAGCAGCTTCTCGCTGTACGGGATTGGCCAATTAGGGTCCAGTCTCTCCACCCTGGACTTCGTACATCTGGGCAGTTGCGCCTCGGTGCGCGCGTTGAGCAGACTCGGGAAGAGCCTGTCCGTCTACGGTTTGACGCTGCTCGGTTCGTCCATCTCCGTGCTGAACTTTGTCAGCATGGGTTCTGGTCTGTCCGTCCGTAGTTTCTGCCGCGCCGGGTCGGCGACCTCGATCTACGGTATCGCGCGGCTCGGGTCCGCGATGTCGTGTCTCGACTACGTCAGTCTCGGGTCTTCGTGCTCCGTGAAGTCATTCTGTAGGTGGGGTTCCGGCCTGTCCGTGTACGGTACCGCGCGCATGGGTTCCGCCTTCTCGATTTTGGATTTCCTGCACCTGGGTTCCTCCCTGTCCATGCGCAGCTACACGAGGTTAGGCTCGACGTTCTCCGTCTACGGGTACGTGAAATTAGGTTCTTCCCTCTCCGTGCTGGACTACGTGTTCGCGGGCAGTTCCCTGTCCCTGCGTTCCTACGTGTACTTCGGATCCAGTCTCTCCGCCTACGGCGCGTTGAATTTGTGTTCCTCGCTGTCCATCCGGAGTTTCGTGCGGTGCGGAAGTTCTTGCAGTATCTACGGCATCGCGAGAATGGCCTCGTCCGTGTCCGTGCTGGACTACGTTTCTCTAGGATCGAGTTTGTCCCTCCGGTCGTACAGCCGATTGTCGAGCAGCATTTCCGTGTACGGAACCACGAGACTCGGGTCCGCTTTATCGGTTCTGGACTACGTGCACTTCGGGTCCGACCTGTCGTTACGAAGTTTCCTCCGGTTAGGATCTACGATCTCCGCCATGGGACTGTGCCGACTCGGGTCGGTTTTATCTTTAGTCGACTTTGTCAACTTCGGGTCCAGTTTGAGTTGCCGCAGTATGTGCCGCCTCGGGTCGTCGTTGTCCGTGTACGGGATGGCAAGGTTGGGATCCAACGTGTCGATTTTGGACTACGTGAATTTTGGTAGTTCTCTCTCCCTCCGCGGCTTCCACCGGTTCGGCTCCGGCTTCTCCGTGTACGGCATGACCCGGATCGGGTCCTGCTTCTCCATTCTGGACTTCGTCAGCTGCGGTTCCAGTCTGTCCACGCGCGGTTTCTCGCGGCTCGGTTCCGCGATGAGCACCTACGGCCTGCTCACGCTCGGGAGCAGCTGCTCCGTGCTGGATTACTTTCAACTAGGTAGCAGCATGAGCATCCGGAGTTACCTGCGCATCGGGAGTTCGTTGTCGGTTTACGGTATGGTGAACCTGAATTCCAGCATCTCGGTTCTCGACATGGTGCAGGTTGGTTCCGCGTTGTCGCTGCGGAACTTCATCCGCATGGGCAGTTCGCTCTCCGTGTACGGCATCGCGAAATTGGGGAGCAGTTGCTCCATCCTAGATTTCGTCAGCGTCGGCAGCACCATGAGTCTACGGAGCTTCACGCGGTTCGGGTCCGCGCTGTCGGTGTACTGCATGCTGAAACTTGGAAGCGGCGTTTCCGTGCTGGACTTCCAGGGACTCGGGTCCACGTTCAGTATCCGTAGCTTCGTCCGGCTTGGCTCCTCGGTTTCGACCTACGGGGTTGCGAAGATCGGCTCGCAGGTGTCTCTGCTGGACTTCTTCACCATCGGATCCGCGTTGTCCCTCCGGTCCGCCTGCCGATTAGGGTCCAGTTACTCCGTGTACGGGTTGAGCTTCGTCGGGTCCGCGCTGTCCGTGCTCGATTTCATCAGCGTCGGGTCCGCGATCTCGCTAAGATCGTTCGCGCGGATGGGCTCCAGCATTTCCGTATTCGGGGTGATGCGGTACGGCTCCAGCGTCTCGCTGCTGGACACCTTCTCCCTCGGGTCGTCGTTTTCGCTGCGCAGCATGATGCGGTTTGGGTCGACTTTGTCGCTCTACGGCATGGTGCGGTTCGGCTCGCAGATGTCCGTGCTGGATGTCTTCCACATGGGGTCCGCGATGTCCGTGCGTACCATGATGCGACTCGGCAGCACCGCCTCGATCTTCGGCATCTGCCGGCTGGGGAGTTCCATGTCGATCCTGGACTTCATCGGGTTAGCTTCCTCCCTCTCCGTGCGGTCCTTCCACCGGATGGGAAGCTCGCTGTCCGTGTTCGGTGTGGCGCGGTGCGGGAGTTCGCTGTCGATTCTGGATTTCGCGCTGGTGGGCAGTAACATGTCCGTCCGCTCGTTTTCTCGATTAGGGTCCAGTCTGTCCGTGATGGGGATCTGCAACTTGGGATCGAGTCTCTCCATCCTCGACTACGTGTCCCTCGGTTCGGCGTTCTCCACGCGCAGGTTCTTCCGGCTCGGCAGCACGCTGTCGATCTACGGGCTCACGACGTTTACCAGCACGCTGTCCATCCTGGACATGGCCAGCTTCGGGTCCAGCATCTCCGTCCGCTCGTTTATCCGGCTGGGTAGTTCTTTGTCCGTGTTCGGGATGACCAGGCTAGGATCCAGTTTCTCCGTCTTGGACGCGATCTCGCTGGGTTCGACGCTGTCCCTCCGGTCGGTGATGCGGTTCGGTAGCAGCGTGTCCGTGTTCGGGTTGACCAGGCTCGGGTCCTCTTTATCCCTGCTCGACGCGATGTCGGTCGGTTCTACGCTAAGTCTCCGGTCCTTCATCCGACTCGGGTCGACCTGCAGTACCTACGGTTTCGCCCTGCTCGGAAGCAGCGTGTCCATCATGGACACGTTCCATTTGGGATCCACGATCTCGCTGCGCAGCTTCCTCAAGCTCGGCAGTGCAATTTCGCTTTACGGGATCGCGAGCATGGGGTCCAACATCAGTCTGCTCGACTACGTGCATTTAGGCAGTGTGCTGTCGGTGAGAAACGTTTTACGGCTGGGGAGCAGTCTCTCCATCTACGGAATCACCAGACTCGCGTCCTCCATGTCGATTCTCGACGCCGGCTCCTTCGGGTCGACTTGTTCGCTCAGGTCGTTTTTGCGCCTGGGCAGCTTCTGCAGTTTGTACGGGGTCGCGCGGGTGGGGTCCTCGATGAGTATCCTGGACTTCGCGATGATCGGCTCATCGCTGTCTTTGCGGTCTTTATCCCGGTTCGGCAGCAGTTACAGTGTGTTCGGCGCCGTCCTGCTCGGCTCCAGCTTCTCGCTGCTCGACTTCGCGCACTTCGGGAGTTCGATTTCGATGCGCATGTGCTCGCGGTTGGGCTCTGGGTGCTCCGTGTACGGGATGACCCGCATCGGTTCGCAACTGTCGATTTTGAACTACGCCAACTTCGGTTCCGCGTTGTCCATGCGTTCGTTTTCCCGTTGTGGCAGCAGCGTGTCCGTGTACGGCCTGGTCCGGTTCGGATCGTCTCTTTCCCTACTGGACCGCGTCACGCTCGGGTCTTCGTTCTCCCTGCGGACGATGATGCGCCTCGGGAGTTCGATTTCCGTGTTCGGGATCGCGAAGCTCGGGAGCAGCGTGTCGATTCTGGACTACGTCAGCATGGGCTCCTGCCTGTCCATGCGCGGCTTTGGCCGCATGGGAAGTTCCGCGTCCATCTACGGCATGTGCCGGTTAGGCTCGCAGTTGTCCGTGCTGGATTTCATCAACTTCGGGTCCAGCTGCAGTTTCCGCGGCTTCATGCGGGTGGGATCAAGTATTTCCATGTACGGGTTCGCGCGCATCGGAAGTTCCTTATCAGCGCTCGACTTCGTGCACATGGCAAGCTCTCTTTCTCTGCGGTCGTTCGCAAGATTGGGCTCGTCGATCTCGACTTATGGTCTCTCGCGGATCGGATCTGGCCTATCTGTCCTCGACTGCCTGCAGATTGGTTCTTGCCTGTCCGTCCGCTCCTTCATGCGGCTGGGGTCTAGCTACTCCGTGTACGGCATCTCGCGGTTAGGCAGCTGCGTTTCCGTGTTGGACTCGTCGACTTTTGGGAGCAGTTTATCCCTCCGGTCGTTTTGCCGCATGGGGTCCAGTTTATCGCTCTATGGTGTGATGAAGCTCGGCACCAGTCTGTCCGTCGCGGACTACATTCTGTGCGGGAGTTCCTTTTCCGTGCGGTCGTTCTGCCGCGTCGGAAGTTCGTTGTCCGCCTACGGAACCATCCGCTGCGGGTCGCAGTACTCGCTGCTGGACTTCGCATCCCTCGGGTCGAGCTTGAGTCTGTGCAGCTTCGCGCGGTTCGGCAGCAGTTACTCCGTGTATGGTACGGTCAGATTGGGGAGCCAGTTCTCGCTGCTCGACAGCAGCTTCCTCGGGTCCAGTTTCTCCACCAGGTCCTACTCGCGGTTCGGCAGTAAAATCTCGGTGTACGGCTGCCACCGCCTGGGGTCGTCCCTGTCCGTGTTGGACTTCGTGCAGGTCGGCTCGTCCCTGTCCTTCCGGTCCTTCAGCCGCTGCGGGTCCAACGTGTCCTTCTTCGGCATGGCGCTGCTGGGCAGCATGGTGTCCGTGCTCGACTACGGGTTCTTCACTTCTTCCCTGTCCGTCCGTATGTATTCGCGGATTGGCAACGGTCTGTCCGTCTACGGGCTGGCGCGGTTAGGCTCCGCGTTGTCGGTGCTGGATTACATCATGCTCGGGTCCGGCTGCAGTATTCGTTCCTTCTCCCGGCTCGGAAGTTCCATTTCCGTGTTCGGCGCCACGAAGATCGGATCCAGTCTGTCCGCGCTGGACTTCTTCGTGCTCGGGTCCTCGATGTCGCTGCGTAACTTCTACCGCACGGGGAGTGGGTGCTCGGTGTACGGGTTCTGCAAACTTGGGAGCAGCAACTCTATCCTGGACTTCATCAACGTGGGCAGCTGTCTCTCGTTAAGGATGTTCTCGCGCCTTGGGTCCTCCTTCTCGCTGTACGGGGTGTGCCGCCTGGGTTCTAGCATGTCCATCCTCGACTCCTGCCACATCGGATCGGGGCTGTCGGTGCGCGGCTTCGCCCGGTTAGGGTCCAGCTTGTCCGTATTCGGCATGTCCAGGTTTGGGTCCTGCCTCTCGATCCTGGACCGCATCACGCTCGGCAGCAGTCTGTCGCTCCGGTCGTTTGCCAGGATGGGGAGTTCGCTTTCCCTGTTCGGGATGACCAGATTGGGAAGCAACTTGTCCGTGCTGGATTTCATCCAGTTCGGGTCCAGTTTGAGTCTGCGGAACTTCCTCCGGCTCGGCTCAACGCTATCCGTCTTCGGCGTGACGCACTTGAGTTCCTCCATGTCGGTTTTGGACTATTTGCAAATCGGCAGTTGCATGTCGACGAGATCGTACACGAGGCTCGGATCGAGTTTGAGTGTGTACGGCATGGTGCGGTTTGGCAGTTCCATGTCTTTGATCGACATGTGCCACATCGGCAGCGCGATGTCGTGCCGGAACTTCTGCCGGATGGGCTCCAGTCTGTCCGTGTTCGGCATCTGCCGCGTGGGCAGCAACTTGTCGATTTTGGATTTCCTCCACCTCGGGTCGACCATCAGTCTGCGCAGCATGGGGAGGCTCGGAAGCGCCCTGTCGGTGTACGGCATGAGTCGCTGCGGCTCCGCGATCTCGCTGTTGGATTTCGCGCACTTCGGGAGCGGAATTTCGCTGCGCTCGTTTCTGCGACTGGGGTCCACCCTGTCGGTGTACGGCATGACCCGATGCAGCAGTAACGCGTCGTTGCTGGATTTCCTGACGCTGGGCAGCTCGTTGTCGCTGCGGAACTTCTTGCGGCTGGGAAGCTCGTTATCCGTGTTCGGCATGTGCCGGATGGGCAGTTCTCTCTCGACCCTGGATTTCGTTAACCTGGGCAGCTCGATGTCCCTCCGCAGCTACACCCGCTTAGGCAGTTCGCTGTCCGTTTTCGGCCTGTGCAAGTTGGGCTCGAATTTGAGTGTGCTGGACAGCATCCAACTCGGGTCGTGCATGTCTCTGCGCTGCTACGCGCGACTCGGGTCCTCCTTGTCGGTGTACGGCCAGTTCCGGCTCGGCTCTGCCTTGTCGCTGCTGGACGCGATCTCGCTGTCCAGTTCCCTGTCCGTCCGCACCTACGCGCGCCTCGGAAGCTCCGTCAGCGTGTACGGGATGGCGCGGTTGGGGAGCTGTTTGAGCATCCTCGACTCCATGCAGATGGCCTCGGCCTTCTCGGTCCGAAGCTTCGCCCGCCTGGGCTCGTCGCTGAGCGTGTTCGGCATGGTGCGGTTGGGGTCCAACTTGTCGGTGCTCGATTGCTGCGAGATCGGGTCGAACATCTCGGTGCGCATGTTCGCGCGGCTAGGTTCGAGTTTGTCTGTTTACGGCATGTCGAGATTCGGTAGCAACATGAGCGTCTTGGACTACCTGTTAGTCGGCAGTTCCCTTTCGGTCCGTAACCACTGCCGACTGGGGAGCTCGTTGAGCGTGTACGGCATGACGCGGCTTTCCAGCTGCTGTTCCCTGATCGACACACTGCAGCTCGGCTCGTGCGTCAGCATGCGGTCGTACCTGCGGCTCGGAAGCTCGCTGTCGATGTACGGCTGCCTCAGGCTGGGGTCGCACATGAGTTTGCTGGACTTTTTGCAGCTGGGCTCCAGCGTGTCGCTCCGCAAGGTCGCGCGGTTGGGTTCGTCCCTGTCCGTGTACGGCATGTGCCGTCTTTCCAGCAGGCTCAGCGTGCTGGACTGCCTGCACATCGGCAGCTCGCTGTCGCTCCGGAGCTACATGCGACTGGGATCGTCGCTGTCCGTGTTCGGCATCACGCACCTGGCCTCAAATCTGTCCGTCATCGACTATCTGCAGCTCGGTAGTTGCCTGTCCGTGCGCACCTTCTGCCGCATGGGCAGCTCGGTGTCCGTGTACGGGATTGCGCAGTTCGGGAGTTGCATGTCGATCCTCGACTTCGTGCACCTCGGATCCAACTTATCCGTCCGCTCTTACCTGCGGTTGGGCAGCAGTCTCTCCGTGTTCGGGATCAGCCGCGTCGGGAGCAGCATCAGCATCCTGGATTTACTCCACCTCGGCTCCTCGGTGTCGGTCCGCAGCTGGGCGCGCGTCGGCTCTACCCTGTCGGTGTACGGCATGACCCGGTTCGGCAGCGGGATGAGTTGTCTGGACTTCGCGATGTTCGGCTCTGCCATGTCGGTGCGCAGCTACTGCAGACTCGGGAGTTCGTTGTCCGTTTTTGGCTGCTGCCGACTCGGCTCCGCGCTCTCCGTACTGGACACCATCCAGATTGGTAGCAGTTTCAGTGTGCGCTCGTTTGCCAGGCTGGGCTCCAGCTTGTCGCTGTTTGGCATGTGCAGACTGGGTTCGAACTGCTCGGTGCTGGACATTTTGCACCTCGGCTCCACGATCTCTGTCCGCGGCTTCGCACGCATGGGCAGTTCGCTGTCGGTGTTCGGAATGACGCAACTCGGCTCGTTCATGTCCATTCTGGACCTGTGCCAGCTCGGAAGCTCACTGTCCGTCCGCAGCTACAGCCGGTTAGGGTCGTCCGTGTCGGTGTTCGGCATGACAAGGTTGGGCTCAAACTTGAGCTTGTTAGACACCTTGCAGCTGGGATCGTCCCTGTCCATGCGTTACTTTTTGCGCGTCGGCAGTTCGCTCTCGGTGTTCGGCATGACCAGGTTGGGATCGAATCTCTCCCTGCTAGACATGTGCCAGCTGGGCAGCACGTTGTCCTGCCGGTACTACACAAGGTTGGGGAGTAGTTTCTCGGTGTACGGCACGACGCAGATGGGCAGCAACTTGTCTTTACTCGACTACTTCTCCCTAGGATCCTCCATCTCCGTGCGCACCATGACGCGGCTCGGCAGCGGGCTAAGCGTGTACGGCTGCCTGACGCTTGGATCGACTTTATCCCTACTCGACACCATCCACTTGGGCAGCTGTCTGTCCGTCCGCAGCTTCACGCGGCTCGGATCCAGCTTGACCGTCCTGGCGAAGGTCGACTATGGCGCCAGCGCGTCGGTCCTCGAGTACCTGCAACTCGGCAGCTCGCTGTCGATTCGGAATTACTTGCGGATCGGCTCCTCGCTGTCCGTGATCGAGAAGGTGCGTATGGGCCACACGCTGTCGGTTTTAGACTTTTTACAACTCGGCAGCAGCTTATCCGTGCGCAACGCGGTGCGGTTCGGCTCCACCCTGTCCGTGTTCGGCATGATGCGGCTGGGAACGGCCTTGTCCGTGCTCGACAACACCTTCCTCGGGAGCGCGCTCTCCGTCCGGAGCTACGCCCGGTTCGGCTCCACGCTGTCCGTCTATGGCTGCGTGCAGCTCGGGAGCAATTTGTCACTTTTGGACGTGATCAACATCGGCACGAGTTTGTCACTCCGGTCCTACATCCGGCTGGGTTCTTCTTTATCCGTGATCTCCAAAATCACGCTCGGCTCCACCCTGAGCACGCTGGACGCCTGCTACCTCGGGTCCGCGCTGTCTTTGCGGAAGTTCATGCGGTTCGGCAGTAGTTGCAGCGTGTACGGCATGATGCGGTTTGGTTCTAACATCTCGATCTTGGACATCTGCTCGCTCGGGTCCACCATGAGCCTGCGTGCGATGTGCCGCCTCGGGTCGACTCTGTCCGTGATGGACCAGGTGCGGTTCGGCTCGTCCGTCTCGATCCTGGACTTCACCAGCCTCGGCACGTCGCTGTCGATCCGCCAGTACCTGCGGGTCGGGTCGAATTTATCCGTGATCGGGCGGGTCCGCCAGGGCTCCACGGTGTCCATCCTGGACTATTTACAGCTGGGCAGCTGCGTCTCCACGCGCAGCTTTGCGCGGATGGGCAGCAGTCTCTCCGTGTTCGGGCTGGTGCGGATCGGCAGCGCCTTGTCGGTGCTCGACTACGTCAACTTCGGGTCCACGGTCAGCTTCCGCCACATGTCCCGGTTCGGGTCCTCCGTCAGCGTGTTCGACTGGATGCGCATGGGCAGCACGCTGTCCACGTTAGACGCGGTGCACTGCGGGTCGTCGCTCTCACTCCGGTCTTACATCCGGCTGGGCAGCAACATCTCCGTGATCAGCTGGACGCGGCTGGGGACATCCGCCAGCGTGCTCGACTGCCTGCATCTCGGCAGCACTTTGTCTCTCCGCAGCTACCTGCGGTTCGGCAGCACGGTGAGCGTGTTCGACCGGGTTCGGCTGGGGAGCAATTTGTCCATCCTGGACTATTTGCAGTTGGGCAGCAGCGTTTCCCTCCGCCAGTACATGCGGGCCGGCAGCAGTCTGTCCGTGTTCGGCCGAACCTTCATCGGCAGCACGCTGTCCGCGTTGGATTTCGTCACCTTCGGGAGCAGTCTCTCCATGCGGCACTACATCCGCGTGGGCTCGACTCTGTCCGTGTTCAGCTGGTCCCGGTGCGGGTCCACGGTGTCCGCGCTGGACTTCGTGAATCTGGGCAGTTGCTTGTCCGTGCGACACGTGGTGAGATTCGGGAGTAACGTTTCGGTGTTCTCCAAAATCACGTCCGGCAGCACCTTGTCTCTACTAGACTTCGTGCAGCTGGGCTCCTCCCTGTCGATTCGCAACTACTTCCGCGTCGGCTCGGCCATGTCGGTGTACGCGCCGGTGCGGTTCGGCAGTCGGGTGAGCATCCTGGACCAGTTGCTGCTCGGTAGCTCCATCTCTTTGAGGAACTACATCCGGTTCGGCTCTGCGTTGTCCATCATGTCGAAGATGACCTACGGCAGCAACTTGTCCGTCTGCGACCACACGCACCTGGGAACTACATTATCCTTGCGGAACTACATGCGGTTCGGCAGCGCGTTCAGCGTGTTCTCCAAACAGACGCTGGGCAGTTGCTGCTCCGTGCTGGATATGTTGCAGCTGGGCTCCGCGATGAGTGTCAGGAGTTTCATGAGGTTCGGGTCTTCCGCTTCCGTGTACGGACTCTCTCGGTTGGGGTCCCAGTGCAGCGTTTTGGATTCAGTCACGTTTGGCTCCAGCCTGTCGGTCCGACACTTTTTGAAGCTGGGCTCCAACTTCTCCGTCATCAGCTACCTCCGCGCGGGATCGTGCTTGTCCGTGCTGGACTTCACGAACTTTGGCAGCGCGTTGTCGTTGCGACACTACTCGCGCCTCGGCAGCAATTTGTCGGTGGTGCAGTGGGTGCGGATGGGGTCGACGCTGTCCCTGTTGGACTTCGTCAACCAGGGCAGCAGTTTATCCCTGCGGCAGTACTTGCGGCTGGGTTCGTCCTACTCTGTGTTCCGCTCCGTAAAGCTGGGATCCACGTTATCGCAGTTGGATTTCCTCCAGCTGGGTTCCAGTCAGAGTGTGCGGTCCTTCACGCGTCTCGGATCGTCCGTCAGTGTGTACGGCATTGCGAAACTCGGCTCGTGCCTCTCGGTTCTGGACAGCACGTTCCTCGGAAGCTGCCTGTCGCTGCGCCACTATGCGCGCCTCGGCTCGTGCCTGTCGGTGATGAGCTATGCGCGCTTGGGGAGCTCGGCGTCCATTCTGGATGCAGTGTACCTCGGTTCCGCGCTTAGCGTCCGGTCCTACTGCCGGTTGGGCAGCACCGCCTCCGTTTACGGCATGACGAGGTTCGGTTCGTCTCTGAGTTGCCTGGACTTCCTGTATTTGGGTAGCACCATCAGCGTCCGTCACGTGATCAGGTTTGGCTCCGCGGTCTCTGTGATGTCGCAGCTCCGCGTTGGCTCGCTGGTCTCCATTCTCGACTACACCACGCTGGGGAGCTCGCTGTCCCTGCGCAGCTACTTGCGGGTGGGAAGCTCCTTGTCTGTCGTGTCCGCGGTCCGGATGGGCTCGCGACTTTCCGTGATGGACCACCTGCAGATCGGCTCCAGTCTGTCCACGCGCGCTGTGCTGCGCGTCGGCTCCCGGCTCTCCGTCTTCGGGCGCTTCAACATGGGACGGGAGACCTCTGTGTTAGACCACCTGCAACTCGGCTCGATGCTGTCGCTTCGCAGCTACAGCCGGTTCGGCAGTTCGTGCAGTGTGTACGGGATGCTGAAACTCGGTTCGCAGCTCTCGCTCCTGGACAACATCCACGTCGGAAGCTCGCTGTCGTTACGAAACTTCAGCCGCATGGGCTCCGCGATGAGCGTGTTCAGCAAGCTGCAGGCCGGCTCCAGTCTGTCCCTGCTCGATTTTGCGCAGTTCGGTAGCTCCTTCTCGCTGCGCAATTACGTGCGGTTCGGCTCGGCCATCTCCGTGTTCCGCAACGTGCAGTGCGGGTCGTGCTGCTCCGTCCTGGACGTGTTCGAGCTCGGCAGCTGCCTGTCCATGCGGTCCTACACGCGGTTCGGCAGCAGCTGCAGCGTGTTCGGGTTGTCCAGACTCGGCAGTTCGATGTCGGTGCTGGACGCCATCTCGATGGGATCCACTTTATCCCTCCGCGGGTTCGCCCGGCTCGGGAGCTGCTTGAGCGTCTTCGGTCTGGCGCGGCTGGGGTCCTCTCTCTCCGTCTTGGACTTCGTTTTGGTGGGCAGCGCGATGTCGTGCCGCGCGTACTCGCGGTTCGGGAGCGGCCTGAGTCTTTATGGAATGAGCCGGCTGGGAAGTTCGTTGTCCATCCTCGACAGCGTCTTCTTCGGCTCCGGGATGTCGCTGCGCTCCTTCGCGCGGTTCGGCAGCTCCATGTCCGTGTACGGCATGACCCGCTTCGGCAGCCGCATCTCCGTGCTGGACTGCTTCCATTTGGGGAGCACAATCTCGCTGCGCGGGTTTGCCCGGTTCGGGTCGGCCGTTTCGCTGTACGGAATGTGCCGGTTGGGGTCGGTGTTATCGTGCCTCGACAGCGCCAGGATGAGCAGCAGTCTCTCCTGCCGCACGTTCACCCGACTAGGCTCGAGCTTCTCGGTCTACGGCACGGTGCAGATCGGCTCCAGGATGTCCATTCTGGATTTCCTGTCCCTCGGTTCGGCGATCAGTGTGCGATCCTTCATCCGCTTCGGGTCGGCCATGTCGCTGTACGGCGTGATGCAGCTCGGCAGTGCGGTTTCCGTGCTGGACTGCATGCACCTCGGCAGCGCTTTGTCCATGCGGAACTTCTGCCGCCTGGGTAGCTCGCTATCCGTGTTCGGGCTGTCGCGCATGGCCTCGCAGATTTCCGTGCTGGATGCCGTTTGGCTCGGGAGCTCGATCTCGGTGCGCGGCTTCGCGAGACTCGGCAGCTCGGTCTCCGTGTTCGGGATGAGCCGGCTGGGATCCTGCATGTCGGTGCTGGACTACATCCAGTTCGGGAGTTCCATGTCCTGCCGCAACTACTCGCGCGTCGGCAGTTCGTTCTCCTTGTTCGGCTGCAGCCGCTTGGGCAGTTCGCTCTCTGTTCTGGACTACTTCACGGCGGGCAGCTCGATCTCGTTGCGCAGCTTCGCCCGGTTCGGCAGCTCGGTGTCCATGTTCGGCATCTGCCGGTTGGGCAGCCAGCTCTCGGTGCTGGACAGCGTAACATTAGGGTCCGCGCTGAGTCTCCGTCACTACACGCGCCTGGGAAGCTCGCTGTCCATGCAGGGCAACATCGCGCGCTTCTCCGCGAGAGCGTCGGTTTTGGACTTCACGGACCTCGGAAGCTCGTTGTCGCTGCGCAACTACCTCCGGGTGGGAAGTGCCATTTCCGTGATCAGCTGCGCGAGACTGTCCGCGACCATGAGTGTGTCCGACTTCCTCACGCTGGGATCGTCACTCTCCCTGCGTCAATTCCTCCGCGTGGGAAGCGCGTTGTCGGTTGCGTACAGCGTCGACATCTGTCAGAACTTGTCGGTGCTCAGCTTCGTCCATTTCGGAAGCGCTTTATCCGTCCGCCAGTACCTGCGCGCCGGAAGTGCGGTGTCGGTGTTCTCCCGGCTGAGATTGGGATCCGTGTTGTCGGTGCTGGACCACACGTGCCTGGGCTCGAGTCTGTCCCTCCGCCAGTACATGCGGTTCGGCAGCACGGTGTCCGTGATCGACAAGACGCGGCTCGGCGCGCACCTTTCCGTGCTGGACTTTTTGCAACTGGGATCCAGTGTCTCGTTAAGGAACTTCCTGAAGCTCAGCTCGGCACTGTCGATCACCGAGCAGACTCGTCTCGGCCAGTGCCTGTCCACTCTGGACTTCGCGAACTTCGGAAGTTCCGTGTCTCTCCGGTCGTACCTGCGCTTGGGAAGCACATTATCCGCGCACGGACAGGTCCGCATGTCGGACGGCTGCAGCATCATCGGGCAGGTTGACCTCGGATCGACCTTATCCGTCCGGTCCTACACCCGCCTTGGTTCCGCTTTGTCCGTGTTCGGCGACTTGCGCACGGGCGAGCGCTGCTCGGTGTTGAGCTTCCTGCTTCTGGGAAGTTCTTTATCCTTGCGCAGTCACATCCGGCTCGGTAGCTCCGCGTCGTTGTTCGGGCAACTCCGGTGCGGCAGCAACGTGTCGGTGCTGAAGTTTGTGGAACTAGGTTCCAGCATCAGTCTGCGACACCACACCAGATTGGGCTCGACTGTGTCGATTTTCAGCTCGACGAGGTTCGGATCCACCCTGTCCATTTTGGACAGCACCAGCTTGGCGTCGACCATCTCCTTGCGGGGGTGTCTACGTTTAGGATCTACGATTAGCGTGTTGGGAACAACCAGGTTCGGCAGCGTGATGTCCGTCCTGGACATGCTGTACTGCGGCTCCTCCCTCTCCCTGCGGTCCTACTTCCGAGCGGGAAGCAACTGCAGCGTCTTCAGTCGCCAGCTCGCCGGCAGCTGCCTCTCGGTGCTCGACGCGGCCTTGCTCGGGAGCTCGCTGAGTTGCCGCAGCTTCGGCCGCGCCGGCTCGGCCTGGTCCGTGTACGGACTGGTGCGGTTGGGCAGCCAACTCTCTGTCCTTGATGCCGTCGCCGTCGGTTCCGCCGTGAGTCTGCGTCACATGGCGCGCCTGGGCAGCACGATCTCCGTCTTCGGACGCGTGGACGCGCGGGATGAAGTCTATCTGGGGAACGCGCGCGTCGCGAGCGGGCTGTCGATCCGGTCCTTCGCGCGACTCGGGTCTTCTTTGTCCGTCTTCGGCATCACGAAACTCGGGTCCGCCATGTCGATTTGCGACATGAGTCTGCTCGGTAGTGCGTTGTCGCTGCGCAGCTTTGTGCGCATGGGCAGTGCGATGTCCGTGTTTTCGCATTTGCGGTGCGGCAGCAGCATCTCGTTGATGCAGCAAACCTGCATGGGCAGCATGTTCTCGCTGCGCAACGTGGCGCGGTTCGGCTCCAGCTTCTCCGTCTTCTCGAGGCAGATTTTGGGGAGTCAACTGTCCGTGTTGGATAGCGTGTACTGCGGATCCGCGTTGAGCGTTCGTTCCTTCGTGCGGTTCGGAAGCTCGGTGTCCGTGTTCGGCATCTCCCGGCTCGGAAGCGCAATTAGCGTGCTGGACTTCGTCACGCTCGGATCCAGCTTCAGCATCCGCAGCTTCACGCGCCTGGGGTCCGCGATCAGCATCTTCGGCACGTACCGCGCGGGCAGCACGCTGTCCGTGCTGCAGCACAACGCACTGGGGAGCTCACTCTCCTTGCGGTCGTACAGCCGCCTGGGCTCCAGCCTGTCGGTGTTCGGCCTCACCCGGTTCGGGTCCAGCATGTCCATTCTGGACGTGCTCAACATGGGTTCCAGCCTGAGCTGCCGCGCGTGCATGAAGATTGGTTCCACCCTGTCCATTTACAACTGGATGCGGTCGCAGACGACGGTGAGCATCCTGGACTTCTTCGAACTCGGCAGCACCGTGTCCGTCCGGAGTCTGTTGAAGCTGGGCAGCACGCTGTCCGTGTACGGTATGGCGAGAATCGGCTCGGCGCTTTCCGTCTTGGATTACGTGCACTTCGGATCCACACTGTCGATGCGCGGGTTCACCCGGTTCGGTTCCACCGTCAGCGTGTTCGGCGTTTCGAACCTCGGATCGTCCCTCTCCGCGCTGGATTTCTTTATGATGGGAAGCTCGCTGTCCACTCGGTCCTTCTCGCGGTTCGGCAGTGCGCTCAGCACGTACGGCCTCGCGCGGTTCGGCAGCGGGGTGAGCATCCTGGATTTCCTCACGCTCGGCAGCAGTTACTCGCTGCGCTCCATGGCGCGGTTCGGCAGCAGCATCAGCGTGTTCGGCATCGTCCGCTTGGGCAGTTCCGCGTCGTTCCTGGACTTCGCCAACTTCGGATCCACGATGTCGCTGCGCAACTTTGTGCGGTTCGGCTCCAGCATCTCCGTGTTGCACAGCCTGCGCATGGGTTCCTGTCTGTCGATTTTGGATCAAGTTTCCGTCGGCAGCGCTTTGTCCTTCCGGTCGTTCGCAAGGTTTGGCAGCTCTTTATCCATATACGGGATGAAGCTACTCGGGTCCGGAATGTCTGTGCTCGACGTTTTGCAAATGGGGTCCACGATGAGCGTGCGCAGCTTCTCGCGCATGGGGAGCGCACACAGCATCTACGGGTTCGCCCACCTCGGGTCGACGCTGTCCGTGTTGGACTTCATCACGGTGGGATCTGCGCTCACCTTGCGGTCCTTCTCCCGGCTGGGGAGTTCTGTCTCCGTGTTTGGCATCGGATACATGGCGAGCTGCGCGTCGATTCTGGACATGCTCGTGCTCGGCAGCTCGATGTCCACCCGCAGCTTCGCCCGGCTCGGGTCCAGCATGTCCCTGTTTGGCGTGGCCCGGTTCGGCAGCGCGTTGTCGGTGCTGGACTTCGTCACGTTCGGCAGCATGGTGAGTCTGCGCTCGTTTGCGCGCGTCGGCAGTGCGATCTCCGTCTACGGCATCAGTCGGTTCGGCAGCACGCTGTCCGTGCTTGACATCGTCGACTTCGGATCCTCCATGTCCCTGCGGCACTACGCACGGTTTGGTTCCAGCATGTCGGTGTTTTCCCAACTACGGTGCGGGTCGCAGATGAGTGTTTTGAACACCGTCGCGTTTGGCAGCACACTGTCCCTGCGCGGCTTCGCGCGCGCCGGAAGCGGGTTCTCGATCTTCTCGAAGGTGACTTTGGGGAGTTGTTTGTCCACCCTGGATACAACCGAACTCGGTTCCGCCATGTCGCTGCGCAACGTGGCTCGGTTCGGCTCCTGCTTCTCGCTCTTCTCGCAGGTGCGACTCGGATCCTGCTTGTCAGTGCTCGACACCACCGCGATCGGCAGCTGCTACTCCGTCCGCTCGTTCGGTCGGTTGGGCAGCTCGTTGAGTGTGTTCAGCAAGGTGAGATTGGGGTCGAATTTATCCTTTTTGGATAAGGGCCTCATCGGCTCTTCCATGTCCATTCGCACCTACGCCCGCTTTGGCAGCACCGTCAGCATCTTCAGCAAGACGCGTGTCGGTCGATTCGGCACCAGCGTGCTGGACTACCTGCAGCTCGGCAGCACGATCTCCATCCGTTCGTTCGCGCGGTCGGGAAGCACGATGAGCATCTACGGCATGTGCAAACTCGGCTCCGCTTTGTCGTGTCTGGACACCGTGGCGCTCGGCTCCACGCTCTCGCTCCGGTCGTACACGCGGCTGGGATCCATGATGAGCATCTACTCGCGCACGGCCTTCGGGTCCAGCGTGTCCGCGCTGGACTTCACCAACTTCGGCTCGAGCCTTTCCCTCCGGTCGTATGCGCGGTTCGGCAGCACCGTGTCCGTGTTCAGCCGGTTGCGACAGGGCTCCTGCGTGTCCATGCTGGATCAAGCCTTCTTCGGCTCGGTTGTCAGCATCCGCGGGTTCGCGCGGTTGGGCAGCGGGTACAGCATCTTCTCCAAGTTCACCAGCGGCAGCTGTTTGAGTGCGTTGAACACCGGGTTCTTCGGGTCCACGATCTCGATCCGCGCCTTCTCACGGTTCGGTTCGATGTTCTCCATCTTCAGCCGGTCGGCGCTGGGAAGTACTTTGAGTGTACTCGACACCAGCCTTCTCGGCTCCACTCAGTCGATCCGCAGCTTCATCCGGCTCGGGAGCAACTTCAGCGTGCTGGCTACCCACTTCGCGGGCTCCCAGGTGTCCGTGCTTGATTTCTGCATGCTCGGTAGCACCTTATCCTCGCGTGCCTTCGCGCGGATCGGGTCGAGTATTTCCGTGTACGGGCTCTGGCGGCTGGGCAGCAGCATGTCGCTGCTGGACCAGGCGGAACTGGGGTCGGCCCTGTCGCTCCGGAACTTTGCGCGCTGCGGGTCCGCGATCAGCGTCTTCTCGATGTTGCGGACCGGGTCCTGCTCCTCGATCTTGGACACCGTGCAGTTCGGGAGCGCGTTTTCCTGCCGGTCCTTCGCCCGCCTGGGCTCGTCCTTCAGTATGTTCGGCGTGGCGCGCATCGCCTCCCAGCTGTCCATGCTGGACTGCGCGTGCTTGGGCAGCAACATGAGCGTGCGGTCGATGCTGCGGTGCGGCAGTTCGTTCAGCGTGTACGGGACCACGGTTTTGGGGAGCAACTTCTCCGTGTTGGACTTCTTCACGATCGGTAGTTCGTTTTCCCTGCGTAGCTACCACCGGTTTGGCAGCAGCTGCAGTCTGTACGGGTTGAACCAGCTCGGCAGTTCCGTTTCCACGCTAGACTTCGTGAACCTCGGAAGCTCTTTCTCGGTGCGGTCCCTGTGCCGGTTCGGGTCCACCGCATCGATTTTCGGTGTGGCGCGACTGGGATCGAGTCTCTCCGTGCTGGACTTCGTGCTGCTGGGCAGCTCGTTCTCCGTCCGGAACTTCTGCCGGTTAGGCTCAGCGCTCTCCGTCTACGACCGCGTGCGCCTGGGAAGCAGTTTGTCTGTGCTCGACTACGCGCTGTGCGGGTCCAGTCTCAGTTTGCGCAACTACGCCCGGGTTAGCAGTGCCATCTCCATCTTTGGCTGCATGCGGGCGGGAAGCACTCTGTCGTTACTGGATCACGTTTGGCTCGGCAGCTCTCTGTCCGCCCGTTCCTTCGCGCGGTTCGGCAGCACTTTGTCCCTGTACGGTCTGGCGCGGTTGGGATCCGCGTTCTCCTGTGTAGACACGATTTCCGTGGGGTCCTCGATCTCGCTGCGTTCCTACATCCGGATGGGCTCCAGCATGAGTGTGTACGGCACCATCCGTCTGGGGTCGTTTTTATCTTGTCTGGACACGGTGAAAGTGGGTTCCGCGTTGTCCACGCGCCACTTCATCCGCGTCGGGTCCGGTTTGAGTGTGTTCGGCAAAGTGCGTTCCAGCTTCAACCTGTCCGTCGTGGATGCCACGCAGATGGGTTCCATGCTGTCTGTGAGAAGTTTTGTGAAATTGGGCTCCACTTTATCCGTGTACGGCATCTCCCGGTTCGGCTCCGCGTTGTCCGTGCTGGATGCGACCTTCATGGGCAGCACCATGTCCGTCCGCGGCTGGGCCCGCTGGGGGTCGACTTTGTCCCTGTACGGCATGGGCCGCTTCGGCAGCTCCCTGTCCGTGCTCGACGTGATCACGGTGGGCAGCAGCTTCAGCCTGCGGTCGTTCGCGAGGATGGGCAGTTCTCTCTCCCTGTTCGGCGTTGCCCGGCTCGGTTCCGCGCTGTCCGTGCTGGACTTCGTGAACTTCGGTTCCGCGCTGTCCGTGCGGTCGCACGCACGCATGGGATCCGCCGTCAGCATCTACGGCATCACGCGGTCCGGGTCCACCATGTCGATTTTGGATTACTTCTGCCTCGGCTCGAGCTTCTCCGTCCGGGGATTCTCGCGCCTCGGCAGCAGCCTGTCGGTGTTTGGCGTTAGCAGACTCGGCAGTTCCTTCTCCGTGCTGGACAGCATCAATCTCGGGTCCTCCATCTCCGTCCGAAATTTGGTGCGCATGGGCTCTAGTTTATCGGTCTTCGGGGTGGCGCACATCGGCTCCGCGATGAGCGTGCTGGACTTCGCCTCCATGGGGTCGTCGTTCTCCGTGCGCAGCTTCTTCCGCATCGGCAGCGCGCTGTCGATCTACGGCTTCGCGTCGCTCGGAAGCACGCTGTCACTGTTGGACTGCTCGCACTTTGGCTCCGCCATGTCGGTGCGCAGCTTTGTGCGCCTCGGGTCTGCTCTCTCCGTGTACGGCTTCTCGAAGTTGGGGAGCTCGCTCTCCGTGCTGGATTTCGTCAACTTCGCAAGCAGCTTCAGTGTGCGGTCCTTCCAGCGGCTGGGCAGCACCGTGTCGGTGTACGGCATCACGGCCTTCGGCAGTTCGCTGTCGATTCTGGACACGATCTCCATCGGCAGTTCGTTCTCGATGCGGACCTTCGCGCGGTTCGGCAGCTCGCTCTCGATGTACGGTATGGTGCGACTGGGGTCCAGCAGCTCCGTGCTGGATTACGTGACGATTGCGTCGGCCGTGTCCATTCGCACGTTTGCGCGCATGGGTTCCAGCATCAGTATGTACAGCCGCGTGCGGGCCGGTAGCTGCCTGTCTATCCTGGACGCCGTGCAGATGGCCAGCACCATGTCGGTGCGCGCCATGTTCCGTCTCGGCTCCAGCTGGAGCAGCTTCGGGCAGGTCCGAATCGGTTCCTGCATGTCCGTTGCGGACTACGCCTGCACGGGCAGCGCCATCTCCCTGCGCGCGTTCGCTCGGTTCGGTAGCACCCTGAGTATCTTCTCGCAATTGAAGTTCGGCGGGCAGATGTCTGTCCTGGACGCCGCTTGGCATAGTAGTGGTGTGTCACTGCGTGCGTTCGCACGCATGGGCAGTGCCATCTCTGTGTACAGCAAGGTGCAACTGGGTGCGGAGTGCTCGCTGCTTGGAATGTGCCACATCGGAAGCTCCATGTCCCTGCGTGCCTCGGCCCGGTCCGGCGGCCAGGTGTCGATCTTCAGCTTCGTGCAGCTGGGCTCCGCTCTGTCTCTGCGAAGTGTCGGGCGGGCCGGAAGTTCGGCGAGCGTGTTCGGCCGCGTGCTGATGGGCAGTCAGCTCTCCATCTTAGACGCCGTCCTGTTCGGCTCCTCGCTGTCCATCCGGTTCTACGCGCGAATCGGCTCGAGCATGTCGGTCATGGCCACCTCGCGATTCGGCAGTTCGCTCTCGGTGCTGGGACAAGTCGGCATCGGCAGTTCGCTGTCCCTCCGACAGTACGCCCGGTGCGGCTCCGCCTTCTCCGTGTACAGCAAGGTGCTGCAAGGAAGCAGCCTGTCCGTGCTCGATTCCATGATGCTGGGCAGCGCGGTGTCTTGCCGTACGTACGCCAAGTTCGGGTCTGCGGTCTCGATCTTCGGACGCGTCGCCGTGGGCAGTTCGTTCTCGATCCTGGACTTGAGTAACTTTGGTTCCGGATTGTCTCTGCGCTCGTACGCTCGGTTGGGATCCGCGATCTCGGTGTACAGCCGGTCCATGCTCGGCTCCTGCATGTCCCTGTTGAACTTTGCTGCCTTCGGTTCCACGGTGTCCGTCCGTAGCTTTCTGCGGTTCGGGTCCGTGGTCAGTTGCTTCAACACGATCCGGTGCGGTTCCAACTTGTCGCTGCTGGATTGCTCGAGCTTCGGCTCTTCTCTCTCCATCCGCGCGTTCACGCGGGCAAGCGGCAGCATGAGCGTGTTCGACTACGTGTTCATCGGGTCCGCAACCTCGCTGCGGTCCACGGCGCGCATGGGAAGCCAGTTGTCCGTCTACAACGCTTTCCGCAGCGGGAGCAGTTTATCTTTACTCAACTTCGCCACGCTCGGGTCGTCGCTTTCGTGCCGTAACACGGGCCGGCTGAACGGCGGTTGCTCCGTGTTCAACTTCTTCCACTGCGGTTCGTCCCTGTCCGTGCGCGCGGCGACGCGGTTCGGATCGGTGATCTCAGTGTTCAACAAGGTGAAGATCGGCGCGGACGGCTTCGCCTCCGTCATGAACGTGGCGAACGTGGGTTCTGCTCTCTCCCTTCGCGGCTTCTGCCGCATGGGCAGCTCGTTCTCGGTCTACTCGCGCATCGCGCTGGGCAGCACGCTCTCCGCGTTGTCCTTCGTGGCCCCGGGAAGCAGCTTCTCGCTGCGTGCGATGGCCCGGCTGGGATCCAGCTTCTCGATCTTCAGCCAGGCGCGGTTCGGCTGCCAGTTCTCCGTGCTGGACGCCATCACGCACGGGTCCTCGTGCTCGATGCGCAACTTCCAGCGGCTCGGATCGAATTTGTCCGTGTTCTCGAAGGTGACCATGGGTTCCACGCTGTCGGTGTTGAACTTCATCCACTTCGGCAGTTCCGTCTCGATGCGGTCCTTTGCGCGGTACGGGAGCGCCATCTCGGTGCTGGACTGCGCCACGATTGGCAGCAGCATCTCGCTGAGGAATTTCATCCGCATCGGGTCCTCCATGTCCGTCTTCAGCAACGCGCGGTTCGGCAGCTCTTTGTCCGTGATGCAGAGCAACTTGCTCGGGAGCAGCATGTCCCTGCGTAGCTACCAACGCGTGGGGTCCGCTCTTTCCGTGTTCTCGCAAGTGCGCGTCGGCAGCACCATCTCGCTGATCGACGCCGAGAGCGTGGGTTCGTCCCTGTCGCTGCGGTCCTTCGTGCGGCTGGGCAGCGGATTCTCCATCGTGTCTCGAACGAAGTTCGGTGCCAGTGCGTCCGTGTTGGACTATCTCTCCCTCGGCTCCACTCTGTCGCTGCGAAGTTACGTGCGGTGCGGGTCCGCGGCCTCGGTCATGTCCTGGGTGCGGTTGGGGAGTTCTTTATCCCAGCTGGACTTCTTGAGTACCGGTTCCACCATTTCGCTGCGGCAGTACGCCAGACTTGGCTCCGCGTGCTCGGTCTTTTCCAAAGTGAGGCTGGGTTCTGCGCTGTCCGTCATGGAGCACATCGTGATTGGCAGTGCGTTGAGTCTGCGCCAGGCCGTGCGCTTCGGCTCATCCCTTTCCGTGCTGTCGAGCTTGACGTGCGGGGCGGCGATGTCCGTGATGGAATCCCAGAACTTGGGTAGCACTTTGTCGATGCGTGGTTTGGTGCGCACGGGCATGGACATTTCCGTGATCGACTACACCCACTTGGGCTCGTCGATCTCGGTGCGCAGCTACATTCGACTCGGCTCGGGCGTCAGCGTCATGTCGCAAACCCGGTTCGGCAGCTGCCTGTCCGTCTGCGACCTGACCTTTTTATCCTCCACCTTGTCGATGCGTTCCTACCTGCGGCTGGGCTCCTCCATCTCCGTGTTCGGCGCAACGAGGTTAGGTTCGTCTCTGTCCATGATTGACACTTTGACCACGGGCTCCAGCTGCTCGCTCCGCGGGGCCATGAAGTTGGGTTCCACGTGCTCGGTGCTGAAGCAGGTCCGACTCGGAGACACCTTCTCCGTGCTGCACTTTGTGAACTTAGCTTCTTCGCTCTCCGTCCGCAGCATGATGCGGTTCGGCAGCGGCGCGTCCGTGCTCGACTACATGCAAATCGGGTCGTCTTTGTCCCTGCGCGGCGCGATCCGGTACGGGTCGGGTATCTCCGTGTACCAGAGGATTAATCTGGGCAGCAGCATGTCCTTGCTGGACAACGCGGCGTTTGGGTCTTCCCTCTCCGTCCGGTCGCACGCCCGCTTCGGGTCGCAGATGTCGATCATGAACTTCACTCAATTAGGTAGTTCGATCTCGTTGCGGCAGTTCATCCGGTTTGGCAGTTCCGTGTCCGTGATCTCGCAACTGCGGTGCGGTTCGGCGACTTCCGTGTTGAACTTCTTCTCGTGCTCCTCTTCACTGTCTGTGCGGAGCTGCGCGCGCTTCGGTGACGCGACGTCCATCCTGCAGTTCGCAGCGCTTGGTAGCTCCTTGTCCGTAAGGTCGTATTTACGCCTCGCCTCCAACCTGTCGGTGTTCAACCAGTGCCGCCTGGCCAGCTGCTTCTCGGTGCTGGATTCGACCAACGTTGGCAGCAGCGTGTCGCTCCGCGCGATGATTCGCCTGGGCTCCGCCATGTCGGTGTTCCGTGGCGCGCGGCTGGGGGCGTGCGCGTCCGTGATTGACTTCTTCCACCTCGGGTCGGCGACCTCGCTGCGGAACTTCTTCCGCTGCGGTTCCAACCTGTCCGTCGTGGACTTCGTCGCGCTCGGGTCGAGTCTCTCTCTCCGTTCGCACGGTCGGTTCGGGAACCAAATGAGCTTCCTCGACTTCGTCGCGCTCGGCTCCTCCCTGTCCGTCCGCAGTTATGTGCGGTTTGGTAGCAACGTGTCCGTGTTCTCGAAGTTGACGCTGGGAAGCAACGCGTCCGTGTTGAACACCATCCAGATGGGATCGGCATTCTCCATTCGCGCCTTCCAGCGGTTCGGCAGCAACCTCAGCATCTTCTCGCAGACGACTTTGGGGAGCAGCTTCTCGTTGCTGGACTTCTTCGAGCTCGGCTCGACCATCTCGGTCCGGAACATCGCCCGCTTCGGTAGCGGCTACTCCGTGTACGGCCAGGTGAAGTGCGGCTCGAGCGTTTCTTTGTTGGACTTCAGCACCTACGGCAGCTCGGTGTCGATCCGCGGCACCTTCCGGCTCGGCAGCGCGATCTCCATCTTCGGCCGCATGGTGGCGGGCTCCAGTTTGTCCACGTTGAATTGGACCTGCTTCGGGTCGTCGTTGAGCGTCCGGCACCACACCAAGTGCGGACGCAGCTGCAGTGTGATTGACTTCATGAACATGGGATCCACGCTGTCTCTCCGCGCCACGGCCCGGTTCGGCAGCAACATGAGCATCTACGGCGGCCGCGTTCTTTTGGGAAGTTCGGTGTCCGTGTTGAAGTTCATGACCTTCGGAAGTTCCGTCTCATTACGTGCCTGCATGCGGTTCGGAGACCACGCGTCGATCTTGGATTTTGCGCAGTTCGGTAGTTCGATCTCGACTCGGTCGTTCATCCGTTTCGGGTCGACCTTGTCCGCCTTCAACTGCGTCCGGCTGGGTTCCACCGTGAGTTCCTTCCAGGTCGCTCTGCTCGGATCTGCGATGTCGATTCGTAGCTACATGCGGTTTGGGTCCACGGTTTCGACCTTCTCCCAGGTCCGATGCGGTTCCAATCTGTCGTGCTTGGACCAGCTGCACCTCGGGTCCGTCCTTTCCGTGCGCTCGCACATCCGGGCTGGAAGTTCGTTCTCGATCTTCTCGCGTGCGGTGTTCGGGTCCAGTATGTCCATTCTGGAGGCGTGCACGTTTGGGTCCTCGATCTCGCTGCGCGGGGTGGGCCGCTTCGGAAGCACCTTGTCCCTGCTGTGCGCGGCGCGCTTCGGGGGCGCGCTTTCTGTCCTGGATGCTGTGACACTTGGTTCCACCTTGTCCGTGCGCGGACGCGCGAAGTTCGGTTCGACGCTTTCCATCTTTGGACAGATCCGCCTGGGTTCCGAACTTTCCGTCGTCGGTGCGCTGACGTTAGGGAGCAGTCTCTCCATCCGTAGCTACGTCAAATTTGGGTCGTCCGCGTCCATCTTTGGCCGGATGTGCATGGGATCTTTGCTCTCCGTCTGCGACGCGGCGGTATTCGGTTCCAGTCTGTCCGTCCGGCAGTTCCAGCGGTCGGGCTCCGCGGTGTCCGTGTTCAACCGGGTTATCCTCGGCTCGAACTTATCCGCGTTGAACTTCATGAATTTAGGGAGCAGTCTGTCAGTCAGGTCCTACACGAAGTTTGGAAGCAACCTGTCCGTCTTCGACTTCGTGGCGCTCGGTTCGACCACGTCGATCCGTAGCTTCGTCATGATGGGCTCGAACTTGTCCGTGTTCTCGCGGTTCCGCGTTGGTAGTTCGCTGTCGACACTAGACTCCGTGTACCTTGGGTCTATGCTCTCGATGCGCGGGTTCGTCCGCGCGGGCAGTCGCATGTCCCTGTTCGGCGTGACCCGGTGCGGATCCACGGTCAGTTCCTTCAACAGCGTTTGCCTCGGGTCGATGCTCTCGATCCGCGCGCAGGTTCGCATGGGCTCCTCGTGGTCGATCTTCAGCCAGTGCCGCTTCGGCAGCACGATCTCCGTGCTGAAGTTCGCCAGTCTAGCGTCCACGGTCTCTTTGCGTACCATCATGAAGGTGGGCAGTGCCTGCAGCGTGTTCAGCTACGGAAGGTTCGGATCTTCCCTGTCCATTCTGCAGCACGTCACGTTCGGAAGTTCGTTGTCCCTGCGCGCCGTGAAGCGGTTGGGCAGTTCGTTCAGTACCTACGGCGAGATGCGATTCGGGTCTTGCATCTCCGTTCTGGACGCCACCCGCCTCGGATCCACACTCTCCGTGCGCGCCTTCGTGCGGCTGGGCAGCAACACCTCGATCTTCAGCCGGGTCACGCTGTCCTCCTCGATGTCGATCCTGAAGTTTGTCGAGCTCGGATCAAGTGTGTCCGTGCGTTCCTTCGTGCGCGCCGGATCGCTGTTCTCCGTGTTCGACTTCTCTTCCCTCGGTTCGACGCTGTCGATGCGCGCGGTCGCGCGGCTCGGCAGCACGGCCTCCGTTCTCGGAAAGGTGCAGTGCGGGTTGAAGCTCTCGACATTGGATTCCACCACGCTGGGTTCCAGTTTCAGTATCCGTGCCTACGCCCGGTTCGCGTCGAAGGTGAGTGTGTTGAACTTCGCGACCTTGGGATCGTCGTTATCCCTGCGGTCCATGGCGAGAATCGGGTCCGTCTGCTCCGTCTTCTCGGCGAGTCGCTACGGATCGTCCGTGTCTACGGTTGATTTCCTGACGCTCGGCTCTTCCGTGTCGCTCCGGAACTTCGGCCGCGTCGGGTCCGCGGTCAGTGTGTTCTCGCAGCTGCGCATGGGGTCCACCATGTCCACGTTGGATCACCTGCACTTGGGAAGTTCCTTCTCGTTGCGGTCTATGGGCAAGATGGGCCACGCAGTTTCCGTGTTCGACTTTGTGCACCTGGGGTCTAACCTCTCCCTCCGTACGAGCTGCCGGTTCGGAAGCACCTTCTCCGTGTACTCGCAGGCACGCATGGGCAGTTCAGTGTCGATTCTGAAGTACGTGGGCCTGGGTTCGTCTTTATCCCTGCGTACCTTCGGACGCTTCGGGAGCGCCATGTCGATTTTGGACTTTGCCAGTTACGGGTCTGCGGTCAGCTGCCGCGGCACCGCACGATTGGGCTCAGCGTTCTCGGTGTTCTCGAAGGTTCGCTGGGGCTGCCAAGCTTCCGTGTTCGACTACTGCCACATGGGCTCGTCCTTCAGTATCCGGTCCTTGGCCGCCATGGGAAGCAGCATGTCGGTGTACTCACGATGCATCTCTGGATCCAGCTTGAGTCTGCTCCAGTGGGGCACGCTCGGTTCGGCGCTCTCCATTCGCGCGACCGCGCGCTTGGGCAGCTCATTCTCGCTGTTCTCGCAGGTTCGCCTCGGATCCAGCTGCAGCATGCTGATGCAACACCACTTCGGGTCGAGTCTGTCGCTAAGAGGGTACGCCCGACTCGGCTCTGGCACCAGCGTGTTCGGTCGTCTGTCCTGCGGCTCGTCGATGTCGATCTTGAACTTCAGCAACCTGGGGTCCAGCATCAGTCTGCGTGCCATGGGCGCCTGCGGCTCGGTGATGTCCGTGTTCAACCGCGTCAAGTTCGGCATGAGTCTGTCCACCCTGGATTGCGTCCATCTCGGCTCCAGCGTCAGTTTGCGGTCGTTCGCGCGGTTCGGCTCCGCGTTGTCCGCTTTGGACTTCGTCATGCTGGGCTCGTCGTTCTCCCTGCGTGGCTCCGGACGCTTTGGCTCCGCGGTCTCGGTGTGGGGTCTGTCCCGGGTCGGCGGCCAACTGTCCGTGTACGACTCGCAGGCCTTCGGAAGTTCGTTATCCTTGCGCGCGTACGCGCGGCTCGGCAGCGCGATCTCGATCTACAACAAGATCTCGTTCGGCTCCAACCTGTCTGTCCTGGACTACAGCAACCTGGGCAGTTCCATCAGCGTGCGGTCGTTCGTGCGCGTCGGCGGCGAGTGCTCCATGTTCGACTACCTGCACATCGGCAGCGTCTTGTCCCTGCGTGCCACCGCCCGGATGGGCAGCTCGCTGTCCGTCTTCTCGCAGTGCCGGTTCGGATCCAGCTTATCCTTACTCGGCTGGGCCCATCTCGGCTCGGCGGTTTCGCTGCGCGGCACCACCCGCATGGGCTCGCGCATGTCGATCTACGGAAAAACCACGTTCGGCTCCAGCTGCTCAGTCTTGGCGGTCACCAACTTTGGTTCCTCCATGTCGGTGCGAGCCTTCGGCAGTCTCGGGTCGCGCATGAGCGTGTTCGACTTCTTCAACCTCGGGTCTGCGGTGAGCATGCGTTCAGTCGCACGGTACGGCTCCCAGCTCTCGGTGTTCGACCAGATTCGCTTCGGATCCTCGCTCTCGACGCTGGATGCCGTGTCGCTCGGCAGCAGTCTCTCCATCCGCAGCTTCATGCGGTTCGGAAACCAGTATTCCATCCTGGACTCCGTGTCGCTGGGTAGCGGGCTTTCGATGCGAGCCGTCGCGCGCTGTGGTTCGGGCGTGTCGATCGCGTCGCGGACCCGCGCGGGCTTCAAGTTCAGCGCGTTGGATCAGGTGGCGCTCGGCAGTTCCCTGTCCATCCGTTCCTTCGTGCAGTTCGGCTGCCGCACGTCGATCATCGACTTCGCCTGCTTCGGCAGTGCCCTGTCGGTGCGCAACTACGTGCGCGTGGGTAGCGCATTTTCCGTTCTGGCGTCCACGCGACTGGGCTCCGACCTCAGCGTCATGGAGCACGTGGAATGCGGTTCTGCGGTGAGCTTACGCAGCACCTCTCGGTTCGGGAGCGCGGTCTCGGTTTTGAGCTTCTCGATGGTGGGATCCAGCTTGTCCGTGCGCGAATTCTTCCGCGTGGGGTCTAGTTGCTCCGTCTTCAACGCGGTACGGTTGGGTGACTCTTTGTCAGTCCTCGCCGAACTGGACCTCGGAAGCAGTCTCTCCGTGCGGCAGTACACGCGGTGCGGCAGCTGCATCTCCGTTTTGAACTTCTGCACAGTGGGTTCAGTTTTGTCCCTCCGTCAGTTCATGCGCGTGGGTTCCGGCGTGTCCGTTCGCGGGCGCACGCGCGTGTCGCGGGAAGTCTCGATTTTGAGTCGCATCCACCTCAGTTCGTCGCTATCTATCCGCGCCTTCATCCGGTGTGGCAGCTCGATCTCGACCTACAATTTTGCGCACTTCGGCTCCGCGATCTCGCTCCGCAGCGTCGGAAGGATGGGCTCGAACTGCAGCGTTTTCAGCAAGATGTTCCTCGGAAGCGGTCTGTCTGTATTGGATTACTGCAGCCTGGGGTCCACCTTGAGTATCAGACAAACAGTCAGCTTCGGGTCGCGCATGTCGATCTACGACTTCATGAACCTCGGCAGCTCTTTGTCCTTGCGCAACGCGGCGCGCCTCGGGAGCAACATCAGTGTGCTGTCCCGCATCACCTGCGGAAGCACTTTATCCATCCTGAACTGGGCATCCGCCGGGAGTAGTTTGTCGTTGCGTCACGTCGCCCGGCTCGGCAGCTCCATTTCCGTCACCGCGGGCAAGGTGTACCTGCAGCCGAAGATGAGCTTGTTGGAGTCTATCAACTTGGGCAGCAGCCTCTCCGTCCGCGGAAACTGGGTGCGGTTGGCGGGTAACTTGAGTGTGCTCGACTACGTGCAGTGCGGCTCGGCGCTCAGCCTGCGCGCCGCTACCCGTCTGGGATCCACCATGTCGGCGAACGCTAGAACCGTCTTCGGTCACACGCTGTCCACCTTGGATCAAGCGAACTTCGGAAGTTGTCTGTCGCTCCGCGCCTTCACTCGCCTGGGCTCCGCACTCTCCGTGGTTTCGAAGACGAATTTATGTATGAGCTACTCCGTGCTGGACAAAGTCAGCCTCGGGTCGTCCATCTCCGTGAGGTCGCAGGCGCGGTTGGGCAGCATCTGTTCGTGCTTCAACTTCGCGTCCTTCGGTTCCGCGTTGAGCGTGCGCGAGTTTGCTCGTCTCGGCTCGCGGGTTTCCGTCGTGAAGAAAGCGCAGCTGGGCTGGACGCTGTCCGCTCTGAACAACGTCCACTTGGGTTCCAGCATGTCGCTCCGCAGTGTGGTCCGCACCGGTGACTCGATTTCGGTGTTGACCACCTCGCAGTTCGGCTCTTCGATGTCTCTGCGCGCGTTTGCGCGACTTGGAAGCTCGTTATCCATCTGCGGTCCTCAGGGACGCCTGCACGGACAGCTCTCGGTCCTGGACCAGGTGCTGCTCGGGTCGTCTTTATCCGTCCGGTCCACCGTGAGGCTTGGATCGGGACTCTCCACGCTCGCGTTCTCGCACTGCGGCTCGTCGCTTTCCATGCGCGCGTACGCCAGGATTGGTTCCGCCATGAGCTTGAACCAGTGCGCACGGTTAGGTGCCAGCATGTCGGTATTGGATCAGCTGCAACTGGGCTCTACCTTTAGTCTGCGCAGCTGCGGCCGTTCGGGATCCGCCATGTCCGTGCTGAACTACGTCACGCTTGGGTCCGCTTTATCGATGCGGTCCTTCGCGCGTTGTGGAAGTGCGTTCAGCCTGCACGCACCGAGCGCGACTTCGAAGATGGCGGGCTCGTGCTCTTTATTGAACTTCGCAAGTTTGTCGAGCAGCGTGTCCTTGCGCAACATGGCGCGGTGCGGCGGACAGTGCAGCGTGTTGAACTGCGCCAACTTGGGATCCAGTCTCTCGCTGCGAACAAGCGCCAGGTTAGGTTCCACGCTGTCCGCGCTGGACTTCTTCCTGTTGGGAAGCACGGTGTCCATCCGCACGACCGCGAGACTAGGGTCTTCCATGTCCCTGTTCGGCAAGATTCGCACGGGCTCGACTTTGTCCATGCTAGATCGGGCGTGCTGCGGCAGTTCTCTGTCGTTGCGGAACTTCGTGCGGATCGGGAGCAGTTTGTCGCTGAGCGGAAAACACGTGCGCATCTCCTCGCAGGTTTCCGTGCTGGACCAGGCGGAATTCGCTTCGTCGCTGTCGTTGCGCAGCTTCTGCAAGATCGGCAGTTCCTTGTCGATTGGGGAGTACTTGACCGTTGGCTCTTCCCTTTCCCTCCGCTGCTTCGCTCGCGTTGGTTCCAGCCTCTCCGTTGGTGCCGGCTTCGCGCGAATCAGTGGAGCGTTGTCCATCATGAACGCGGTCCACCTGGCGTCGACGCTCTCGATGCGCTCGCACTTGAGAAGTCAGGGCAGCATCTCCACGCTGGACTTCGCGACTTTGTCTAGCAGCATGTCTCTCCGGACCCACGCGCGGTTTGGCGCCAACGTGTCTGTCGTGGACTTTGTGCAGATCGGCTCCAGTCTGTCCCTGCGCAACTTCTGCCGCATCGGGTCGTCTTTGTCTGCGGCCGGGAACATGCAGTGTGGCGGCACTATGAGTGTGCTCTACCAGATGGAGGTGGGAAGCAGTTTATCCCTTAGATCCCTGGCCCGCATGAGCGGACGTGCGAGCGTTTTGGATTACTTGAACCTCGGTTCCTCCTGCTCGCTGCGCACCACCGCCCGGTTCGGCAGCCAACTGTCCGTGCTGGATTACCTGAACGTCGGATCCTCGCTATCCTTGCGGTCGTACCTGCGCGTCAGCAGCTCTTTCAGCATCCTGGGCGACGCCAAAGTCGGCATTTCCTGCAGTGTCATGGACTACTGCGCGCTCGCGAGCTCCTGCTCGCTGCGTGCCTACTCGCGGCTAGGTGCGGAGATCTCCGTGCTGTCCTTCGGATTCATGGGCTCCAGCTTGTCCATCCGCAGCTTCGCGCGGTTAGGCAGCTCGATCTCCTTGGGCCCCGATGCGTCGGCGCGCCTCGGCACGCAAGCCAGCGTGTTTGGGGAACTGGACGTCGGGTCGTCGCTCAGCATCCGGGCGTTGTCTCGCATGGGTTCTCGCTGCAGTGTACTGGACTTCTGCACCATGGCGTCCAGTGTCTCGCTGAGGCAGTTCATCCGCATCGGCTCCAGCATCTCGATGTACGGTGCCATGCGGTGCGGGTCCGGTTGCAGTTTGTTGCACACCGCGCAGGTCGGCAGCAGTTACAGCATCCGGAACTTCTTGCGCGTTGGGTCCTCCGTCTCCTGCCTGAGCAGCGTGCGTGCGGGCGGCTCGCTGTCCCTGCTCAGCTTCGTCGGCATGAGTTCCGCGTTATCTATTCGCGCATTCTCGCGGTTCGGAACGGAAATGTCCGTTTTGGACTCTATCAGCCTCGGATCCGGCATCTCGCTGCGCACCTTCCTGCGTGCCGGCAGTGCCTGCTCGATCGCGCAGCGCCTGCGTGCAGGAGCGGAAATGAGCGTCCTGGACTTCTTCCAACTGGGTTCCACCTTCTCTTGTCGCGCCATCGCGTCGTTCGGCTCCTCGATGTCGCTGTTTGGCCGCGTCAGGATGGGAAGCAGTTTGAGCGCATTGGGCTTGGCTAGCATGGCCAGCTCCCTCTCTCTCCGAGGGTATGCCCGTATGGGCAGCTGCCTCTCCGTGTTCTCCCACATGGACGGAGGCGGCGCTTTGTCCATTCTGAACTGCGCACAGTTTGGCAGCTCCATGTCGCTGCGTGCGTACACACGTCTCGGATCCGGACTGTCCCTGTTCTCCAACTCGCAACTCGGCGGCTCGCTGTCTGCGCTGGAGGCCACGGCGATCGGTTCCAGTTTGTCGCTGCGTTCCTTCGCCCGATTTGGCTCGACCGTCTCCTTCTTCGGATGGTGCCGGCTGTCGAACCAGATGTCCGCCCTCGCGGCGGTGACGGTCGGAAGCTCAATGTCGCTGCGCAGCTACGCGCGCATCGGCAGCTCCTTCTCCATCAAGTCGCGGGTGCGCTCCGGCTTGGGCGGGCTGTCGATGATGGACTTCATGGTCTTGGGTTCAGCCATCTCGGTCCGCGGGCTCGCTCGACTGGGATCCGCGTTGTCCGTCAAGGGCCAGATCCGGTTTGGCGACGAGTTCTCACTGAAAGAGTTCTTCAACCTGAGCAGCGCCTTGAGTCTTCGCGGGTTCATGCGGATGGGAAGCTCGTTGTCGACCTTCTCGTGCGGTCGGTTCGGCAGTTCGCTGTCTGTCCTAGCCCACGTGGCGCTCGGGAGCTCGCTCTCTATCCGTGCGTACTGCCGGGTCGGCAGCTCGATGAGCTTCTTCGGACACTCGCGGTGCGGTTGCAGCATTTCTCTCCTCGACGCGGGTCAGGTCGGATCGGGATTGTCGATCCGCACGCTTTCCAGATTCGGTTCGCAGTGCTCGATGTTCGACTTTTTGAATGCCGGGAGCACTTTGTCCGTGCGCGCTGTCTCCCGCCTGGGTTCCGGGCTCTCCGCGTTCTCGAGTCTACGCCTCGGTTCGTGCATGTCGGCGTTGAACTTTGCCTCGCTCGGCTCCAGCATCTCCGTGCGCAGCTTCACGCGCATTGGATCGGCTCTGTCCGTTACGGGAAGTGTGATGTTGGGCTCGGTGCAGTTCATGTCCGTCGTGGGCATGGCAGCCATGGGCTCCGCGTTGTCGATTCGCGGCATGTCCCGGTTCGGGTCCACGACCTCCGTGTTCGACGTTTTGTCCCTCGGCTCCGCGTTGTCCGTGCGTGGGTTCGTCCGTATGGGCTCCACGATCAGCGTCGGGTCCAAGGCGAACTTGCACGACGTGACCGTGTCGCAGTACCTAACCGTGGCCAACTACGCCAGACTCGGACAGCGTCTCTCCGTGTTCGACCACTTATCTCTCGGATCCTCCATCTCCATGCGGCAATACGGAAAACTGTCCGGCGCGTTGAGTGTGCTTGACTACGTCAGCTACGGTTCGTCGTTCTCGATGCGGGCGTTCGCGCGCATGGGCAGCAGTTTATCTCTTGCCGGTGCGATGGCGGTGCTGCAGAGTCCGCTCTCGATTCTGCAACAGGTGTCGCTCGGAAGCAGCCTGTCGGTTCGAGGGTTTGTTCGGTTCGGCTCGAAGTTCTCCGTGCTGGATGCTATCAACCTGGGTTCCGCGCTTTCTCTCCGCAACTACGCCCGTGTCGGCTCTGGGTGCAGTGTGGCCGGTTTGGCGTTCCTCGGAAGCACGCACAGCATCTCTGTATTGGACGCCATGTCCATCGGGAGCACCTTGAGTTTGCGCAGCTTCGCGCGGTTCGGCGGCTCGATGTCGGTTTTGGACTACGTGACCATGGGCTCCGCTCTCTCCTTGCGTGGGGCGGCAAGACTGGGCAGCTCGTTGAGCGCCTTCGGTGGCGGCTTCGCGCGTATCGGATGCAGCGTCTCCGTCGCGGACTACTTCTCCTTGGGGTCCAGCTGTTCGCTGCGCGCGTCTGGTCGGTGCGGCTCCGCCCTGTCCATTCTCGGCTTCGTCAGCATGGGTTCGGCGCTGTCCGTCCGGCAGTACACGCGGTTTGGCTCGGCGATTTCCGTCATGGCGTTGTCCGGTTGCCGCTTCTCGCTGCTCGACCAAACGCACCTGGCCAGCTCGCTGTCTGTGCGCGCTCACGTGCGCATGGGTAGCCAGATGAGCGTGCTCGAGTTCTCCAACATCGGCGGAGCGTTGTCCGTGCGCAGCACGGGTCGCTGCGGGTCCAACCTTTCGGTCCTGGACTTCGCGTCCTTCGGCTCCGGAATGAGCCTCCGCGCCCGCGCCACCTGCGGCTCCATGGCGTCCGTGCTGGACTTCGCCATGTTTGGCTCCAGTCTCTCAATTCGCCAGTGCGCTCGCTTCGGCAGCGCCTTCAGCGTGCACGGCAAGTTCGCGCTCGGCAGCTGTCTGAAGCTCTCGGTGATCGGTACGGCAATGCTGGGAAGCTCGTGCTCGCTCCGGCAGTGCGCGCGGATCGGGTCCATGGTCTCCATCCTCAGCTACGTGCACCTGGGCTCCACGTGCTCTCTCCGTTCAGTCGCTCGCATCGGGTCCGCCGTGTCCTCCTTCGGCAGCGCGCGGATTGCGGCCAGCCTGTCGGTTTTGAGTCAAGTTTCCTTCGGTTCGGCGCTTTCCGTGCGCGGAATGTCTCGCTGCGGCAGCTCGATGTCCGTGGTGGACTTCCTGAACCTGGGCAGCGCGCTCTCCCTTCGCACGTACGCGCGTATCGGAAGCGGGTTGAGCGTGCACGGCCTGTTCAAGGTCGGCAGCGCGCTTGCGATTTCCGTGATCGACTTTGCGCACTGCGGAAGCTCGGTCAGCTTGCGCTCGTACTCGAACCTCGGCTCTTCTTGCAGCGTCCTCGACATGGCCTCCCTTGGCTCGGCGGTGTCGGTCCGCGCGTTTATTCGGTTCGGCTCGTCGTTCTCCGTCCAGGGAGCGCACGCAAGACTTACCGGCTTGTTCTCCGTGATGAGCCAAGTACATTTAGGATCCGCTTTATCCATGCGGTCCTTCGCTCGCGTCGGGTCCGCGGTGTCCGTGTTGGACTACACCAACATGGGGTCCGCGCTGTCGCTGAGAGCATACGGGCGACTCGGGTCCTCCCTGTCGCTGACCGCCGGCTTACGAGTGGGCATGAGCGCCTCCGTGATGGACTTCATGCTGCTTGGCAGTTCACTATCGGTTCGCGGTCTGGGCCGGCTAGGGTCTTCCCTTTCCGTGCTCGATTTCTTGAACCTCGGCTCCAGCATCAGTCTGCGCAGCATGGCCCGGCTCGGAAGCTACCTGTCGGTGCACGGCGACGTGGACATGTTCGGTACCAGTGCGGGTCTCAGCATCTACCCGCGCGCCAGGTTCGGAACGCAGATGTCCGTCTTTGACTACCTGCAGTGCGGCAGTTCCATCTCCATCCGCAACCAGGCACGGTTAGGTAGCTCGCTCTCCGTGATGGGTAAGACCTACCTCGGTTCCGTGAACCGCATGTCGGTGATCGGCCAGATGCACCTCGGCAGCAGCTTCTCGCTGCGTTCGTTCGCCAAGTTCGGAAAGAGCTTGAGCATCCTGGATTTAGTCACTCTCGGTAGCGCCGTTTCCTTGCGTTCCTTCGCTCGTTGCGGCAGCGCGATGTCCTCGCTGGACTTTGCCACCTTCGGGTCCGCCGTGTCGGTCCGGAACTTCGTCCGCATCGGTAGCGCGATGAGCGTCGCGTGCTCGGCCAGGATTAGTAGCATGGTCTCCGTCCTGGATGCCGTGTCTTGCGGAAGCTCGCTCTCCGTGCGCTCCACTACGAGATTTGGCGAAAGATTATCGGTGCTGGACTTCGTGAACGTCGCGTCCAGTGTGTCGATCCGGCAATTCGCAAGAGTCGGGTCCGGTCTCAGCGTGCACGGCCGTACGGCGGTCGGCTCCGTGTACCGGCTGTCGATCATCGGCGCCACGCTCGCGGCGAGCACCATGAGTGTGCGTTCCTTCACGCGCATGGGCGAGTCTGCGAGCGTGTTGGACTTCTTGAATCTCGGCAGCTCGCTGTCCACACGCGCCTGCGTCCGGCTGGGCAGCGGCATGTCGCTGTTCAACAAAATGCGTGTCGGCGCGGACGCGAGTGTTCTCGGGCAGATTCACTGCGGTAGCACAGTTTCCCTCCGCGGGTTCACGCGGTTTTCCAAGTCGATCTCGGTGCTGGACTTCACGACGCTCGCCTCGGGCCTCTCTGTGCGCAACTGGATTCGTGCGGGCTCGGCGATGTCTGCCTTCGGGCAGGCCCGGGTGGGCGGCCGCTGCTCCGTGCTGGAGTACCTGATGCTGGGCAGCTCGCTGAGCGTCCGGTCCTTCGCCAACTTCGGGTCTGCGATGTCGGTGTTCGATTTCTTGAACCTCGGATCCTCGATCTCGGTGCGCATGAGCGGTGCGCTGGGCGGGCGACTCTCCGTGACAAACTTCGCGGTCTTCGGTAGCGCGGTGTCTGTCAGAAGTTTCACGCGCATCGGCGAGCGCCAGTCCGTGCTGGACTTCATGACCATCGGGTCCGCCTTGTCGATCCGCTCCTACATGCGGTGCGGCTCCGGCGTCTCCGTGCACGGCATCGCCAAGATTGGTTCCGCGTTCGCGGTCTCCATGGTGGACTACCTGCACTTGGGCTCGACCATCTCCGTCCGCTCGTACGCGCGCGTCGGCAGTCGGATGTCCATCTTCGATTTCCTGAACATGGGCAGCTCGTTATCTCTTCGGGCGGCCACGCGAATCGGCTCCACGTGCAGCATCGCGGGCGCCTTGTTGAACAGTATGGCGGGTGCACTGTCGATTATGGACTACCTCAGTCTGGGTTCGACTTTATCGTTGCGTTCCGCAACGCGGGTCGGGTCCGCCACCTCGGTGCTAGCGTTCGTGCACCTCGGGTCCTCGCTGTCGCTCCGGGGGGTTGCCCGTTGCGGATCTTCCCTTTCAGTTGCGGGCAGCTACGCTCGGATTGGTAAGGAGCTCTCTGCGCTTGACAGCGTGAACCTCGGGTCCAGCTTCTCGGTGCGCAGCCACGTGCGGTTGGGAAGCAGGATGAGCTTGTCGGACATGGTGACTTTAGGCAGCTCGATTTCCCTGCGAAACTTCGTGCGCGTCGGGTCCGCTTGCTCGGTGCTCGGCTTGACGAAGGTGGGCAGCTGCTTGAACCTCTCCGTCATCGACCAGTGCGAGATCGGCAGCTCGGTGTCCGTCCGGCAGTTTGTCCGTCTCGGCAGCAAGATCTCGATTCTCAACTTCGCGCAGATCGGAAGTGGGATGAGCGTCCGTGCCTGCGCCCGTTGTGGAAGCGGCATGAGCATCCACGGCCTGTTGCGCACGGGGTCCGTGTACGCCGCCAGTCTGCTCGGCTTCGCCACGCTCGGCTCGTCCCTGAGTGTCCGCGCGTTCGCGGAAGTCGGCAGTCGGGTTTCGATCCTGGACTTCCTGAACATGGGAAGCAGCATGTCCGTCCGCCAGTTCGCCAGAGTTGGCAGCGGCTTGAGCCTGCAGGGCGCCTGCAAGATTTCGGAGTCCGTGTCCGTGCTGAAGTGGCTGCACTTGGGAAGTTCGCTGTCCATGCGCAGTTGCGGCAGCTTCGGCAGCCAGTTGTCCGTTTTGGACGCGGTGGTGCTCGGGTCGTCGCTCAGTCTCCGCAACTACATCCGCCTCGGATCGTCGATGAGCGTGTTTGGCAAAGACCTCCGCATGGGCGGACGCACAAGCGTCCTGAGCTTCCTCCACCTGGGCAGCTCTCTTTCGGTGCGCGCTTCCGTCAAGATGGGATCGGCGTTGTCGCTTCTGGACTTCACGAACACCGGGTCAAGCTTAAGTCTTCGCGCAGTGGCTCGCCTGGGGTCCAGCGTGTCCCTGTTCGGACTCTTTGCGTGCGGCTCCACCATGACCATGTCCGTGATTCAGTCGGTCGCGCTCGGTAGCGCTTTATCCCTCCGCAGCGCGTCTCGTCTTGGGTCCGAGATGTCCATCCTCAACTTCGCCGGCCTCGGAAGCAGTTTGTCCGTGCGCTCCTACGCCCGCGCGGGCAGCAAGGTCTCGGTTTTGGACTTCTTCAACTTGGGATCTTCGCTTTCCGTTCGCAGCGTCGTGCGTGTCGGTTCTTCGCTGAGCGTGCTCGGGGCCTCGAAGGTCGGGTCCGTTTTAGGTGTGTCCGTGATCCAGTTTGTCCAGATGGGAAGCAGCCTGTCCTGCCGCTCGTTCACGCGGTTCGGCGGGAAGACCTCAGTCTTCGACTTCATGAACATGGGCAGCGCGCTCAGCGTGCGTGCGATGACTCGACTGGGCAGCGGGGTCTCGGTCCACGGATTGGCCGCCTTCGGCTCCGTCTGCAAGACCTCGTTGCTGGATCGCCTGTGCCTCGGGAGCTCGCTTTCCGTCCGGTCCTTTGCGCGGTTCGCCAGCGGCACCACCCTGCTGGACATGTTCACCCTGGGCAGCTCGTTGTCCTTGCGGTGCGTGGCACGCATCGGCTCGTCTTTATCCGTCAAGGACAGTACCCGGATGGGAGCGGCACTCTCCGTCCTCTCCCACGTGGAACTCGGAAGCTCCTTGTCCCTGCGGTTGGCGTTCAAGGCCGGCAACTGTTTGTCTGTGCTGGAATACGTGAACATCGGCAGTTCCGTCAGCTTGCGGTCCACGGTGCGCCTTGGAAGCTCGTTATCTACGCTCAACTTCGTGAACCTGGGATCGAGCTTGTCCCTGCGCGGTTACGCCCGCGTCGGGTCCACTATGTCCGTTCTCGCCGATATGCGAGCGGGTGCGCAGCTCTCCGTGCTGGGCTCGGTGGCCGTCGGGTCGTCCATGTCGATCCGCACCTTCACGCGATTGGGTGCGCAGGTCTCCGTCCTGGACTACGTCACGCTCGGCAGCAGCATGAGTGTGCGGTCGACTGTCAGCTTCGGCAGCAAGTTCTCGATCCTGGACATGGTTTCGCTCGGTTCCGCCCTTTCCGTTCGCCAATACGTGCGTCTCGGGTCCTCGTTCTCGGTGAACCAGCAGTCGCGGTTCGGAAATGACGTGTCGGTGCTGGCGCAGATCGCTTGCGGAAGCAGCTTATCTCTGCGATCTTTGAGCAGAATCGGTTCCATGCTGAGTGTGCTGGACAGCATGTCCTGCGGTTCCGCCATCTCCCTCCGAGGCGGTTCCCGGTTCGGAAGCGCCCTCAGCGTTCTCGGATTCGCCCTTGCGGGATCGTCCGTGTCCATGCGGACCTTCACGCGCCTGGGCAGTTCTTTCTCCGTGATGGGTCTGACGCAGGTTGGTTCCATGAAGAAGCTATCTATCGTGGGTGCGACGCACATCGGCTCTAGTCTGTCGATCCGTTCCACAACGCGTTTCGGCTCGCAGTGCAGTATCCTCAACTACACGGCCTTTGGGTCCTCGTTGTCGCTGCGCAACTACGCCCGATTCGGCAGCGCGCTTTCGATCGCCAGCTGCACCGGAAAGAGCAACGTGATTGGCGGTAGAGGCGGTTTATCCGTGCTCGACGCGGTCCATCTTGGCAGCAACGTGTCGGTCCGTGCGACCGCCCGGTTCGGCGGCAGCCTGAGCATCCTGAACTTCTCCGACTGTGGTAGCAGTCTGTCCCTGCGCTCGTACGTCCGTGCGGGCTCCGGCTTCAGCGTTGCAGGACGGTGTGCCATGGGCTCCGTCTACCGACTGTCGGTGATCGAGATGACGAACCTCGCATCGACTTGCTCCGTTCGCGGGTTCGCGCGAATGAGCAGCGTCAGCTCCGTGTTTGACCACCTGATGATGGGATCCTCCCTCTCGGTCCGCGCTTTCGCTCGCATCGGATCTGGGCTTTCCCTGTTGCAGAGCGCGCGGGTCGGCGGCGGTTGCTCGGTCCTGGCGCAAACCACCCTCGGCAGCTCCATGTCGCTGCGCATGTTCACCAAGATGGGCAAGACCTTGTCCGTTCTGGACGCCGTGTACATGGGATCCGCATTGTCTGTGCGGGCCGTGGCGCGCTTAGGCTCCGGCTTCAGCGTCAACCGCGTGAGCAAGGAGGCTGTCGCGTCCTTCGGAGTCCGATTGTCCGTGTTGGACATGATGTCGCTCGGCAGCAGTGTTTCAATTCGCGCCATGGCTGAGTTCGGATCCAGGTGCTCCGTGTTGGACACGCTGATTCTGGGCTCGTCGCTCAGTCTCCGCCAGTACTCGCGCGTAGGCTCCGGCTTCTCCGTCGCGGGTATGTTCAACGTGGGCTCCGTGTGCCGCCTCTCCGTGATCGGGTTGAGCAACTTCGGAAGCAGTTTGTCCGTCCGGTCGTTCGCCAAGTTCGGAAGCCAGGTATCCGTGCTGGACTGCTTCCATCTGGGCTCGTCCATCTCCCTGCGCGCCTCCGCCAGGGTCTCCGACAACGTCAGCGTTTTGTCCTTCGTTTCCATGGGCTCCACCATCTCTGTGCGATCGTCCGCTCGGTTCGGTTCCAACTGTAGCGTGTTGGACTTCATGCAGATGGGTAGCACGTTCAGCATCCGCAGTGTGGCCCGCATCGGCAGTTCGCTGTCCGTGATGGGTGCGTCGCGAACGATGGGTGGCTGCTCCGTGCTGGATTGGGCGCTGTTCGGCTCTAGCTTCAGTGTGCGGTCCGTCGTCCGGTGCGGCAGCTCCCTGTCACACTTGGAGTTTGCGCACTGCGGTTCCGCTCTGTCGCTGCGTGCGTACGCGCGTCTCGGCAGCGCTGCAAGCGTGTGGAGCACGCTGCGTGCCGGCGATCGCTTCTCGATCCTCGGGAATGTGTCGCTCGGCTCCGCCTTGTCGCTCCGCGGGGTTGCCCGTCTCGGTGGCGGCCTGTCGGTGCTCGACAACGTGGCGATGGGATCCGCGTTATCCCTGCGCGCAACGGCTCGCTTCGGCAGCGCGATGTCTCTCCTGGACTTCGCCGCGGTCGGCTCGTCCTTCAGCGTGCGACGGCAAGTGCGGGTGGGGAAGAGCTTCTCCGTGCTGAACTTCGGCCAGTGCGGTAGCTCGCTGAGCATTCGGGCCGCTGCTCGCTGCGGCTCGTCCCTGTCCTGCATGGGATTGGCGCGTGTCGGTTCCGCGTACCAGATGTCCGTGATCCAGGAAATGTCCCTGGGATCGTCCATGAGCGTGCGCAGCTTCGGACGCTTCGGTTCGGCCATCAGCGTCTTCAGCTTCATCACGGTTGGGTCCTCCTTGTCCCTGCGGGCCTACGCACGTTGCGGCTCGGCCTTGTCCATCTTCAACGCCCCGGTCAATGTCGGCGGGAAATTTTCGCTGCTGGATATGTCCTCCGTCGGTAGCACGCTGTCCGTACGGGCCGCCATCCGGGTTGGCTCCTCCATGTCCGTGCTCGGGAGTATCAAGATGGGCGACTCATTGTCGATCCTTTCGCAGATCCATTTAGGTTCTGCCCTCAGCGTGCGGTGCAAGGTGCGGGCCAACGCCAACGTCTCCCTCCTTGACTACGCACAGTTCGGCAGCTCGCTCTCGATTCGTGCGTCGGCGCGATTCGGAAGTCGGTTGTCGACGCTGGACTTCATGAGCATGGGAAGCTCCTTCTCGATGCGCAACTACTGCCGTGTCGGATCAGCTTTGTCCGTGTTCGGTCTCACCGCCGTCGGGTCCTGCTTGCGGGCGAGCGTGATTGACTTCATGCAGTGCGGGTCTAGCATGTCCACACGCAGCGTCTCCAGATTGGGCAGCCGCGCTTCGCTACTGGACTACCTGGCGATCGGCTCTTCACTCTCCATTCGGTCGTTCCTCCGCTCCTCCTCCGCGTGCAGCATCTGCGGCACCAGTCGAATGGGCATGGACCTGTCCGTCTTGGGCTTCTCGCACGCCGGCAGCAGTTTGTCGCTCCGCAGCACCGCCCGATTTGCCTCGGCCATGTCGGTTTTGAACTGCGTGACCCTGGGCTCGAGTCTCTCGATGCGATCGTACTCGCGGTGCGGCTCGGCTCTGGTCGTCAGCGGCCTGCTCAACATGGGCAGTTGCATGAAGGCCAGCGTGCTGCAATGGTGCCACGTCGGGTCCTCCGTCTCGATTCGCCAGTACAGCCGCATTGCGGGTGACATCAGCGTGCTGGACATGTGTGCCTTGGGCAGCGGATTGTCGATGCGCAGCTACATGCGCATTGGCTCCAGCGTCTCCGTCCACGGTTTGCAGTGCGTCGGGTCGGTGTCCCGCATGAGCGTCATGGACTTCCTCGCCATTGGTAGCTCCTTGTCGCTCCGCAGCCGCGGCTCGTGCGGGGACAGCCTGTCCGTTCTCAGCTACGTCGGCATTGGATCCTCGGTCAGCCTGCGGTCGTTCGCCCGTCTGTCCTCGAACCTGTCCGTCCTGGACTTCGTGACGCTAGGCTCCACCCTGTCGACGCGCAGCATGGTGCGGTGCGGATCGCGCATGAGCATCATCGACCACTTTGCTTTGGGTTCCTCCCTGAGCTTGCGCACGGTCCTCCGCATTGGCTCCGGCTTCAGCGTGTCGTGCGCTGACAACCTGGCCAACAAAAACGTGCTGCAGGGCAAGCTTTCCGTGTTGGACTACGTCAGTCTCGGCAGCTCGCTGTCGATCCGGAACCAAGTGCGCTTTGGAACTTCGGCCAGCATGCTCGGCTTCGCCAACCTGGGCTCCTCGCTGTCCGTGCGGTCCTACGTTCGGTTAGGGTCCGGATGCAGCTTCATGGGCTTGGCGCGCACGGGTTCGCTCTACGCGTTGTCCGTCGTTGCGCAAACCACTTTGGGCTCGAGCCTCTCGCTGCGCACGCACGCGCGGCTCGGCCAGAACGCCAGCGTGATGGACTTCGTCAGCGTCGCTTCTTCACTCTCCCTGAGATCTGCCGCCCGGGTCGGAAGCGGTCTCTCCGTGTGCGGCAAGACGCGCATCAGCGACGCACTGTCCGTGATGATGCACACCACCCTCGGGTCTTCCTTGTCCATCCGTGCGATGACCAAGATGTACGGCGGCACCTCGGTGCTGTGCTTCACGAACTTGGGCAGCTCGCTGAGCGTCCGCCAGGTGTCGCGCATGGGCGGGCACTTGTCGCAGCTGAACTTCGCCAGCTTCGGCTCCGCAGTCTCCATCCGCTCGTTCCTGCGGGTGGGTAGCTGTGTCAGCGTGTCCGGCACGCTGCAGTGCTCGTCGTGCTTCCGCTTGTCGGTGGAAGGCTTCTTGCACGTGGCGAGCAGCTTGTCCCTGCGTTCGTTCGCGCGCATCGGGAGCATGCTCTCCGTCCTGGACGGCATGACGGTCGGTTCGGCCTTGTCGGTCCGCAACTACGCCAGATTGGGCTCCGCCTGCAGTTTAACCGGCCGGATGATCGGTGGTGACAAGTGCTCGGTGCTGGGCTTCCTGCACTTGGGCTCCTCCATGTCGATTCGCGCCATGTCGCGGTCGGGATCCATGCTGAGCGTCTTCAACCTGGTGAACCTGGGCAGCTCGATCAGTATGCGGTCGTACATGCGGTGCGGCAGCAGTCTGTCCGTTCGCGGGGACCGCGTCCGCATTGCCGGCAAGACGTCCATCATGCAAGAAATCGCGATTGGAAGCTCTTTGTCGGTCCGATCCATCGCGCAACTCGGCTCGAAGATGTCGACGCTCGACTTCCTCAGTTTAGGATCCTCGATGTCGATCCGCTGCTTCGGTCGGTTCGGCGAGTCGGTGTCGATGTTCCACTTCCTGAACGTGGGTTCCACGGTGTCGTTGCGCAGCTACTCGCGCATGTCGAGTTCGATGTCGGTTTTGGACTTCGTCACACTCGGCTCCGCCCTGTCCGTCCGCAACTTCGTGCGCATCGGCAGCGGCATGAGCGTGAAGGGCCAGTTCAACTGCGGCTCCTGCATGAAGCAATCCGTCATCCAGTGGGCCATCATGGGCAGTTCGTTATCTGTTCGGTCCACGGCTCGCTTCGGAAAGACGTTGTCCGTGCTGGACTTCACCACCGTCGGCAGTTCGCTGTCCATGCGTGCGGTCGCGCGGTTGGGTAGCTCGGTTTCCGTGGGACAACTCGCGCGTCTGGCGGGTTCCATCTCCGTGGCCTGGTGTGCGCACATCGGAAGTGCGATTTCGGTGCGCACGCAGGTGCGCTTGGGATCGCGCATGTCGATCTTCGACTTCTTGAACTTGGGTAGCAGCGTGTCCATCCGGGCGATGGCCCGCGTCGGCAGCTCGGTCTCGATCCTCGGTCGCATTCGGGCCGGCTTGGGTGCTTCGGTGCTGGACTTCTGCAACCTCGGAAGCTCTATGTCGTGCCGCTGCACCGCGCGTTTGGGCTCCGCCGTGTCGATCCTGATGATGTCGCAGATTGGCTCCTCGTTCTCCGTCCGCAGCTTCGTCCGCGTCGGGTCGAACCTATCTGCGCTGGGCATGGCGGCCACCGGCAGCTGCTTGCGGCTGAGCGTCATCCAGCAGTGCCACCTGGGCAGCTCGCTGTCGCTGCGAAGCTTTGCCCGCCTCGGCTCGTCGCTTTCGGTCCTCGACGCGGCCAGCCTCGGCAGCAGCCTGTCGCTGCGGCAGTTCACGCGCCTCGGCTCCGGATGCAGCATCTTCGGCCAGTCCACGCAGCGCATGGACGTCGGTGCGTCGTTCTCCATTCTGGGTGCGATGCAGATCGGTAGCAGCTACTCGATGCGGTCGATCGCTCGCTTCGGCAGCAGCATGTCCATCTTGTCCTTCGTGCACCTCGGGTCGTCCCTGTCCGCCCGTACCTACGTGCGCCTGGGCTCGTCCGCGTCCGTCGTCAAGGCCGCGCAGTTTGGCAGCAAGATGTCGGTGTTGAGCTTTCTGCACCTCGGATCCAGTGTGAGCATGCGCGGTTACGCCCGATGCGGGAGCGCGATCAGCGCGTTGTCGTACACGCAGCTGGGATCCGCGTTGAGTATCCGTCAGTTCTCGCGCTTTGGCAGTTCCGTCTCCGTGCACGGCCTGGTCAATACGGGCTCGGTCTTGCGGTCCAGCGTCATCGACTTTGTCAACATGGCAAGTTCCGTCTCGTTGCGCAGCTTCGCTCGCATGGGTTCCGCGCTGTCGACGCTCGACATGATTGCCGTGGGCTCTTGCTTGTCCGTCCGCGGGTTCTCGCGCGTGGGCTCCTCGCTGTCCGTCACGGGTCGCGCCCGCGTGGGTGACAACATGTCCGTTTTAGCTTTCGTCAACCTGGGCTCCAGCCTCTCGCTGCGCCGGTCCGCAAAACTCGGCACGACCTTGAGCATCCTGAACTGCGTCAACCTGGGCAGCACCGTCTCGGTCCGCCAGTTCGTCAGAGTTGGTAGCGCCTGCAGCGTCCATGGCTTGGGCGTTGCCGGTTCCATGCTGAAGATGTCCGTCATGGACCTCGTCACGCTGGGAAGTTCCTTGTCCGTGCGGTCCTTCGTCCGGGCGGGTAAGGATTTTTCGATCCTCGATTTCACGCTGCTCTCCTCGTCCCTCTCCGTGCGGCAATTCGTCCGCATCGGCAGCAGCGTGAGTGTCAAGGGAGAGGCGCGACTGGGGCAAAGCTTGTCCGTGCTCGCGTGCTGCCACCTCGGCTCTTCTGTCTCCCTTCGCGGCGTCTCGCGGCTGAGCAGCAACGTCTCCGTGCTGAACTTCGCCAATCTCGGCTCCGCGCTGTCCCTGCGCGCGACCGCTCGCTGCGGCAGCGGCTTCAGCGTGTACGGGCGGCTTGGCGTCGGTAGCTGCATGAAGTTGTCGATCATCAACTGGCAGACCATGGGCAGCTCCGTCAGCATGCGGTCCTTCACGCGCATGGGATCGAACGCCAGCGTCCTCGACTACGTCGCGGTCGGATCGGCAATTTCGCTGCGGCAGTTCGTCCGGCTCGGGTCCTCGTGCTCCGTCTTTGACAAGCTCACCGTGCAGGGCTCCTTCTCCGCCTTGGACGCGGTCTCGCTCGGCTCGTCCATCTCGATCCGGGCCGTGATGCGTCTCGGCTCCAAGATGTCGGTGCTGGACAGCATCACTTTGGGCAGCAGTGTCTCCCTCCGGGCCTTCACGCGACTGGGAAGTTCTATGAGTGTCTGCGGCCCGAACGTACGTCTCGGTTGCCGCGCGTCAATACTGGATTGCCTCACGTTAGGATCTAGTTTGTCCGTGCGGGGGTCTTTTGTCCGCGCGGCGGCAAACGTGTCCGTGATGGAATTCGTGCACATCGGCAGTTCGATGTCGCTCCGCTCGTTCGCGCAGTTCGGATCGCACGTGTCCATCCTCGACTCGATCTCGTTCGGAAGCTCGCTTTCCCTGCGCAGCATGGCGCGGTCCGGGAACGCGTTGTCGGTGATGGACTACGTCCAACTGGGTTCGGCCATGAGCGTGCGCGCCTTTGTCCGGCTCGGTAGCACCATGAGCGTCTTCGGCAGCACGGTTGTGGGCTCCGTCAAGAGCTGCAGTATCATCAACTTCACCATGGTCGGAAGCTCGTTGAGCGTCCGCAGTGCGGTCCGACTGGGCACCAGCATGTCCGTGATGCAGTTCGCGCACCTCGGCAGCACTATGTCGCTCCGCGGCTTCACCCGCAGCGGCAGCTGCATGTCCATTCTGGACGCGGTGGGTCTCGGCAGCGCGCTCTCGGTCCGCAGCTTCGTGCGGTTCGGAAGCGGTTTGTCGGTTGCAGGGGGGAAAGTTGCGCTCGGAATTGGCGGCGAAAACCGGTGCAGCATCGGGGCCAACACGGAGCTGGGACAACGCCTCTCCGTGTACTCGCAGCTCAACGTCGGCTCCACACTCTCCCTGCGCAGCTTCGCACGTCTCGGCGGACAGGTCTCCGTACTCGACTTCGCCAGTTGCGGCAGCGCGTTGTCGCTCCGCGGCTTCAGCCGCGTGGGCAGTGGAGTGTCGTTGTTTGGAAACCTGCAGACTAGCTGTGGCAACCGGTTGTCCGTCCTGGACTTCCTGAACCTGGCTTCGTCCTGCTCGCTCCGCAGCTTCACCGCCATGGGTTCACGCATGTCGGCGCTGGATTACTTGACGCTCGGCAGCTCGCTGTCCGTGCGCTCCGTGTCCCGACTGGGCAGCTCCCTGTCCGTCAAGGGCCGGCTGCGCGTGTCCGAACACTGCAGTGTTCTCGACTACCTGCATATTGGTAGCTCCGTCTCGCTGCGGGCCACCAGCGCCTTGGGCGGCATGATGTCGGTGGTGCAGTTCGTCAATTTGGGCTCTTCTCTCTCACTACGGCGAAAATCCCAGATCGGCAGCTGTCTCTCAGTGCTGAACTTTGTCAGCGTCGGGTCCTCTTTATCCGTCCGTACGGCCGTGCGGCTGGGAAGCGGGCTCTCCGTGATGGGCATCTCGCGCCTGGGCTCGTTATGCAACTGCTCGGTGATCAACTACGTGCACGTTTCCAGCTCCGTTTCTCTCCGCAGCTTCGCTCGGTGCGGTTCGGCACTGTCCGTGATGGACTTCGCATTATTCGGCTCCGCCGTGTCCATCCGTGCGGTCGCGCGATTCGGCAGCAGCCTATCCACGTTCGGCCCGGGTAAGTTCGGTGGCCAGTGCAGCATCCTCGGCTTCGCGGTGTTGGGAAGCTCCCTGTCTGTCCGTGGGAAGTATGGCCGTTTCGGGGAACGTGTGTCCGTGCTGGACTTCCTGAACCTCGGCAGCAGTCTATCGATCCGCAACTACGTGCGTGCAGGGTCCAGTTGCTCGCTGATGGGTCTGGCGCGTGTCGGCTCGGCGTTCAAGTGCTCCGTGATTCAGTGCGCGTCGTTGGGAAGCTCATTGTCCGTCCGCAGCTACGTCCGCATCGGTTCCTACGCGTCCGTTTTAGACTACGTGAACCTGGGTTCTGCTCTGTCGCTGCGCCAGTTCGCTCGGTTGAGCTCCGGCATCAGCGTGTCCGGAAGCATGAAGGTGTGCGGCAACATGAGTCTCGTCGGGCAACTGCAAGTCGGCTCGTCGCTGTCGCTGCGGTCATTGGCTCGCTTCGGCGCCACCATGTCGGTGCTCGACTCGGTCTGTCTCGGAAGTTCCGTGTCCGTCCGGTCCTTCCTGCGGGTGGGCAGCGGTTTGTCCGTGCACGGGTTCTCCGCGTTCGGCTCATTGCAAAGGCTCTCGATCGCACAGCAACTGGAGGTCGGCTCCTCCCTCTCCCTGCGGTCGTTCGCCCGCTTGAGCAGCAAGTGCAGTATCCTGGACGCGGTCATCTTCGGCTCCAGCATGTCGCTGCGGAATTTCGCCCGGTGCTCGTCGAGCATGTCGGTGATGGGAAAACTGCCGGTCGGAAAGAACGCGTCAGTTCTAGAACAAGTGCATCTAGGTTCCACACTCTCCGTCAGGAACACACTAAGGTGCGGTTCCCGCGTGTCGATCCTGGACTGCCTGAACCTCGGTTCGTCGGTGAGTCTCCGCGCCTTCGCCAGAATCTCTAGCGGAATGTCCGTGCTCGGGGATGCGCAGGTCGGCCAGCACTGCAGCGTTCTCAGCTACGCCAACTTGGGGTCCTCCTTCTCCGTGCGCAGCAAGGTGAAGGTCGCCGGCCACATGTCGCTGCTGTCCTTCGCCCACTTGGGTTCCTCCGTGAGCATGCGAAACTTCGCGAAGGTGTGTGGGGCGGCCTCGGTGTTGTCCTATGTGTACTTCGGGTCGTCTCTGTCCCTGCGCAACACCGCAAGAACAGGAGCCAACATGTCGGTGCTGAACTTCGCCTGTCTGGGTAGCGCCTTGAGTTGCCGCACGTTCTCGCGGTTCGGCTCTGGTCTGTCCGTCAACGGCTTCGTCGCGTGCGGCTCCATCTTCCAGACCTCGGTGATTGGGTCCGTGACAATTGGAAGTTCGCTGTCTCTCCGGTCCTTCGCGAAGCTTGGAAAGGACCTCTCCGTGCTCGACTCAGTTACCATGGGCTCGGCGCTCTCGCTCCGCGGGCTCGCGCGGTGCTCTGGCACGGCAAGTGTACTGCAATTCGTCGCATTGGGTAGCGGTTTGTCCGTGCGCACGGCGAGCCGCTTCGGATCCCGCATGTCCGTCCTGGACTTCCTGGATTTGGGCAGCAGCGTATCGTTGCGCGGCCTGGTGCAATCCCGAGGAATGCTGTCCGTCTTGGACTGCGTTTCGTGCGGCAGCACTTTGTCCATCCGCAGCTGCGGGCGGTTCGGCTCGGCCATCTCGGCGCTGAACATGTTCAACTGCGGCAGCACCTTGAGTCTCCGCGCGTACGTGCGCATTGGCAGCTCCGCGTCCGTCCTGTCACACGGCCGGGTCGGTGGCCGCGCGTCGGTGCTCGACTTCTTGAATTTGGGCAGCTCGATGAGTATCCGCGCCGCCGTGCAGCTCAGCAGCCGTTGCTCGGTGCTCAACCACTTCGCGTTGGGTTCCTCCATGTCCGTGCGCCAGTATTTGCGTGTCGGTAGCAGTGCCTCCGTGGTCGGAAAACTCCAGGTCGGAAATCGGTGTTCGGTGCTGAACTTCACGACTTTATCCTCCTCTCTCTCCGTGCGCAACAAGCAGCGCCTCGGCGACCGGGTGAGTGTGCTGGACTTCCTGAATCTCGGCTCCCAGCTGTCCATGCGCAACTTCGTCAAGTGTGGCGGCAACGCGTCGGTTCTGGACTTCGCGATGCTCGGCTCCAGCTGCAGCATCAGAAGTGTATGCCGGTTCGGCTCGCGCGCGTCGATCTTAGATTGCCTGACTCTCGGAAGTTCCGTCTCCGTGCGGCAATTTGCGCGGGTCGGCTCCGGCTTGTCCGCACACGGCTTAGGCTTTGTCGGCAGCTGCCTGAAGACGTCGGTGATCGGCTACGCGCACCTGGGATCCAGCCTGTCCGTGCGGTCCGCAGTCAAGGTCAGCAAATTCGTCAGCGTGCTGACCTTTGCGCACCTCGGCTCTGCGGTCTCTGTCCGCTCCATGGCGAGGGTTGGCTCGAGAATCTCGGTGCTAGACTTTTTGGCGCTCGGTAGCTCGACGTCCCTACGCGGACTCGCTCGTGTCGGCTCCTACGCCTCCGTCCTGTCGTTCGCGACGCTCGGTTCGTCCATGTCGCTGCGCAGCATGGCGCGTTTAGGCGGTACCACTTCCGTCCTGGACTCCGTCAACCTGGGCAGCTCCCTCTCGATCCGCAGCACGGCGCGGTTCGGCAGTGCGGTTTCGGTGCTGTGCTTCGCCAACTTGGGCAGCGCTTTGAGTATCCGGTCCTACATGCGGTTCGGAAGCAGTCTCAGCGTCCACGGCGTCCAGCAGGCCGGATCGCTGCAGCGGACGAGCGTGATGAACTTCGTCCACCTCGGGTCCTCCATGTCGTTGCGATCGCAGGCACGGTTCGCGGAACGCATGTCGGTGCTGAACTTCGTGTGCATGGCATCGTGCGTGTCCGTCCGTGCGGTCGGCCGCTTCGGGTCCAGTCTCTCGGTGCTGTCCCAGGGCCGCATGTCCGGCCAACTTTCTGTGCTGGAGCAGGTGCATTTGGGAAGTTCGCTCAGCGTACGCAGGTCGTGCCGCGTGGCCGGCAACTTGTCGATTCTGCAGTTCAGCCAATGCGGTTCGTCCGTCTCCCTGCGGTCCATGTGCCGTGTGGGTTCCGCGACGTCCGTGTTCTCGAAGACGACCTTATTCGGCGCGATGTCGGTGCTCGACGCGGTTCACTGCGGCTCTTCATTGTCCCTGCGCAGCTACGCCAAGGCGGGATCACGGATGTCGGTATTGGACATGCTCTCCATGGGCTCCTCGCTCAGCCTCCGTTCCTTCGGGCGCGTGGCTTCGAACATCTCCATCCTGGACGGCGCTTACCTCGGGTCCGCCCTCTCCCTGCGGAGTGCCGGCCGTTTAGGTAGCAACATCTCGATCCTGAAGTTTATGGAGATTGGCAGTTCGCTGTCTTTGCGTAACTTCGCGCGGTTCGGCTCCTCGATCAGCGCGGTCGGCTTGACGCGCGTATCGTCCGTTACCCAGGTGTCCATCATCCAGTTCACGCACCTCGGATCCTCCATCTCGCTGCGCAACTTCGGTTACCTCGGCGAGTCGTGCTCGATTCTGAGCTTCGTCAACCTGGGCAGCTCGCTGAGCGTGCGCCGGGCCATTCGGTCGTCGAAACAACTCTCGGTGACTGATAGCGTCTCGCTCGGCAGCAGCCTGTCTTTACGCAGCACCGCGAGGCTTTCCTCGCGCTGTTCGATCGTCGACTTCTTGACCATCGGCAGCACGTTGAGTGTGCGCAACACTGGACGCATCGGAAGCCGCGCCAGTATCTTCAACATGCTGATGCTGGGCAGCTCGATGTCCATCCGGACGCACGCACGGTTTGGCGGAGCACTGTCGGTCATCGACCTGGTCAACATTGGTTCGGCCATGTCTTTGCGAAGCTACAGCCGCCTCGGATCCAGCGTTTCGGTGCGGGGCTTGGTGAACCTCGGCTCCGTGTCGAAGGTCAGTGTGCTCACGCAGTTGAACGTCGGCTCTGCCCTCTCGCTCCGCTCCATGGGCAGAATGGGTATTACTTTGTTTGTTTTTCTTGTGATGTAGCTTCTGGTTGTTCGCGGCATATTAAATCTATGTGCTTGCACTTTGATTCAGGTTCTTCCGATTCGAAAAAATGGTGAGTGAAGATGCTCCGCTCTCTGGTAAATGTAAAAGCGAATTATTCAACCAAAAAAACCAAACAGGTGCCGTCGCGTCCGTGCTAGACTTCGTCCACTGCGGATCCGCTCTCAGCGTTCGCGCTTGCGCGAGATTCGGCTCTGGCGTCTCTGCACTCGGCAACTTTGTTGGCCTTGGTTCCGCATCGGTGCTGCAGCAGGCTTGCCTCGGATCGTCACTATCGGTACTCGCTACTTTTTTTTTGATTCAGTTTATCTTCATCTTCCGTGCCTCGACCGAACTTCAACTTTCCTCAACCATCCTTAAGCAACATGCTAGCAGCAATCAGTAGGACACTGCATGGGCAAAAAAACGAAACCACTTCCAAAAATAAACCCACAGATTCGCGGCGCGTTTAAATGCGGATCCAGATGCAGCGTCCTCGACATGATGACGCTGGGCTCCTCAATGTCCTTGCGCACTTACCTGCGCCTGGGCTCTGCCTTCTCGGTGCACTCCACAGGTACGTGTCTACAGAAACTGCTGATTTTTGTCTGTGATACGCTATCAGTTTTCGGCTTCGCAAATAATGTCTCCTGATGAATTCAGATTTCAATTGCAAAATGATGAAAACCCAGAAAAACAAGCCAATCCTAAAACCAAATACAGGTACACTGTACAAGGCGCGGGTGATGCGGGCTCTGTCTATCGCAAACCGAACCAACATCGGATCGTCCCTCTCCGTCCGAGGCTTTGCTAGAGTCGGCGGCAGAGCATCGGTATAATTGATTTACTCCGTAAATAACAATAAGCCAAACGACGATGAAGTCTTGAACTCGCTTCAAGAAGTTCGCAAGAATACGTCTATCGGCATCACATGGATTCATCCAAATACCAAAACTTTTCAACACAGGTCGTTGACTTCTTGGCGCTCGGTAGCAGTGTTTCCCTCCGTGGTACTGGCATGGTGTCAGGTGGTAAGTGCAGTGTGCTTGACTACGTGAATATCGGATCCAGTTGCAGTCTGCGCAGCTACGCTCGTCTGGGCAAGACGCTCTCCGTTCTGGACTTCGTGCACATGTCCTCGTCGCTTTCCGTGCGCAGCTTCACCCGCTGCGGCAGCTCTGTCAGTGTGCATGGTCTGGCAGCCGTCGGATCGTGCTCGAAACTGAGCGTTCTCGGCTCGGTCGTGTTAGGTAAGTGTTTGATTTGATGATGATGTTTCTGTTTTTCATGATAGTGCTGTTTGACAGTTTCTTTTTCGGATCTCGATCTATGACTTTTCTTTGCATGAGTCGAAAGGAGAACAAGTGGTGACACAACGAAGATTTTTCACTGTCATAAAACTCTACTCATCACAGGCTCGACATTGTCGCTGCGACACGGCATGCGGGCCGCTTGCAAAATGAGCGTGCTCCAGTTCGTGAACTTGGGCAGCTCGGTTTCCGTCCGTGCGGTCGCCAAGGTCGGCTCTCGTGCCAGCGTGTTAGACTTCCTGTCTTTGGGCAGCAACCTGTCTCTCCGAAGAGCGGTGCAGATGACCGGGCACGCATCGATCTGCAGCTTCGCTAATCTGGGTATTGCTTTCTTGGGATTTGTTTTCGATTTTCACTCTTCAACTTCATGACGATGATGCTATTCATTCCTTGCTTAATAGATTCTGGCTTGTTTCTACCTAGCTATGGAGGTACTGGATAAAAACCACATTATTGCTCCAAACTGACAGGTTCAAACCTCTCCCTGCGAAGTTTCGCACGCTTCGGTGGTAAACATTCCGTTCTGGATTGCCTGACACTGGGTTCGACGCTCAGTATGCGCACCATGACACGCCTCGCGCAGAACGTCTCTGTCCTGGACTACGCAAGCCTGGGCAGTGCGATTAGCATCCGCGGATTCGCACGGCTGGGCTCGTCCCTGTCGACTGCCGGAAATCTGAATATCGGATCGGTATTTTTCGCATAAGTTTTTGTGTTTGGTTTTCCTGCTTGCTGATAAAGGGCAAGTTTTCAACCAGTGTCATGTGCTGCATAAGTTATACCCAAGAAGTAGATGTCCAAAGTGAAGCTGATCTACTACTCAAGCTCCTATCTCCCATTCCCAAAAAATGCCACGACAGACCATCTCGGGCCTGAAGATTTCGGTGACCGCAACCATGACCCTGGCGTCCAGCTTGTCGATCCGTTCGTTCGCTCGCATGGGCTCGCGCTGCAGCGTGCTGGACTTCGTGAACCTCGGTTCGGGATTGTCCATTCGGCAGTTCGCTCGCCTCGGAAGCGGGGCCAGCGTGATGGGTAAGAGCACCTGCGGAAAGCTGAGCGTGTTGGAGGCCACGTGCCTGGGTTCCACGATCAGTCTGCGCGGGACGGCGAAATTTGGAAGCAACTTCTCGGTTTTGAACTTCATCACCGCGGGCTCGTCCGTGTCCATGAGAAGCTTCTTGCGACTAGGATCCGGACTGAGTGTGAAGGGCATCTGCACCACCAACGCTGCTAACGGCGGGCTGTCCCTTGTTGGCTCGCTGCAAGTCGGATCCGCGCTTTCGCTCCGATCCTTCGCAAGGTATTTTTTTCGGCTATTTGTGCAAGAACATTAGCTGCAGTACTAAACCAAAAGTAAAGGGCTTTTTTGTAGCGTGTGTGGTGATGTTGCTCTTTTTCTGAATTACTTTTTCAAAATTCACAATACACAGGTTTGGAGGAACTACTTCGATCCTGGATAGCACCCAGTTGGGAAGTGCTTTGTCCGTCCGTGGACTAACTCGCTGCGGCAGCAGGCTATCGGTAAAAATATCCTGCTGAATTTTAGGATTTTGTTGAATGGTGCAGACATTACGCCGCTTTCCGAAAAATCATCCTTGCTGACATGTGTGCTATTATGGGCAACAAATCGATGAATAACGACCAAAAATCCTTTTTCCCAAATAAAACAAAACAGGTGCTGAACTTCCTCCACTTGGGTAGTGCCGTTTCTACCCGAGCGATGCTGCGCCTGGGATCTACACTTTCCTGCTTGGGCTCCATCCAGGCTACTGGCAGCTCCGTCAGCGTGATGACAGCAATGTCGCTAGGTAGCAGCATGTCGCTGCGGTCCTTCAGTCGCATTGGAAAGGCCGTGTCCGTCCTGGACTTCGTCGGCGTGGGGTCAGCGTGCTCCGTCCGCTCCTTCAAGCGCCTTGGAAGCAGTACAAATGAAGAATTCTTGTTTTAACTACCTAAGCGTTCAGATTCTTCACGACAGTCAAGACAATCCTATAAGCGCCTTTCTTAGTTGGATGCAAAACTACAGAAAAAAAAGATCATCCGCATGAGAAAAAAATAAATCAATTCTCAAAACGATAGGTCTCTCTGTTGCTGGGTCCACCGTCCTGGGACAGTACACGTACATCGTGAACAAGGGCAACTACATCAAGTACGTGGGCGGCACGGACAATGCTGTCAACACCGCATACGCGTTCTACGCTCAGACCAGCGCAGTAGTAGGCTCGTGGGCTTCGACCAGGCGCATGACGTTGCAGTACTGAAACTTTGGATTTGTTTTGTTCGTTAAAATCAGTTTTTCTTTTTCACCACCAGCTTTTGTATGCGAGTTTGATTCATCCCAATCTAATCAAATATTCATCACCTTACCTCAAAACAGCGCCGCTTCCAGTGGCACCAACAATATCTTGCACGGTAGCTGGGCTTCCGACTCAAGTATCCCGGCAACGTCCGATGTCCGACTGAAGAAGAACATTCGTCCGCTGTACGAAAGCCTGCTCGACCAGAGCTCCGCGGCACAACATGCAGGGTACTTGAAATTTTTCTTGGTTTTTTTACTCCGGATGGTCTAGCAGTATTACGTTTTTTTTCCAAACATCTTGGTTTCTTCATTTCTTCTGAAACCAACAGCGCAAGAGTAATATCAAATCCACGTTCCATATCGCTATACAACAGGCTGAAAGCTTCGAGCAACAGCACTGCGCTTGTGACCACGGATCATGTCGCGGCAGGACAGCAGCAAACCGGTAAGGATATCGTTTCCAGCCTGTTCCGAAAATTGAACCCGGTAAGCTTCCAACTGAAGCAGTCCGGGGAGTCGAAGCAACTCTATTTCGGTTTCATTGCGCAAGAGCTCGAGCAACTGTACCCGTCGCTCGTCGTGGAGTCTAACCGGGCCGACTACAAGGCCGTGAACTACCAGGACATCATCGCGATCGTCACGCTGACCGTGCAGCAAGAAATGGAGCGGCTCGACCTGGTCGAGTCCCGCGTTGCGGTGGTCGAATCCGTGGCGGAAGAACACGCGGAAGTGTTGGAAGAGTCCGGAGACAAGATCAAATTGCTCGAGGAGGAGCTGCTTAGGCTCAAAAAGAGTATTTTTTTGTTTCTTTGTGACGGAGTCTGAGAAGACGTTTTATGAATGCTGTTGATAGTACACTATCGTGATTTCTGCTTGATGCCCTGTCAACAAGCACCCCAATGACGTCGTTGTAAAAAACTCTCGGATCATCATGTTCATCTCAACAAGCAAAATGGATAATTTCTCAATCTTCAACGCAGGTCACGATGAGCGCATGGCCCGTTGGATAGAGGATGGGCTGCTGGATGAGTTCACGATTGGGGCTGGAAAGAATTCCACGACCGTCGTCGATCACCTGCCGCTGCTGAAGCGGGAAAGGCAAGGTGATGCGCAAAAGCAGCACGACCACGACAACTCGATCTATCAGTGAAAAAACAGAGTAGAAAAACGAAAAGAACGAACAAATTCTGAAAAGAAATAAATGCACAGAAGAAATAGGAAAATCATTAAAAACATGCGAGTTTGATACTCGGCATGCTCGGACTATCTTGATCGATAGTAATCCGAGAAAAAAGTCTTTAACAGTTTCACACCTATCAGGCTTACCAAATCAGACCTACCAAAACGCTACTATCACAAGTTAGGTGAATTGTCGTCAATATGAAATAAACAGTCTACCCAAATAAAAACTTCAATAAAAAGCACTTCACCTGAATTTACTTCTCAAATTTTAGTCTACACTCTTCACTACAAAGGTACCAACGAGTCCCCAGAGAGTCAAAACACCAAATTTTTCTATATTGCTACACTTTAAAATCTTCTATCAGGATAAGTTTCTACTATCAGACAAAACTTTTTTCTGTCCACACAACTGCAGAATCAGAACACATCTTGACAGAAAAATACCACAAGACTAATCAAGATTTTACGAAGTTCGAGCAGTCGCCGACCCAAAGATTCGAAACCGCAACAAAGTATCCTAGCGCTTTAGCGAAGTGCAACACGAGTAAGTAAGAAAAACTGGAGATAGATTTCCTTAATTTCCAGTGTGATGAATAACAAACAATCACTGTCGTAGAATAGAAGAGCCACCGCTCCCCTGCTGCCACAGGGATGGTGGTTTTTTCTTTCTTCAGTTTTGGTAGGAACACTCCAACAGCGGACGATAGCTGCCACTATTGTCGCGCGTGAATAAACTCTTGTAAAACGACTACAATTGTTTCGCTTGTGCTAGGCGGTGGGTCCAATGGCTGAATGATTTCTTGATATGGATAAGTATCTGTACTTGTTTAATACTACTTTCGCAAAAGCAATTTGAAGTTTACCAATGGTATCAGCAACAAAATCGTTCGGAAATTACAGGATATTTGACTTATTACGCAATTATTCAGACTGAAATTCAGGCCAGGCGGCACGCAGCTTTTTCTCGCTGCTGTCGACCCGGTAGTTTCTTGTTAGATCAGAACATTTCATCAGACAAGAAGAGGTTCAAGTTGGACAGAATCGAGAGAAGGAGTTCTTTCCAACCTCTCTTTCAGAAGGAAACAGAACCTGCTGTAAATTGATTAACTATGTCATTGCACTGAAGTCCAAATTTCTGGTACTGATAGATTTTATTCACTTTTACGTTACAGACAATTGCTCGAAACACGCTCAATAAATTTCTTGATGTCTTGCTCTTTCTTGCTCTAATGAATCTTATCTGAACACTTTCTATGCATGCGTTTCTTTTGTGGTTAATTGCATTACTTTCAACAAAAATGAAGAGGAATAAGTCGAGAAAAGCTTACTTCTCAGCAAAGTTGCTGGGACGTTAAGTTGCCCTCGTCGAAATTAAATTCCCTTCATTCGATAATATCTTTTGGTTTCTCTATAGCATTTGAAGATATTCAATGTCCTAGTCTGGCAGTTCTTGTTGAACAGAGAATTTCAAGCTCTGCTTTTCAAAAATCAAAAAATTGTGTCACCCCTCAACAAACTCAAAAAGAAATAAGAAAGCACGATCGAAATTTCAGAAGTTCAGTGTCCGCGCAGCTCCTCGTGGGTTGTCGTTGAACCCCCGTTCTTTCACGGCGGTGATGTTTCCTTCGCTTCAGGAGCTGAGAAGGAGGATTGTTCTCGTCTTGCGCCCACCTGAATCCGTTCGTATTCCTTCGAAGACAAACCAAACTTCCCTAGAAAGTCGTGTGCGTCGTCGGCGTTATTTCGAGCTCTCAACCCATGAGAGGGACAGCCACTATTTCGTTCAGGAGTTCGGTAGTTGGGTCGAAAGTCTGAGAGAAAGAAACACCTGCAAATAACTTCCTGACTAGGCTCGAGTCATCGATTCACACACTGCTCACGACGGCAGCATGGTCTTTAGCCTAGATAACAAGTAGCGTAACAGCTCCTTGCACCCCTTCCCAGAAAGTATAACGAAAAAAGTTGAAATCGCGCCGTTGCAGGAACAACTACAAGATGTCAACAAACGAAGACCCGTTGGGATTCGAGTCCACTTCCTTTGGACAGGGCGGTGCGTTTCCTGGGGTGTTACCCGCTGCTGGCGACGAGATCATCGCAAATCCGGTCATAACCGCGGGCGATCGCGACAATGAGTTCAGCAAGACAACTTTCGGTAATCCCCCGAACGATGGGACTCAACCTGCCTCGGCTTCGTCCAGTGCGGGCGGAGGTTTCGCGGGCGGTGCCCGGCAGCAGCCGTCGTCCGCTTCCCGCCTTGGGTCGTCTTCCAAGTCGTCGAGCTCCACTTCGCGGGAGCGTCAGATGTGCGCCAACGATCCCACCCAGGTGGCGACCGGGTTCTGTCCGGAGCTAGAACTACTGCTCTGCGCTTCCAGTTTCGAAGCCCTCCGACGGATGCCGGCGTTTTCGCACATCCGCCTGATTCCGCTACACGAGAGCCTGCAGAAGCGCCGAAAGGATCCAGAGACGGGCGAGCCTTACGCCCTCTACGATTTGGATCTACAGGTAAACAAATGACTATTGGTGGTGAATGAGATGTCGAAACAGTCTATCGTATTAGCATTTTTATCCAGGTTCGTCGGCCTCCAACTGCATGCATGATTGCATGTACAACTTACGATAACGATTACCTATTTTACTGCAAAAACCTTGCCTTTGCGCACCTCTGGTCGAAATCATATGCCAATTCTTTCTTTCTCAGGAACCAATTCCGACGGTTGCGAAGCTGGTGGGGAAGTCGAAGGATCATAACTGCTGTTCGCTGGAGGAGGCGGCGAAGCGGATGCGACAGGACATGCGAGCGCGCTTATCGGCTTTGAAAGACCAGATGAGTAACGCGCGCGTCGCGGGTGGGCACGTGGACAAGTTGATCTTCACCCTCACGCAGGAAGCGAACGACCGAAAGGCAGAGGTCGAGGAGTATTTCCAGGCCTTTGCCGCAAAACTGGAGAAAGCCAAAGAGGCGGTGCTGGACGACCTGCACGTCGTCGTCGGAAAACGACTGGAAGCACTGAAAACGCTGGTACGATGACAGCATTTTTTGCGCTTCATGGGTTCTACTACGCAAAATAGATGTCAAAAAATAGTTAGCTACTAGAGAACAAGAGATGTCATCAATCAAAAGAAAACCGCTGCCAAAACTAACAAACTACAGAGCGACCGCCTTCCCACGGTGATTAGTGTTTCCTCCGAGGCGATCGACCGTGTGCAGGAGGCGGTGGTGCTGGAATCCAGCAGCGAGCTCGAGTTCCTCTTTCGCCGAAAGGAACTGGACCTGTGGCTGAATTCGGTGGAATCGCGGCTCCAGCTCGGCGGTCACGACCTGTTTTCTGGCGAGGTGAAGGAGCTGCGGAAACGGAGTTTACTTATCAGCAAGGACGACAACTTCGACTTGTACCTGAAGCAGTGTCTGCGCTTGAACCTGGAGGAGAAAAATCCGGAGCTGGACCGGTGCTGGGACATGGTGGACAACTTGCTCGGGCACGCGACACCGAGCTTCTTGCAGCAGTCGGAGGTGGAAAACCGGAACCCTTTTGGGGGAGGTGGCACGACCGGGAGCGACGACGCGGGAGCGGGAGGTGGAGCCGGGTTTGGCGCCACGTCGTCCTCATTCACCTACGGCCCGACGCCGTCCTGGAGTGCAGCCGGGGCGGGATCATCTTCTTTGCGTGGTCCTGGTGAGTCGGTTGCAGAGCAGCAGTCCTCTTTGTGGTCCTTTGGTGGACCGTCGAAGAAGGCGAGCGACAACCCAGCAGAGCTGCCCGGAGCAGGCACTAGCCAGCCCAGTGCAGCAGCAGCAGCAGGTGCATCTTCCTACAGGAGAGGGGGGTCCTATGACTCCTTCTCCTCCGAATTCAGTTTCAATCCCGCGTCATCCAGTGCCGCCGTTGGTGGAAGTAGCGGCGATAAAAACGCACTGTCTGCTCCCTCCGCACCGTCACACCCGTACGGAACCGCGCCGAGTCTGGGAAGATTTCCGGCGTCCTCCTCCGGTGCGGGTTTCGGAGGCTCGGGTTTTGCGGAACCCTCGGTAGCGCCGCCGAAAGCGACGAAAGAATTCCGCTTCGACCCTAACTTCTGTGACGGTAGCGTCGTGTTACTTCGCAACAACTTCCGCGAGGCGCAGCGAAAGGTTTTTGCTTTTTCATAAAAGCTGTTTTTGCACATGCACAGTTTGAGTGTTTGTGTAGGTTTTGGGTCCAAGAAGCAGCATGATCATACTTACACCGTGAACGAGAAAATGGGGAAGAAGTTGACATTCATGCTTTTTTGCTATTCACAAAAATCAAACAGATTGTCCACGCCCCCTCGGCAATCGCCATCATGGATACGCTGTTGGAGCCCGGTCAGCAGATGGAAGTGGTGTTGGACGAATTGAACCTCTTCCTACCGGACTCGGGCTGGTTTGGGATCACCCCGGTGCGCTCCATGGCGTGTCTCCTGGACAGCGCACTGTACCTCAACCTCGCTGCGGGCGAGATTTGGCGGGAGGGCGTTCTGGTGGAAAAGCTCCACGACAAGCTGTCGGCGTGCGAGGGCGACACCGTGGGAGTGATCTACTCGGAGACGGAGGAGGTGCAGTTCCTCGTAAACGGGAAGAAGGTCGGACAACCCCTGCGCGACGTCAAGGACTTGCTCTATCCCTTCGTGAACGTCGTCGGAAAAGTGCTGCGGTTTCGGCTGCCGCCGTGAGTGCAGTGGAGTTGCACAACTATGCGTTGCGCTTCTATGTTAAACAGGATGTAGTCGCACAACGAGGAAATTATCACCACTATAGTGTACTTGGCAGCGCACCGGATGCCTACAACCCTGCTCGCATCGCTGATTCTAGTCGTTGTGAGTGGTGCCAAATGGAAACAGAAGTCTGAAGCGATTTTCTAACGGAATCGGTCCAGGTCGTTTATGTGTTCGCTTCGAGCACGAGGATCATCACCTGCAGTTGTAGTGCTGGTGCGAGTAATGGATCGCAAATCTTTTTGGTGACAGTTTCAGAAAAAGGCATTCATCCTCAGGAGAGAACTATGAGGCTCTTGGTACTTGAGCGACGAAATGAGCTGCTCATCAGGAGAGTTTCTGAGCGTACTAGGTGACTAAAGCAGTACGATCAGCGAGTCTATACACGCAGTTCCAAATAAAGACCCAGGTTCCTAACCCCTGTTGTCGAGAACCCGTTCTGTCTGTCCCGCCAGCATCAGATCTTGTCACTCTTTCAACCGCATTGTGTACTTCCGTTTCCCGAACCCGCCTGAACCTGATATTGAGCAGACATTTGCCACTTACCACCTTACTCAGAATCATGACTGCCAACGAGACCGAACCCATGCGCTTCCCACACGCCTTTCTCTATCGTTCCCTGGAAAAGAACCAAAATGCCCAGAGATTCCTTCGACGAGGCGGCAAAGAGCTCACCGAGCTGGCTTGCGCGACCGGGGACAGTCGGCAGTGCGTGATTTGGTTTGGTGAGTACCACTCGGAAAACCGGATCTGTGCGCTGCTGGAGAAAATATCCGATGCTGCCTTGCAACTACAGAGCACAACGAGTACAACTTCTGCGTCTGCGAAACTGCAAGTCGTCCTGGAGCACTTCAGCCATGACATGCAAGGGCCCGTTGTGGACGCGTATTTTCGAGACGGAAAATTCACCGACTTCGCCGACTTCAAGGCGGCCTACAAGGAGATTGGCACCGAGGGGCACGACCTGGACCCCTATGAGAAACTGTTTGAGTCGTGGCGCCGAAATGCAGATCGGGTAAAAATCGTCGGCGGCTTCATACCTCGCCCGCTTGCCGCCGCTTTTTGCCCCCTGGAAGCAGCGGCAGATAGAAAAGCACACGTACAGGAATTGTGTGACAAGGGGTATTTACCGCCCTGGGAAAGTTTGCTAGAAGTTGAAAAGTATCTTGGGCCACCGGACGAGGATTTCCGGGCCTTTCTCCCGCCAACCGAGTCCGCCGCTGACGGCGAAAGTCTCCTCGAGAAAACCGGTTTTCCCTTCAGCAGCGTTGGTTATTTCCGCTTATTCGAGTCCTTGATGAGCGGACGGGATGTGTACTCGGCGGAGTCGAGACACGAACCTGGCGAGCTTTTCTCCATGTGCAATCCGGCTTTGTTGCGGATGTTCGGTGCGCAGTGCTTGAAAGACTGGAGCATGGCGTGGCGGGTGTTCCAACAGACGAAAGATAATGGCAAAACTACAGAACAAGCCCCAGATACAGATTCATCGATAACCACAACATTGGTTGTAGCGGGCAAGGCGCATCTGCATCACTACTTGGGTGTTCCGCACTGCCATCGACTTCTGGAAAGAGCGAATGCACAGAAGGCGACTGAACAAGACGATCAACAGCATCTTCTGGAAGAACGCTCGTCGCAGGAGTTGTTAATTCTGTCACAAATGACCTATGAATGCGATCTGGACGAGCCGGAGGACAAGGCCAGCTATGCGGTCACGAAGGCAAAAATTTTGGAAACGTGCAGGGATTGCATGCTTCTGGAAACAGATGAAGCTGCAAATAACGAGAAAAGGTTCTTCCCATTTAAGAGCCCGTACGCCGACGTGCTGTACGTTTACGACGAGGACGACGAAAGCAATATTCAGATCAACGAAGAGCAAGAGGACGAGACTGTCGTGCCCGAGAAGGAGGAGACTCGCACGGCGTACGAGCGGGTCGGCGCCACGGCGCACCACGAGGGGAATCTCTTGCGCGCACAAAAGTGGCTCACCGCGCTGGGGTACACTTTGGAAGAGCAGGAAGCGATCGGGAAGCAGAACCTCTACAACTTCCAGGGCGTGGGCAATCCGTTTCTTGGGGCAAAGATCTGCGCCGGGGAAAAAGTCCTGGAACTCGGGTGCGGTCTCGGCGTTGACGCGTTCCTCGCGGCGTCGAAAACGGGGGAAGACGGGACAGTCCTTGCCGTCGACTTCTCGCGCAAGGAGCTCGACCACGCCAAGCAGCGCGCGGAACGGGAAGGCAGGGGCAACATAGGCTTCGTTTGTGCCGATATTGAGCGCTTACCCTTTGTTGAGGAGGCGAACAACAAGCCGGAGAATGGGATGGCCGAGTCGGCATTCGACGTCTGTATCTCGAATGGCGCTTTTTGCTTGATTCCGAACAAGGTGCGCGCGTTTTCGCAGGTGTATCGTGCGCTGAAGAAGGGCGGACGCATGGCCATTTGCACAACAACGATGCGGGAAGCGCTCCCCGGGACATCAAGCGCTGCAAATCAAGCAAAGGAAAGATGTCCGGTTTCTGGCGCAGGCGCTCCTGCAGAAAACGACAGCAAAGTAGAAGGCAGCCCTGTAGAATTCCCGATCTGCATGCGGATGTTTGCCCGGCTCCCAGAGCTGGAACCCATGCTGCGAAAAATCGGCTTCTCGAACATCGTCATCAACGAAGTCGAGATTTTTGGCGAAGAGGGCCTCGACGCGCTGACAGACGACACACTCACCCCGGATCAGGCCGCGCGCTTTAAGATCCATGGGGGAGCTGTGCGGCCAGAATATCAGCATTTAGAAAACATGGACGTAGATGAAATGTGTGCCTCAGTTCTGATTTATGCAGAGAAAACTTGAACTGATGATGTGCGCGTGCTGAGCCAAGTTACCGCCTGACTGTTGCTTCCTGATCGTGATCGTATGCAGAGCGCAATCAACGAACATCAGTAAGAAGATTAACACGAAGATCAGCAAAAAGGCTGAGCGGCTCGCGCGGCTGATGAAACGGCCTCCGTGAGATCAGTGCCAGGAGTTCTATTTTTCAAAACCATTCGCATGTCATCGTCATGAGAGCAGTACCAGAACAAAGTGAGAGTGATAGCCGCACTTCGTACGAGAATAGCAGAGAGAGGATTTATGGTCAAGTCGCTTCTCACTGAGAGGTCGAAGGCGTTATTTCTTTTTGTCCCAAAAACGCTCACCCCCGCGACTAGCAGCCACATTTACTTTTTCGAAGCAACCACGCAACAGCAGCTTTCGTGTTCTTGTGATCACGCGCGTTTGAAGAACTCACTGTAATCAGAAACAGCCAATTATCACGATGCCATCTACTCGTCACGCCAAAGAAGCGCATCGCGGCGGTCCGACCGGCAGGCCTGATGGCACGCTTCCCAAGAAGGACAAGGAACCGCGGGAGTCCGGCTGGTACAAGTACGATTCAGATTGGTACTACGGTGACTATGTCGATGATTGTTGCAATCGCTGGTGGAGCGGAGGTGTTCAATTTGAACAGAGATGGGCCTGGAAGTGGGATCCCCGCCGTCAGCGCAGTGGCAAGGTATACTGGAGCGAGGCGGTAAAGCCGGCCTCCACGCTGCGTCGAAACGAACAGGCTCAGCGGTATAGCGGAACACGGAGCGCAGCGGAGCCGCGGAGCAATGCCGCACACCGCGGGAAAAATGACACCGACAGCGATGATGACGACTGGTGTCGACGCTCGTCGGATGGCGGCAACGACCACCCGAACAGTGCCGATTCTGCCTCATCCGCTGAGTGTGTATCGGTGTACCACTGTCGCGTCGAAGAAGAGGACTCCGACGCCGATGCCCGGTACGGAAGGAACGAATTGGGTAACGATTATGCCGCGTATCCAGATGGGGCTTACGAGTACGCGAACCAAGATGGCACGCACTACCAGGAAAATGCGGACGGAGACCGAATCTTCGAAAATGCAGATGGGACCTCGGGCTGGGTCGAGGATGCAGACGGGAACCGCGAGTACTTCAATGAAAACACTTGCAGTGACAACTCGAACTCGGATACTGATGACGAACGCCACAACGATAACGAAGACAGTGAGGTGGACGAGAACCCGCATGCAGATGAGTCCGCTGGCAGTAGTGACTACGAGAATGCTGTGGGCAGCAGCCACGCAAGTGGCAACAGTGATGTGGAGGACGGTAGCGACAATAACGGAGGTGGTAACGATGATGGAGGGGGAAGCAGCTCCGGGGACGATAGCGGTGGCGATGATTACGACAGTGGCGACGCTGATTGCAACAGCGACGGCGATGATTCCGACAGCGGCGGCTATGATGACGATAGTGGAGGCAGTGACGGCTACGATAGCGGCGACGATTCTGATTGATTTCGACTGCTGTAACAGCGGGTGAGAGTACTAAATTCCAAGAAATACTGGTGGCCCGCCACCTAGGAACTTGAGATTACTGCTGTTAATTCCAGACATTCGAGCGGATCTTGATTTCGATGACGTCAAAGGTGAAAGACAAAAAAAAACAGTGAGTGCACACCAGCACGAATTTTCTCTGCGCCTCGCAGAAATGCCTCAAACTTCACCTCCACATATGAACGTATCATCGTGCAAGCGGCTTTTGGTGAATTGAATCTGTTGTTCGCAAAGAAGCCGTCACATCGAGGATCGTCGTCCGAAAGCGTTTTTTGATCTGGAAGCACTTTGATCACACACACTAGAGCCGCGACTCGGTCGATTTTTGGATCCTGTAATTTGAATTTTGAAGATACGCTAGGCTACGGCTCGTCCTCATCGTAGCAACGATAAGTGAATCACCGTGCAGCGCCAGGCGCTTTTGTAGATGATACTGGAGTCAACAAAAACAGAATGCGATATGTGCGGCAACATGATGTTTGCAAGAGGTTCGGACGCAGCGGTCGTGGCCCGCCTTTTGGAAAGCCCACCTCCTCCTGGCGTTCGATTACGTCTGTCGCAACGTCCCGGAATACAAAAGACGCGGCGCCCTCAAATGATGAGACGATATTGCAGAGACAGAAAGAAGAGACCGACGCCCCCTCCACGACGTCCTACCGCAGCTCACGAACTTCGCACGACCGAGAGGACCGGTTTTTTCACGCACTTCGGAGCGACGGCGAGGGAATCCCGAGCTTCGAGCCGCTTTTCCGCCGGATCTTCAAATCCGACTCTTGCGACGGCGGCGAAAAATACCATACTTCTTCCACGGCGCGCAGTCGTGCGCTTTCCGGAATTCTGATGCGTTTTCGGCGTAAAAACTCCACAACCGGTGCTGCGTTTGCGGACTGGCTCCTCAGCAGTGAGGGGAACGCGACTCTGGACGAACTCGGGTTGAAACTGGATGAATTTCACACAGTCGACATGATGCAGATTTACCGGAATTCCGGACGCACGGCTGATGCGTATGATTTGTTCGAAAAGACGAGTTTGCAATTTGAGACACCTTCCGTCGTGGCGTGCACCGTCGCCTTGTCGTGTTGTCCGACAGTGGAGAGGATTTTGCAGCTTCTCGACAAGTTACCGCATCTGCAAGAAAATCCGCGGTCCATTACGGCCGCAATCACAACCTGTGGTCAGTTCCGCGACTGGCGAACCGCAGTGCGAATCTTCGATCGATCGGGACTTCTCGCAGGGGAAGATGTGCACGCGTTCGCTGCAACGATCTCAGTTTGCGCGCAGATGGGGAGATGGGAGGAAGCGGTTCGTATTTTGGAAGACTACAAGAAAAGCGAACACCAGTCCGGTGGCCTTAGTGTCGTGACGTGGACGACAAATCTGTGCAGGCTCTACGGAGGATGCATCAGCGCTTGTAGGCGAGCAGGAAAATGGGACGAAGCATTAAGACTGCTGGACCAAGCTGAGAAAGTGTATGACGAGCTGAAGGAGAGCAGTGCCGGCCAGTTTGGTGTGACACAGGCAGAGGGTAGTGTCACGACGTTTCAACAGGACCCCTACATCGTGACCAGCGTTCGAGATGTTGATGCTGGTCAAGAACAAGAAGACGATTTGTGGAAGACACTCCTGGTGTGCTACACAGCTTGTATGAACACCTGTGAACGAGCAGGGCGGTGGCGCGACGCTCTGGACGTTTTTCGCCGCTTGAAAACGCGCGGTGCGCCAGATCCAATGGCCTACGCTTCGGCGGTGGGGTCTTGTCAGCGCGTCGGAGCATGGCGAGAGGCCGTGGACCTGCTGGACCAGATGAAACGTGCGCGGACATCTTCAAGAAGGTGCTCAAATAAAACCGGTACAACTAGCGCGGCTCGGTCTCTGTTGATCGCCACTGCATCGGCGATCGAGGCTTGCGCGAAAGCGGGGCAGTGGCAGAAAGCGCTGAACCTTCTGCCCGAGGAAGGAGAGATGATTGACGACGCTTGCGTGGCTGCAGCGCTTCGTGCGTGCGAATCCGGTGGACTCTGCGACTCGGTGGTCGGACTGCTGGAACGACTCGAAAAGCCGAACATTCGCGTTCTGAACGCGGCGCTTCGTGCCTGCGCCGCCCGGGCAGCGCCGGAAGCAACGCGCGCGGTGTGGCAAAGGGTGCTGAAATTCTGGGCGTCGAGCGACGTGCAGCCAGACGTGGCAACCTATCGCGAAGCCGCGAACGCCTTCGAGCGCTTCGGGGAACTCAAGCAAGTCGCACGCCTACTCAGCCAAGCAAAAGCGTTGATGGGCAGGTTTGGGGGCGATTTATCTCTGGAGCGGGATTTTATCAACACCTTACATGTCGTTCCACTGCTCGGCCGCTTTCGAATACACGCGCCTGAGATTGTAGCGCAGTCCTGCAAGTTGATCGACGACGAAACGAAAGACCAAAAGGCGTGGGATCAGGGGTCACCGCTCATTTTCTCAAATTTCTGCTGGGGAGTGCACCTGTTGCGACTCAGAGCTGCGCATGAGAGCGAGAAAAACAGTGGCATTATGCGGCGAGAGTCTGAAAACAGTCCTGCCGGTGAGTGGTCGCTTGACCGCCTCCAAGACGGCGTCTACAGAATTTGGAGACGGGTGGGTCTTCATGCGGCGTGGAAGTCTAGCGAGAAGAATACCGAAGAGCGTCAGCATGCTACAACAACGATTGGTGACTGGATAAGGATTTTCGACTCCTTGACCTCCGCCAGTGCGCGGTCCGAACATTGGCACACCCTTGACAAAGATGCGCACCGGATCTTCGATCCAGTAGTCCGTGCTGTTGAACACGTTCTCAATACGGGGGATGCGACTCTTCTCGGAAAGTTGGCCGCCAAGCAGTCCTTTCAGTCACTCGGTGCCTACGGCACGGAATTCGTGCTGAGAAAGATGGGAATGCTTCTTGCCGTCGACAGAGAAAAGGCAGTGTTCGACAGAAAGGCCGAAAACCAGAACTATTCCGAGGGTCCGTTTTTCTACCGCCCTCCACGCGCAGCTGACATCACAGCTGAGCTTTCGTGGGAATTGACAGTGAAGAAGCAGGCAGGCACTGCCGAGGAGGGCGAAATAGAACCGGAAGAGAGGCGTCTTTCGGGAAGTTGTCGCGTCGGGTGCGACGCCGACCATGCAACTGGGCATTCGTGCCGCACATCGTGGCCGCACACGATTCGAGGTTACCGCAGTCGTGACGCCAACGCAAGCCACGCCGAAATAACGGCAATTCGTCGACTGCTGCAAGAGTTGGAATCTCATGAGGAAGCAGCAGGAAGGAAAGATGCGTCCCCTGCAACTTCAGAAGATGGCGCTCTACCCGCGATTACCACCGTCCCAAGTGGGCGCGTCAGGCTGCACGTATCACACTATCCCTGTATCTCGTGCGTAGGAGCCCTGTGTCAATTTCAACATCGCTTTCCGAAAATAGATTTGCAGATTTCCTGGGACAACGCATGGACAGATTTCAACGTCGCACGCACTAACGAACATGAAGGGTAGCAGCTTTAACAGGAGCAGATCCACCTTCTTCACGTAAAAAAGGAGGCCCCGACAAAAATTGATGTCGAATTACGCGTGCAAAAGGTAGTACTCGCAACCACGGCAAAATCCGCTGTAAAAAGAAAACAGGGTCAGACCACCACTGCTTGTGCGGAAGAGCGCACTGACAGCGAGCTTTTGTTGCCTCCTTGTTGATTATGTATTGGTGGCTACTGCAAAAGCATGTAGTGCGGGGAGAGTGAGAGATAGACGAGCGAAGCCGTGCTGCGCAGCACGAGCATTCTTCGCAAAACGGTAACAAGACAAGGACCTTGATCTCGTTTTCAAAACGATTGGCATGTTCACACAAATCTATATAAGTTGTAGACCCTGGAATAATTCTTCTAATTCAAAAAATATCAGTAGCACTATGTTGATTTCTGCGACCTGAGGTAAAAGAACAAGCCCTAGCCACTTCGAAAAACTAACACGATGGTGCTTCTCGCCACCGATGGAATGGTGAGTCCTCGGAACATAAAGGGGGAAGAGTACCTCCCTGAAGAGGTCCGTGGAAAATACGGCGAGTTAGTGCGGCTGAACCTCCCCTACCACACTCGGGAATACTTCAGCACAGCGCCCGGGCTGGCGAAGGACGTGATCGCGAAAGGGATGCCGGTCGAAATGATCGATGCCGCCCGCAATTTCCACCAAGCCATCAAAGAAGGAAAGAATCCCTGGGTGGTGGATGAGGCCGAGGTCTCCACAGATGAAGAAGAACAGAAAGTCGACAAATCGTCCGCAATAAAGCTACCAACTTTCGACTGGGACGAAGAGCGTGACGTTCAAAAACTGTATGTATTTTTTACTTTTGGCTTTCATTCTTGTACTTGTTAGATCTTCTTCCATCAATACATCGTAAAGTAGATACAACAGTCACTTTTTTATTGATCTGACCCGATCATGCAGTTCCCAAGTCCACCTCTACTCTCCCCAAAGGATTGATATGATGAGGTGAAGAAAAAAATCGAACAAGTAGTACAAAAGATGTGGGATTGCTCGTAAAACAAGTTGCCAAGACGCGATTCTGTTTTTCACTCGCAGGATTTGTGGCACGAGTTTGTGGGTGTGCCGCATGGGCGGTTGTACAAGGACGTGCACAAGCGAAACGTTCCTTTCGGCCTCTGCCACCTGTGTCCCGGGATGACTTGCGCGTTCCTCGCGGTGTTTCCGCTGGTGTTTATCCCGTTACTGCACATGATCAGTAAAAAACGCGTCCACAAGTACGACGCGTCGGTGCGGCAGTGGCAGGAGGAATTCAACAAGCAACTGGAGCCGTACGGCTTGGGCGTGAAGACCCGATCGCACTGCTACGTGATCCACCACAACGAAAGCGATGAGGTGGAGCTCACGCGACGGATCGCGTTTGCCGTTACCCCCGCGGAAGTGCTCAAGCTGCGACGAGAAGACCACATCACCGGAGAGAAGGTAAACAACAAGGGGTGCTGTGGAGTGAACATGGAGGAGCTCGCCATGATTCCCCCCTTTGGCTTGTAGTTGCAGTCAATCTTCAATGCCGGGAAGTGTGGGTGGGGATGGATTGTCTCTGACACTAAGATGAGGATCATCAAATGAAGCCAACAACAAACAATGCACATCGCTCTTTCTTTCGATGCCGCCTCAAGGACTTCACCTACATTCTTGCTTCGTTCATTGTCATACTTTTACTTGTTTCGCATTTTTCACTTTTTCAATCGACCGCGTTTCGCTTTTTCAAACCGTTTTGCAAAAGGCCTCTCTATAGAATCAATTTACATCAGGATATTCGACTATGTTCGAACTGCTCGGTCGACCTCAACAAGTCGGTATTGTGCTTCTGGTCTCATAAAGTCTCGCTCTATCTCTCAGATGTAGTCCTCCATGCCGTGCTGTTTTCAGCTAACTTTATTTTTGCATGCGGTGTAGAACACTCTGGGTCTAGTATTGAACAAATTTTATCGTTGTCCATTCCACTGCATTCAGGGTGAGTATTAGAGATTTGACAACCTTACATTTTGCAACTCCTGTGCTCATTGTGCTCAGCATGACAAACTTGTTAAAGATGTATTTTTTATAAAATGAATGGCATGCGTCCTTACGCTCGGCAAATCGAAGTCAAGAAAGGTTCCGAACATGAAGGAACAGGAAATGCTATTTTTTGGTTTGCGAAACCGGATGAACAAAGAATATTTTCTTGACTGTTCTTGCAACGCACCGATAAGCTTCAGCTCATCCTCATGTCTTTTTTTTGGTGCACGTACGAGAAATACAGGTAGTTTTTTGTGCCACGACAACACATCGTGCTTGCATCTGGATCTCCAGCAAAAAGAGCGATCCAAAGTAAGAGTTGAAGATGAAGATGGACGAGAGGTGAGTTTTTGATGTTGAAAGCCCTCAACGAGTTGGAATTGCAGCTCTTAGGAAGAACTACTTAGCAGTGTGTTCAACTCTTACTTTGGATACGATTTCTTGTCAATAGTCTTTTTGAGGCTTTTTATCCTTATATTCGTACTGGCAACTTGAACTTGGTGTTGAACAAAAGAAATGGAAGATTTATCGTCTCGCTGCGGCTGCATATCGTCCATCTGTTCTTTCCGGTCGTCTTTGCTTTTCGCCGTGCTCTTTTCTTCGTTGCCTACTGTGCCTGCGGGAGAAATCTGTGCGAGTTGGACAAGCCCTGTATTTCAGAATTGGGATACGTGCTGCGTCCGGGGTCTGGCAATCCCGAGTTGTGACCCCGAAAATTGCTGCTCAACGACGGTGGAAAGTCCGGTAAACGATTACGAGGCGCCAGGACTACGACACGTGAATGGGGTTGTAGGTACCTCCGCACATGATCATACGACCGGAGCAGAAGAAGCAAAAAATCTGCATCATGGCAGCGCTGCTGGAAGCACCAACAGCGATGAAGATCTACTTGCGCGACAACGAAGTGAAAGTGACATCCCCATCGTGCAGGAACGTTTATGGCGCCAGACCCTCGGCAAGCCGAGTAAAGAGTTCAAGGACATCGAGCCCCTTCTTCCCGCGATTATCTGGACGGTACTGGAGGGGCTCAATAGCACTCTCTTGGCAAATGATCCCCCGACTCGGGAAGCAACGACATCACGGGAAGACAGCGAAGAAAGTTCTATTGGACCGGCTAGGCGGACAAAGAATCCACCACCTGTAGTCCCTGTAGTGATCGAAATGATTGACGTGGGGGTTTTTCAAGGTGATGTATCCAGTTTGTTCATGCAGCTCTTTGACTACCTTGCGAACAGCTTTTTCGAGGGCGGAAAGAAGATTTCGGAGGTGACTGAAACGGGAGAAGTAGGACAAGAAATAAACTTCCTTCCCGTTCTGCAAGAGGTGGATAAAGACACAACCGTCGTGACGTTGACACGTGCTGCAGCAAGTGGACCCCCCGTTGAGGATGGTGGAACGTCGGACCGGGCAGAGGACGAGGTACTAGCGAAACAATCCGGTCGTGAAAGACTAGGCCAGGAGGAGATCATCCCCATGAACAAGTACAACAGAGTACCAAAGCTGCGGGTGTCTTGTTTTGAGCCGTCGGTGGTTCGTGGGAAGGGCTTACTCGCACAATTTTATCACAACCGCGTCGAGCAGCAGACAAACGCGACCGCAACACTCGCGAGAGCCCGAGCTATGGCAAATGCTCACCAGAAGTCGCAGTCCTCCGCCGGTCGCTCCCCCTGGACGCAAAAAATTATGGACCAGGCCTTCTACAACAACCTCATGAGCGGCTTCCGGAGGCGCGAACTCCCGGCGTCCCTAGACCGGTTGACCGTGTTTCGCAAGGGCGTCGGTGAGCTGCAGGAACTGGGCCAAACCCTGTATTGCGATGGCATGGAGGTAGGAAGCCTGGTCGCTCATGGTCTGTGCCACGGGACCGGCGTCGGAAACGAGGAAGTGGACATCGTGACGCTTGATTCGGTGTTCTTCCGAGGATGTAACAAGAGTGGTGAGCAGGAAATATCCCGTGAGGATGAAGAAACGCTGCAGGAGAGCTTTGTGATGAAGAGCCGGAAAAAAACTACAGAATCTTCGAACCCGGTGGATCCTCGTGGAGCTGCGGCTCCGCGGTCGTTCTCTGGAAAAATGAAGAATACCGTCGCGTTCCTGAAAGTAGACGCCGAGCGGAACGACTTCGCAGTTTTGCGCGGAGCAAGCGAGATGCTGCGGGCCAAGCAGATACAATTCCTGGCGTTCGAAAAGTATGGGAGCGATCTTATAACCCGCTCAGGTGTTTTTACAATCTCAAACGTTCCAATGGAGTCTGACCTTTGTGTTGCATGACGAGCATGACAGACTCGCAGAGCGTTACACTTGCTGCAATACAAATTTCGCCTGATTGTAGTGGGGTTTGGAACTCCAGCTCCCGAGCTTGTCATGCGCAATCCTGTGAGAAAGAAAAAGAATTGGCTAGATCATGCGCTCCTGCATCACTGATTTCCATATTTATTATATGGTAGCCGATTTGAGATTGTAACACCTGAGCAGGTTATAGAGCTGAACGCCGACGGTGTCGTGCAATGGCTGTTTGAAGAACACGGCTACTTATGTGCCCGGATCTTGCACTCAGCGCTGCTGTTTCTATCTGGGCCATTCGCCGCGGATGCTGCTGAAAGAGCAAGATCAAGCCCGTCGCATACAGTAATTAGTGCTGGTCCGGAGCGCTCAAAAGCAAGTTTATCCACAAACTCGCCCAGCAACGACGATGCAACAAATCCAGTGAGAGCCAAGCGACTTTCGTACCTCGAAGTGGAGTATGCATTGCAAATATGTCATCTGCGTCTGGAAGAGCGCGAACTTCTGATGCGCATTTCAAATGACACAAACCTCTGGCATGCATGTTGACAGCAGAAGTTGCCCACTTCTTATCACCGAAGGCGGGGGTTTGCTTACGCGGATTGAGGCATTAAGAAACGATAACGAAACCTCCTCAAAGCCTGTCATGCTAGGGCTGGCGTGCCAGACGAGACCTGCTAGCTTGCTCGAGCACGAAGAGCATGACAGACATCTGTATTCCTCCAGACCCAGACACATTTGCTGCATTTGATATGTGGGAGCGCTACGGGGAAGACATTGCCGCGCACCTCTGGTTATCAGCTGGAAAAAATACGTCTAGGTCTGGAAGGCTGTATAGTTGTCATGCCAAATTGAAATTTCGAGTACTGCAAAATAAACGCCAAAAATTAAAAGCTCCCAACTTCTTGGCAGGCAGAAGGCGGATTTCTCATGCGGCAAAGGCACGAGGAAGTTCTTGCAAAATGACCTGTCCTGCTCCTGTGTGCATTGCGGACCTCACCATGCGCGTGGTCCGCGAGCAGGTGCACGACAAATCTTGCATTCTTCCAGACCCAGACATATTTGCACTGGATACTGGTTGGCAACCGGTGCAGACCACGTCGAGGGGCGAATCAGCGTCGAGGAAGTCATTGGGGAAGACACGCGCTCTTACAATATCTTGTGTTCGCACGACTTGCAGGGGCTGCAACGGGTGCAAGATCTGTACACCAGCGACCCGCTACTGCAGCAGCAGCACACGAGGACACAACCGCAGGAGTCACTTTCTTCCTCACGCAAAATCGCGAACTGGCTGCGGACCACCGTTCTACCGGAAACCGTCGCAAAACAGGCCGCAGCGGAGGCACCCAGTACAGCGCTCGCCACTCTTCTGCGTATTGGGTCCCGTGCTAATATTCGTTCCTGGGGCGACGAATTTCGTGCGCGGCACGCTTCTTTGCATGGATGGAGCGTGACCGGCGCAGTGACAATGGTTGACACAAAAGCGTCGAAAAGTGAGGCGTCGTCTTTCGGTTCTCTTTTCGTCACTTCTGCGGCCTCACTTGGGCTTCCGCCGTTTGCTATGGAGAGGTATTTCCATTTGCCTTCAGCACTGCTGGGCTGCAATCTTACCCAGGGCGCGGAACTGCTGGACCGCCCACCCGAAGTTTACACCAGTCCTGCCTTGGGGCATGCGCTGCTGGACTGCACCAATGACGACGTGCTGAGGCTTGCGCGCCACTACCATCTCCGGGCCTGGCACCTGTTTGAGGAAAACCAAAGCAGCCACGCGCTCTGGCTGGTATGCGCAGCGGAGCGGCTTTTTTCTCGGGTCGTTCCGGGGTCACTTTCGGTGCTTGCGGAGGTACTGTCGCTGCGATACGTGCATGCGAATGCGGGGAACCCCACTTCATTCTGTGATCGTGCGGGAACGAACCCGCCTGCTCAGAAATACCAAACTTTTGGGTCAGTTTTTGATCTGCGCGCCATTTGGAAGCATGAGTATAGCAAAATTACAGAGATGTAAATTGAAATTTTACGTTTCGTCTTTCGCGCCATCTTTCCAGCCGAGAGGCTATGACTACGTTTCTCGTCGCGTTTCGATGCAACAAGTCGTAGTTTCCTGGATAATTTTTCCCGTCGCAGTTGGCAGGGGGTGCAGCGATCGACTCTCATCTACGTGTGTTCGTCTAGTATTACATCTAAATGAAGCTCTCCAGAACTCTAACTCATTCAATCACCAAGATGGATCGTACCGTACCCCGTTCGTGTGCGAAATTTTTTCGATTGCGCACAAGGCTCTGCGGCCTTGGAAGATGCTTACAGCTGCGCCTCCTTTCTATCTAAAAGCAAAAGACGTTCTTGCGTGTTCGACTCTCAAGTTATTTCACTGCTGGCTTGTTTGGGAAAACAAACATCCTGTTACTTAGGGGATCACGTATTGGGAATGGGGAATTATCGGCGAACTGATACTATTAGGTGTCATCGCGTCATCTTCTCGCTCCCGTTTGCGGAATCGATTCTCGTGCTGTTGTCGCCTTCGTGATAAAAAATGCTTTACCGGAACTGGAATCAAATCATTTAAGTGTCAAGTGGTTGTGCTTCTCTCTTCAGTAGCAATCCATCGTGCGTGTTCGGTTCTTGTGGCTCTCCCGGCTTCTTCGTGTCTTTATTCATCTTGTCTTTCTTGTTCAGGCTCCTGAACAAGAAAAAGAATGAGCAACCCTTTGCGCGGCATGAGCAGCCGCGGTCCCAACCTGTCCGGCGCATTGGACTTTTACGTGGCGATTGGCGAAGTTTTCGGCGCGGACCCGGACAAAGCAAAGGCCTGCTGCGACAACTTTCTGAAGGCCTGTCACGAAGTCGGCCCGGAGGAGTCGAGATTCTTAGCCGCTTTCGGCGAAGAGAACGAGAAACTCAAGACGGCCGCACTGAAGTTTTACAAGGGGATCGCACACATCGCGAACTGGGTAATGGGCCGGGACGGGCACGCGGCGGCGGTCGAGGTGGTTGACGATCTCTTTGCCGTTTTCATGAAGGCCGCTGACGATGCGGATGACAAGGAGGCTTTTGTTAGAGCGTTTAACATCGGCATTGAAGAGTTGGAAGCGATCCTGATGTGACCGCTTGGCCAAACTCTGTGTACTTAGGGCAGTTTCGTTCTAATGGGAAGCAAAATATTAAAAACCACAACCACATCAAACTGTATCCATGGACAGCGCGATTATGTTGAGTGGCAACTTGTTCAGCTTCACCTTCATCTCATCATCACGAAGTGCAAACAACATAATACATTTATTTGATGCAGTTGCAGCACTCGTGTCCGACAGCGGAGACGAGTTTTGTTCGATATTGAGCGTTCTGTTCCAGCATTCCAGAGAGCCCCGAGCTGAAAGCCTGAGAGTAGTCAAGTTTTCTTTAAGAGTAGTAGCTGCAGACGCAGATTTCCGAACGAGAAAAGGAAATTCCTGAGGTCGACACGTGTGCATGTACTACGATGAATGTATACCTTTCTCTTTTTCATGGGTTTGCTCCATGAGAGGATGACGCGAGGGGCCCGCCTGCTCTTTCTTGCCTTCCAGTCAGTGCGGCGCGCGGCCGCGTAACGCGCAGCCTCGTCAAAGAAATCGAGGCGAAGTTCCGACGTGTGTAGGCGCAGGCGCAGGCAATCGAAGTGCGCACGTTTTTTATATGAGTTTGTACAGGTTTAGAGCCAGCGCAGCTGAAGCCCTACTGTGTTGAGCTTCCGGCTGGCCACTGGAATGCTCATCATAGGCCGCCGTGAGATTCGTTCGCCTCGCTCGATTTTTCTCTTCATCCTTCCTTTTTTTCCTTTTTGTTTTCGAAAAATATGCATGTAGGGATTATGAAAGACAAGATGGGCGTCCGTCGAGGCCGGGCTTCTCAGGGTTTAATGGGTTCTAGGGTTTTAGGGTTTCTAGTTCAATTTTATATGAGTACTCGACTCAGAATTTCCATTTCGCCGGGATAATATAGGCGCGGCCAGCAGCTTCAAGAGTTTGCCCGGGGGATCCGGGAGCAAGAGGAGAAAAAACGTCTGCTCTTTTTCTTGAGGCTTGGAAGTACACGTGTTTGCATTCGCAACTACCCATGTTGAGCGACGAGTGAGGTCAAAACTTGCGATCAGTGCAAAATTCGAGGCAGCTCGGCAAAATAAACAAGTTCTGTGAAGATCGCCCATAAGAATGAAAGGAATGAAGCGGGCGAACCTACGGAAGTGCGTAACTTCGGTGGGAGTGCAGGAGCAAGTGCAATGCGGGAGCAGTTTGCCACGGGCGTCATCGATTGGGCCGCGATGGACAAAATAGTCCCAGCGTTCGCCTTCCGCCTCGGAGACTTTTGCCGCGGTCAAATCGATGCCAACGGGCGAAATTCCTTGGCGGCCCTGGGGGCCACTTGTATGCGCGCGCGCGAGAATTCTGCGCGAATGTGCGAGCGCTGCAGCAGCTTGCGGGCGAGCAGGCCGCATCTTTATCATTTCTCCGTCCGACCGCCTGCGCTTTTTGTTTCGGCTCGGAAGATAATGCGCGCGCGCTCGCAACTACCCACGCCCCCCATTCCGTAGACATCACGGAGCGCGCCGGCCGTGCCGATTGTTTGACCAGACTCAGCGCCTGGGCGCCCTGGTCCTACGCGCCCGCGCTGCCTCGCCATTATAGATAGTTAGGGTAGGCAGCGACTAGCCCGGGCCGTTGCCCAAATCTGGGTCGACAGGGCGCGCGCGGCGCCCGGTACCGCTTGAGGCCCGCTTGCGTTTATTCTTGGGCGAGCGAGGCAAGCGAACAATCGCGCAGTCGCCCGGCACAGCACCCGAGAAACGGCGCGGCCCGTCGTGATTTGATCTCAGCAGCTTTTGCGCTCCTGGCCTCACGTTGAATTGTTGCCGAAAGGAGATCATGCGTTTGACGTGTGGAAAAGTGTTTCAGGACGGTCCTACCACAGCGGCAAACGTCGAATGCGTCGTGATGTTGCTTGGTGTTGCTTCGTCAGAGTGCCACGCCCTTCCTTGCGAGAGAGCTCCTATACTAACTAGGGCGCGACTTCGAGCAGGGCAACTACCCGCGTAACAAATTGTTAGAGTTGCATTTTTGATGTGTGTACAGGAGCGACGTATACAAATTGAAGCGAGAGATTCGCCATGCATCCTGTTGCCACGTCGTGAAAACCAAAGTGTCTACCTGGGCCTTCATTCTTTCTGAAAGAATAGGCGTTCCGCGTAGAAGGGGGCCAACCATTGAGAGAGCGCGTATTCGTCGCAAACAAACTCGATTCGCACTAAGCCGGGGTTGATGAAGTGGACGATGTCGCTGCGGCCACAAGTTCTGGGGAGATCGTCCAGAAGCATAAGAATAAAAGGAATGAAGCGGGCAAGTTTGCGAACGTGCGTGACCTCAGAGGGAATGCAGGGGCGCGGGTATTGCGGGAGCAACTTTGCATCTGTTGGAGGTTGTCACTACATGACGCGCACAAGAGGCACAGCTGGCGCAGGATCTAGACGCGTTCGTGAGCGGTCCGGTCGTTTCTGCGCAAACTGCCACGGAGATAATGGATACCTTGACCCAGCCGGTTGACGCCGCAAACTGCGAAGGCTGCTGGCATACGGGCACGAGACGAGAAGCCGGCCGCGGCGGGCGCGGGGAGGCGGATGCAGCCCAAGGGCCCGCGCGCCGGGGTGGCGCGCGGGCTCATGCCCAGGCGCCACGGAGCGGCGCCGCCATGGTTTTCCGGCGCGTTCCATTCCGCAGACGCCACGGGGCGCGCCGGTCAATTGTTCGACCCACCTGAGCGAGCGCGCCCTTGCGCCCTGGCCCTACGTGCCAGCCCGCCTACCCTCGCCGACCGCCACTCTTGGGCACAAGCAGCGTGCAGCCCGGGCGGCTACTCAAAGCGCGGCCGGCAGGGCGCGCGGCGGGCTCGGCGGAAAGTGACTCTGCCACAGGACGCGCGGCGCCCAGTACCACTTGGGGCCCGCTGGCGTTTATTCTTGGGCGCAAGGGGGGCGCGCGTATCGCGCAGCCGCCCGGCGGCGCAGCACCCGAGCAATGACGCGGCCTAAATCTGGCGCTCTGATCTCGGCAGCGTGTGTTCTCCTGGCCAAGCGTTGAGTTGTTCTGAAGGGGAGACGCGCTTGAGAAGCGAAAGGGCTTGTAAGAAATACAGCCCTGTGGCCCCGGCAATCGTCAAATGCGTTGTGGTGTTGCTTCGTCACTCAGCGTGCCCCGCTCTTCCTTGCGAGTGGGCAGCTAGAGCGCGACCTTGGGAGCAATGAGGTTTCTGCCTGATTGCTATAACAGCGAGATAACAAACGCTAGCGAGAGTTTCGTCATGCATCTTGTTGCAGAGTCGCCGTGATCGTGGAAGTCAGAGTGTCTACTACCTCGGCCTCCATTTATTTTGAAAGAGTAGTTTTCGTTTTGGTTTTCCGCGTTGAACGCCATTGATGAAAAGCTGTTCGGCTGCCACAGACCCAGAGTGGCTGGAATCTGACCGTAACGTCTAGAACTAGTAAGCGCAAGGGTGAGGACCGGAGGGGCACTCGAGAGCCCTGCACGCATTAGCTTTGGTATTTACAACTTGAAGTTTCAACATCTACAACTCTTGCCGCGACATTTAGATCGTAAGGAATGGCGGTACCCGGGATGGTCGGCATCGCACAAATGGATCTCCCACCCGATCCGGTCGAGCGATTGGAAATGTTGAACAAGTACTTGCTTCACTTGCAGGAGGAATTGGGGTTGACGCAGTCGAAAATTGGTGATGCAATCGAGGAGCTCATCCGTGCGACAAGCGCTACTACTGACAAGCACAAGAATGTCGAGACGGGATCTGCGAAGGTGCGAATTCGTTATTCTGTTCAGCTCACGCAAACGCATCTTCGTATTCGTAATCGTATGAAGCACACACCGCATGAACAATGAATTGAGTTGCGCTTTACTTTTCTACTTACTACGCGGCCTTAATGTTGATGCGTACTCATCAAAAACAAAAAGGGCGTTGGCGGGGGAGAAGCGAGTAATGTACTGGGCGACATCGGGCTCGAGGATTTCAAAAACCCGGCAATGGGCAAACGGGAGAAGACGAAGATGCTGGAACTTATGAAGAAGAAGGTAGATCAATGAATGGTGTTAACTTTTACTTTTTCGCGTTTTTTTTTTCATGGAGGTATGTTCGCTATTGAAAGGCAAAGGCTAAGTCGTTAGTAAATTCGTCCATCTACAACACGGACAACAGAAACGATATATGCTGAGTGGTGACTTCGGCGGCTCCCGCATTCTGCCAGGCATTTATCTGGGGGGCGAGAAGATCTTTGTCCACAGCACGGTGACCAAGAATCTGCTGGATTACATCACTAGATGCGTGTCGATCTTGCCCGAAGAAGGTGTAACAGCCTCCCACCTGGCGCCCGATTTTGTGAGACGATCCCGTGCTGTCGACGACGACGATTCGGTCGACATTATGCCGTCAATTGAGGAACTACTACCCGACCTACATCGGATGGTCCGCGACGTGCTCCAAAATCCCGGGTCGCTACCAGGGCCGGAATTCGACACTGCGTTGGAAAACTACGTTTTGTCTCAGCCGAAGAAACTACCGCTGCAGGAACTCATTCCATTAGTCGAGTCCACCTTTCACTTCGAAGACGCAAAATCGGCGGGCGACCCGCGACCATTGCCGCAGACCGAGGTTCTCTTTTTGCACTGCCAGCAGGGCTGTTCCCGCAGTGCAACGCTCTTTGCCGCTTACTTGATCGCGTTGCTCGGTCTCTGCAGTCCCTTCAAGCCGGAGGCCACCCGAAGCGTTGCGTTCGTTATTCGTGCCATGCGAATCTGCCGGTTGCAGGTCGCACCAAACCGGGGCTTCTTTCTGCAGCTGGTAAAGTGGTCCATGTCGCTGCGGCCACTCGACTTTCGTAGGGAGTTCCAGGACGCGGACACCACCATGGCGACGGTCTGCAAAGAAATGGCATCGAACTGGAAGCAGTTTGCGGCCGGGGAGCTGCTTTCAGCAGATGCGGCAATGTTCGTCCAGACGACGGGGGACATGTTCCAGGTAACGGAGGAACATAAGTCCAGCGATCGCGAAGCTTGGTTAGGACTGCAAGAGCGTGACGTGCAAAAGACGAGCAACCTGAAGTTCTTCGAGAGCAAGGATATGGTACAGCTTTTTCGTTCTGTTTTCTTTGGAAATGGCTGCTCACCTTCTAGATACCAGGGCACTTAATGTGGGAAACTGATTTTGATGTCGGAGGATATTCCTGCAGCACGGGCATGCAGCTCTGTGAGTTCTTGGAATGGTACTCGATAAAAAAATATTGGCAGAAAATTACCTGATCTTCTCGGCAGAACTCACTAAAGAACTGCACAAACTCTTAGGTCGCCAAGGGGAACCACGAGTATCCGATTCAACCGGAGATAGTGGGCAAGGATTTGGACCGCTGGGATTCGCTATCATCAGGCGCGCAGTTACAGAAAAGCATGAAAAAATTTGTCGATACGAGAAAAATCGAATCGGTACGAATTCTGCTCGCACTGTTTGGATCGGATGAAATTTACCGACTTTTTCTGTTTATGTCCTGTAATCGATGACCCATCTTCACTCGCTTCTTCTATATCACTATACAAGGTGCAGCTCCAAGGTGACGGCGAGACCACGAAGAAGGCGAGGAAAGATCGCATTTCCATGGGCAGAGACGACGTAAGCATCAGCAACAATTCCTTGGCGTTTTCACCATCAATGAACCAGGGATCACCGGATGGCGTCGGGAGTCATGCGGTACCGTCTTTACTTGAGCCTATCGCTATCACCTGTGCTGCATTCTCTCTATGTTTTCCGTCAGCCCAACATCGTATTGAAGTACAAATTGAAACTAGTCGACCATATCATTGTTCGACTGTGTACATTGATTACCCCTTCGCAAACCAGGACGCGCTTCCGCTTTCCAGCAATGCGGTGAGTGGTACGCTAATGGAGCAAATAGGAAGTGTAATAGACCGACGACTACCGCAGCAAACAGTTTTCGAGTTCGTCCACAAGCAAGCCAAGCGCGCGGACGACAAAGAAGCCTGGCTATTGCAGCGTAAGAGCAGTGAGCAGCTGACCGTGCGAAGGCAGCGCAGTTCCCAGGAAACGGAGGTCGAGACCGAAGAAACCAATGCGGAATTCGGCTTGAAGGACCACATCATTACACCTGCCGTCGTGAAGAGGGGGAAGGGAAACAACAAAAAAGAGTACTCCGTGCTGCACGTTGGCCAGAAGCTGCGCGACGAAATCGTCGAGATCTCCGAGGATGCACTGTACGTCATGCGACCGCGGATGAGAAGCCGTGCAATTGCGCCCGCGTCGGGTAAAACGTACTCCATGCGGATGCAGCGGACGAATTCCCCGTTGAAGCAGCAGCGCAACCGTGGATCCAAGCGGGACGAGGAGGCCGGCTGCATAGAACCACCCCCGGCCCCGATGAAGTTGCAAAGATTGTAATTGCCTACAATCAATATCTTCAAGATATTCATCTACATGAAGAACGGAAAGTCGGGAGTTGTGCAATGTACTGCCTCAAGGACGAGCGTACTACCTACAACCTTTACTACACCTATAGAAGAATAGCACAAGGTGTCGCACAGCGGTTACCTTCGAGTCTGTACTCCTAAGAGAACTCAACATTTCAAAACGTGTGCCAGTGTACGTTTCTTTGCTGCTCAAAGATATGAGTAAATCAAATCGTTGCTGTAGGATAATGTTGCTGAGCTTGAATATATAAATGTGATTTTGGTGCTAGCCGCTTCTATAGTTTCTAGCTATGGACCGACAGTGCCTAGAATTTGTTTCCTTGTTTCCAAGAAAACTGTTTACGAAAAAGAAGCTTTGTCGTCTCTGATTGGAAGGAGAGGATGTTGCTTGAGAGTGTTTCCTAATTACCACCAGCTGCCTGCGGCCCACTCAAAAGACATTGCATTTCAAAGTTGCTTCGACCTTCGCAGCAAATGCACTAGGCACACGCCCATCGTGAACCTGATGCTCCCCGTAATGGAGACGCTGCGAGGACATCATTGACAACTACAACTAATTATCAATTTCAATTTGATAAAACCAATATTGTTTCCTGCCCGGCAACTACTATTAAAATCCTCCTTAATAAAGATAAATGGCTGCTACAAGAATGAAAAATAAAAAAGATTCCGCAGTCGACAATCTTGTCTGCGTCAATGAATGAACGCGCAGGGGCGAATGGATACAAATGAAACCATACAAACGAGAAAGAAAAATACTTTGTAAGCAGACGAAGTCTGATTTGCTTCGTGCCGAGTGCATACAAGTAAACGGGGCTGGCGCATTGTTGTGACAAAGGATTTCTCAGGGGGACGGTGTTGCGGGTGACGTTCAACATGACTTACATGTCGTGCTTTTGTGAGGTGAGGCAGAAGCCTTGTTCTTCCCTGCCGCTGATCACAGGACTGTCGGTCCCCTGGAGCCGCTGCTGGAGCCGTCCCCTGGTCCCCTTTGGCCCACCCGCGCTTCGGAGCCCCCCCGCGCTCGCACTTGCTGCTTCGCGGGGGCTGTCGAAAGGCTTGCGGAGGCTGCTCTAGTACGTAGGCGGCGCCAGCGGCGTCGCCGAATCGGACAACTTTGGCCCGCCCGCGCTTGCAGTGGCGTCGCCGAATCGGGAAACTTTCGCGGCGGCGTCGCCGAATCGGGGCCCCCCGCCCGCGCGTGTTGCTTTGCGAGGGCCATCGAAGGGCTTGCCGGGGTTGTTCTTGTACGCAGATGGCGCCAGCGGCATCGCCGAACCGGAAAACGCCGGCCGGCCCGCCCGCGCTTGCCTTGTGGCGGCGCCGCCGGCCGAATCGGGGCCGCCCCGCCCGCTCCTGCTGTTTTGCGGAGGCTGCCGGGGCGAAGTCCTGCCGGGGCTGGTCTTGTACTTGCGCAGCAGGCTTCAGCGGCGCCGCCGAGCCGGGAAGCTAGCTTGCTTTGGCGCCGAATCGGGGCCCCCCGCCCGCGCCAGAGTATTTGCAGGGGGGCTGTCGCCAGAGAGGCCGGCGGGGGCTTCCCCGGCCGGTACGCAGATGGCGTCGGCGGCATCGCCGAGCCGGGCAGCTTTGGCCTGCCCGCGCTTGTTGCGGCGTCGCCTAATTATCGGAGCGCTTTGCCGGGCGCCGAATCGGAGACGGACCCCCCGCCCGCATTTATTGACTTGCGGGCGTTGTCGAGAGGTAGGCCTTTCGGGGCTGTTCCCGTACGCAGATGGCGCCAGCGGCATTGCCGGCGCGGACAATTTTGGCTCGCCCGCGCGTGTTGTGGCATCGCCGAATCGGGGAACTTTGGCTGGCGCCGTGCCGGAAAATTTTGGCCCGCGCCGGCTTGTTGTGGCTTCGCCATATCGGGGAACCTCGGCGCCGAATCGGACTGCTTTGGCCCGCCCGCGCTTCCAGCGGCGTCGCCGAATACATAGGGAAACCCTTGCGCCGAGCCGGACAGCTTTGGCCCGCTCCGGCTTGCTGCGGCGTCGCCGACTCGGGAACCTTTGGCGCCCTGCCGGGCAGCATTGCTCGGCCCGCTCCGGCATGCTGCGGCATCGCCGAGCCGGGAAACCTTGGCGCCGAGCCGGACAACTGTGGCCCGCTCCGGCTTGCTGTGGCATCCCCGAAGCGGGGCACTTCGGCGCCGAGCCGGAGAACTTTGGCCCGCCCCGGCTTGCTGCGGCATCGCCGAATCGAGAAACTTTGGCCCGCCCCGGCTTGCTCTGGCGTCGCCGAAGCGGGGAACTTTGGCGCCGAGCCGGACAACTTTGGCCCGCCCCGGCGTGCTGCCTGCGGCATCGCCGAATCGGGAAACTGTGGCGCCGAACCGGACAACTTTGCTTGGCCCGCCCCGGCCTGCTGCGGCGTCGCCGAATCGGGAAACTTTGGCCCGCCGCGGCTTGTTGCGGCGTCGCCGAATCGGGAAACTTTGGCGCCAAGCCGGACAACTTTGGCCCGCCCCGGCCTGCTGCGGCATCGCCGAATCGGGAAGCTGTAGCGCGGCGCCGGACAACTTTGGCCCGCCCCGGCCTGCTGCGGCATCGCCGAATCGGGAAACTTTGGCCCGCCGCGGCGTGCTGCGGCATCGCCGAATCGGGGAACTTTGGCGCCGGGCCGGACAACTTTGGCCCGCCCCGGCGTGCTGCGGCATCGCCGAATCGGGAAACTTTAGCGCCGAACCGGACAACTTTGGCCCGCCCCGGCCTGTTGCGGCATCGCCGAAGCGAGGAACTTTGGCCCGCCGCGGCTTGCTGCGGCGTCGCCGAATCGGGAAACTTAGGCGCCGAGCCGGACAACTTTGCTTGGCCCGCCCCGGCTTGCTGCGGCATCGCCGAATCGGGGAAATTTGGCCCGCCCCGGCTTGCTCCGGCATCGCCGAAGCGGGGAACTTTGGCGCCGGGCCGGACAACTTTGGCCCGCCCCGGCGTGTTGCGGCGTCGCCGAGTCGGGGAACTGTGCGTGGCGCCGAACCGGACAACTTTGGCCCGCCCCGGCCCGTTGTGGCATCGCCGAACCGGGGAACTTTGGCCCGCCGCGGCTTGCTGCGGCAAGCATCGCCGAATCGGGGAACTTACTTTGGCGCCAAGCCGGACAACTTTGGCCCGCCCCGGCGTGCTGCGGCGTCGCCGAAGCGGGAAACTGTTGCGCCGCGCCGGACAACTTTGGCCCGCCCCGGCCTGCTGCGGCGTCGCCGAATCGGGAAACTTTGGCCCGCCGCGGCATGCTGCGGCGTCGTCGAATGAATCGGGGAACTTTGGCGCCGAGCCGGACACCTTTGGCCCGCCCCGGCGTGCTGCGGCGTCGCCGAATCGGGAAACTGTGGCGCCGAACCGGACAACTTTGGCCCGCCCTGGCCTGCTGCGGCGTCGCCGAATCGGGAAACTTTGGCCCGCCGCGGCTTGCTGCGGCGTCGCCGAATCGGGAAGCTCAGGCGTCGAGCCGGACAACTTTGGCCCGCCCCGGCTTGCTGCGGCGTCGCCGAATCGGGGAACTTTGGCCCGCCCCGGCTTGTTCCGGCATCGCCGAATCGGGGAACTTTGGCGCCGAGCCGGACAACTTTGGCCCGCCCCGGCCTGCTGCGGCATCGCCGAATCGGGAAACTTTGGCCCGCCGCGGCTTGCTGCGGCGTCGCCGAATCGGGGAACTTTGGCGGCAAGCCGGACAACTTTGGCCCGCCCCGGCCTGCTGCGGCATCGCCGAACCGGGAAACTGAGGCGCCAAACCGAACAACTTTGGCCCGCCCCGGCCTGCTGCGGCATCGCCGAATCGGGGAACTTTGGCGCCGAGCCGGACAATTTTGGCCCGCCCCGGCGTGCTGCGGCATCGCCGAATCGGGAAACTATTGCGCCGAACCGGACAACTTTGGCCCGCCCCGGCCTGCTGCGGCATCGCCGAATCGGGAAGCTTTGGCCCGCCGCGGCTTGCTGCGGCGTCGCCGAGTCGGGGAATTTAGGCGCCGAGCCGGACAACTTTGGCCCGCCCGCTTGTTGCGGCGTCGCCGAATCGGGAAACTTTGGCCCGCCCCGGCTTGCTCCGGCATCGCCCGAATCGAGGAACTTTGGCCCGTCCCGGCTTGCTCCGGCATCGCCGAATCGGGGAACTTTGGCGCCGAGCCGGACAACTTTGGCCCGCCCTGGCGTGCTGCGGCATCGCCGAAGCGGGAAACTTTGGCGCCGAACCGGACAACTTTGATCCGCCCCGGCCTGCTGCGGCATCGCCGAATCGGGGAACTTTGGCCCGCCGCGGCTTGCTGCGGCGTCGCCGAATCGGGGAACTTTGGCGCCAAGCCGGAAAAATTTGGCCCGGCCGCCCCGGCGTGCTGCGGCGTCGCCGAATCGGGCAACTGCGTGCGGCGCCGAACCGGACAACTTTGCTTGGCCCGCCCCGGCCTGTTGCGGCGTCGCCGAATCGGGAAACTTTGGCCCGCCGCGGCCTGTTGCGGCGTCGCCGAATCGGGGAGCTTTGTTTGGCGCCGAGCCGGACAACTTTGGCCCGCCCCGGCCTGCTGTGGCGTCGCCGAATCGGGAAACTTTGGCCCGCCGCGGCTTGCTGCGGCGTCGCCGAATCGGGGAACTTAGGCGCCGAGCCGGACAATTTTGGCCCGCCCCGGCGTGCTGTGGCGTTGCCGAATCGGGAAACTTTGGCCCGCGCGCCCCGGCTTGCTCCGGCATCGCCGAATCGGGGAACTTTGGCGCCGAGCCGGACAACTTTGGCCCGCCCCGGCGTGTTGCGGCGTCGCCGAATCGGGAAACTGTGGCGCCAAGCCGGACAATTTTGGCCCGCCCCGGCCTGCTGCGGCGTCGCCGATCGAATCGGGAAACTGTGGCCCGCCGCGGCATGCTGCGGCATCGCCGAATCGGGGAACTTTGGCGCCAAGCCGGACGGCTTTGGCCCGCCCCGGCTTGCTGCGGCATCGCCGAATCGGGAAACTGTAGCGCCGAGCCGGACAACTTTGGCCCGCCCCGGCCTGCTGCGGCGTCGCCGAATCGGGAAACTTTGGCCCGCCGCGGCCTGCTGTGGCGTCGCCGAATCGGGGAACTTTGGCGCCGAGCCGGGCAGCTTTGGCCCGCCCCGGCGTGTTGCGGCGTCGCCGAATCGGGAAACTGCGGCGCCGAACCGGACAACTTTGGCCCGCCCCGGCCTGTTGCGGCATCGCCGAATCGGGAAACTTTGGCCCGCCGCGGCTTGCTGCGGCGTCGCCGAATCGGGGAACTTAGGCGCCGAGCCGGACAACTTTGGCCCGCCCCGGCTTGCTGCGGCCTCGCCGAATCGGGAAACTTTGGCTCGCCCCGGCTTGCTCCGGCATCGCCGAATCGGGGAACTTTGGCGCCAAGCCGGACAACTTTGGCCCGCCCCGGCGTGCTGCGGCATCGCCGGATCGGGAAACTCTGGCGCCGAACCGGACAACTTTGGCCCGCCCCGGCCTGCTGCGGCATCGCCGAATCGGGAAACTTTGGCCCGCCGCGGCTTGCTGCGGCGTCGCCGAATCGGGGAACTTTGGCGGCAAGCCGGACAACTTTGGCCCGCCCCGGCCTGCTGCGGCATCGCCGAACCGGGAAACTGAGGCGCCAAACCGAACAACTTTGGCCCGCCCCGGCCTGCTGCGGCATCGCCGAATCGGGGAACTTTGGCGCCGAGCCGGACAATTTTGGCCCGCCCCGGCGTGCTGCGGCATCGCCGAATCGGGAAACTATTGCGCCGAACCGGACAACTTTGGCCCGCCCCGGCCTGCTGCGGCATCGCCGAATCGGGAAGCTTTGGCCCGCCGCGGCTTGCTGCGGCGTCGCCGAGTCGGGGAATTTAGGCGCCGAGCCGGACAACTTTGGCCCGCCCGCTTGTTGCGGCGTCGCCGAATC